ATGATGAAAGTGCAAAAGGAGATTGCCAATTGCGCAATAATTGAATGTCTGTCGTTTCTCACCCAATTCGCCATCGCTTTCATCGCCTCCCTCGTGGCTCTTTTTGCGGTGTGTGCTCAGAGAGTTCCCTCGACCAGGTGGCCACAGTTTCAGAGGAAACGGGCAGCACGATAATATAGCGGTTTCAGAGAGCGGAGCAAGCGTCGGAAGGGTTCGTCGTCGCGACGGGAGCAGAGTGTGGAGGTGGACGCGCCGCCCGTCGTCGAGTTGAAGAGCAAACGGAGCGACACGAGCCAGCGGAGCGTCAAAAGTGAACGGAGAGACGCGTGAGTGGTTACGGTACGGTCTACTGTGAGATATTTTAAGACTTTGTGTTGATCCATCTCTCCTTAAAGCATAAAATAGCGACCAACTATTGTCGGTTTCAGAATGGATTCGATCAAAATAATCCGTGGCCAAAAAAATGTGCGAAAAGCGAGACCAATGACCGGAAAACCGACGGAAGAGACCGATTCGCAGCACACGGAAACCATAAACGTTCCGCTGGGCAAGGCAAAGTCCGTGCCCCCGGAGTGGAGTGTCGTACAGTGAAACCGTTTCAGCACTGCGCCGCCGGCCTCGAAACTCACAGTAGCGGCACAGCAAAAGACGGACGAGAAGCGGGAAAAGAACGAGAGAAAAGTGCAGTTCGCCGACAAATTGGTCAAATCGACAATATCGCCGACGGTGGAAACGCAGCGATCCACGAAGAGTGCAAAGAGTTTGAGCAAGAAGAAAAAGAGCCAAAAGTTGACGAGAAGCGAGAAAAAGAAGGGGAAATGAACGTATCTTGAGAATGAGGGGTCATAGAAAAAATTGGTCAACGGTGAAATTAAAGTAAATTTCAAGCTGAACAACTTTCTAGTTGACCACTTTTTTCTAATCACACTCCTCGAAAAGTTATGAAGCAAAAAAAGGCAAAGCACTTCATTCGAGTAGACATTTCGGGAGACTCGTTCATTTTCTCTTCTTCTTCCTCTTCCTCTTCGTCTCCGGCTCCGCTTTTTCGGAATCTGCCTCATCGTCCATTTGCCCGTTTCCATAAATCTCTTCTTCAATCTTCTGCACCGCTTTCAAGTCTCTCACCTCAAAAACACAGGTGAGGCTTGGTTTTGCACGATTGTTGCACGATTGTTGCACGATTGTTGCACTTGGATTGAGAGCCATTTTTTTCAAAAAGCCCGGGCTTTCGGCCAATTTCCGCGATCCGATCGGGCTGAAACTTGGTCCCAATGGCCCTCAATCCAAGTGCAACAATCCTTCCGATCGGATCATTGCAAGTGCTTCGTTCATGTGCGGCAAAACGCACCTCGACCGTCGTCCGTCCGCTGGATGCGGCGACGACGGCGGCCGATCTCAAAAACTTCTGCATATAGTCCTCGGCGGCGGTCTGAAGGGCTTCACGGCCGGCCACGTCCATCTTCAGACCCGGCACCTCGAGCTCTTTGATGAGTCGGGCGAATTCGGTCTGAAAGTTGCGAGTCACGTCAAGATGGAGCAAAAAAGTGCGATTCGGGTGACCTGTGAAATGGCAAAGTTGTTCGGCTCGTCCCGCGGCTCTTCGGAATCGGACACATCCGTCAGCTCCTCCTCCTGCTCACTTTCCGAGCTCTCCGACGTCGTTTCGCCCGAGTATTCGGACTCTTCTTCCTCGTTTTCCTCCCTCGCACTCGGCAATGACTTTTTTGTTATTTTCTGAATGAAAATGACCAGGAGATGCCTGAAAAAAAGCTCACCGTTTTCATATTTTTGCTCCAGAAGCACTGAGATTAGCGGGCGAAGAAATGAGCAACGATTTCGTGGGTTTCCACAGTTCACGCCTATTTCCCGGTTGCAGAACGACGTTTAGACGTTTCAAGGCATCAAGATGACAGCCAGGGACGTTTTGCAACTAGGACACTTTGCAACTAGAGACCCAATTCATAACCAAGTACACTTTTACGTCAAGACGTTTCGCAAACAGGTTTTCTATGAATCAAGCAGAGTTGAGCGGAAGAACTCAACGGGAGAACACTGAAGAATTTTTATCTTTTTTAGAAAATTTTTTCATGTAATGTGATCAACTGACGAAATGTACAGCAAATCGAACTCTGCTCATAGAAAAATAATTGTAAATTTAGCTTTTCATACAAAAAAGTTAGAGGCTAACGGAAGACGGAAAGACATTTTCACGCAACAACTCGAATAACTTTTTTGTATGAAAAGTTAAATTTACAATTATTTTTCTATGAGCAGAGTTCACTTTTCTCTACATTTCGTCAGTTGATCACATTCCGTGAAAAAATTTTCTAAAAAAGATAAAAATTCTTGCGCTCAACTCTGGCCTCAAGTCGTTCCACATGGCGACGTTTCGCAACCCGGACATTTTGCAACCAAATGTTCCAAAGTTCCTTGTTCCTCCGACAAAACGACTGCCTGCGAATGTGGAAAACTGTCTACGAGAAGCCGGTTTTTTCGGCGCCCGTTTGAGAAGCGTGAAAAAAGTGAAAGAGCGGGATGAATGTTTCGAGAGATAAGCCTTTTCCCCCCGTTTTTTTGTCGCGAATGAGGTCGATCGGGACCGCCCCCGCAACGGGACGGGACTGGATAAGAACGGGCCGCTTCGGTTTCGCTTCATTCGACACATTGACAATGATGAGGGTGCTTCCAGTACTGACTGCTACCGTACTCCTTCTCACTTTTATTTCCACTCAAGACCTGCCCGGTGAGTCAGTCGGCCGCCACACTACTACAGTAATCCCATTTGAGTTGAGTTGCGCGTCCTAATGTGTGTGGCCTAACTTTCTCGGTTCAGCTTTCCTAGGCCATTCTGTTTGCTCTTACTTGATTTTTCTAGGCCACCACCCCGCCGCCTGGCCACGTTTCCAGATAATAGGCAACCGGTTAGAGACCACCGAGAAATGGCATAGATTCGGAGTCGTAGGTACTGTAGACGTGGACTACAGTACCCCCTCTCCCGATTTTCGAGTCGAATCAATATTTCAGCCGAAACGCGACAATACGCGTGCGCGAGAAACTCGCCAAAAAGTTCGAAATCCGAGTGCGAGTTGCGGTTCGGCGAAGGTTTGTCGGCCGTCAACGACAACGGATGTTTCATGCATCACGACGCCGTCCGACACGAATCCGTCGAATTGTGTCCGCTGCAGTGCCAGCGATTCGACGAGGCGCGCATTTTGAAGGTACGCGAGGTGTCAAAACGGAGATTCCGAGCACGTTTTCGCACTTTTCAGACGTCCGACTCGCTGATCTGCTCTCCGGGCGTCGGCGTCGGTGTGGAACGTCGGCACAGCGACTGGTTCATGTGGAGAAGTGGCGCTTGCCGTTCCGCCGACGTCATCTTCCAGTTCGAGTGCTCCACGGCTCCTCCGTAAGCGCCAGAAATGAGCGGAAGAACACGGAAGAACACGGAAAAATGTTTATCTTTTTTAGAAAATTTTTTCATGGAATGTGATCAACTGACGAAATGTAGAGCAAAGTGAACTCTGCCTATAGAAAAATAATTGTAAATTTCGCTTTTCATACAAAAAAGTTATTCGAGTTTTTGCGTGAAAAAAGGGACAACGGAACAACTCGGATAACTTATTTTGTATAAAAAGCGAAATTTACAATTATTTTTCTATGAGCAGAGTTCACTTTGCTATACATTTCGTGAGTTGATCACATTTCATGAAAAAATTTTCTAAAAAAGATAAAAATTCTTCCGTGAGTTCTTCCGCTCAACTCTGGTAAGCACCAAATTGTGAGAAGTCGGAGCAATCTAGATGCAAGAGCTTTCAGACAAAGAACGGAAGAAGAAGAGAGAGAAGAAGTGGGAGGGGAGGAAATGTTGGCGGACAATATCAATGCGCAGACGGTCGAACAACTCGTCGACAACGGGCCCACTGACAATGCGATCGCCGACGAGGAAATGGGGTATGGTCAACTTTGAATGGATATTGTAGAGTTCCGAGATGAGTTAGGAGTCTCAAAAATTTTTGGGGAATAGTTGAAGACTAGTACTCTATTTTTGTAGTTGATAACATTTTTGTAGGACCACTCCCTGGGGTACTGTAGCTCTTGGAAGTTAGGACTAACCACAGGCCATGATTTTCACGCCCAACTTCCAAGCGCTACAGTACCCCAGGCAGTGAATGTACAAAAACAATGTCAACTACAAAATTAAAGTACTAGTCTGGAACTACTTCCAAAAAATTTTCTAGACCGCTACCGCAGTTTCTAAGCTCACAATATTCAATGAAAGTTGCCCAATTTTCGTTTCCAAGCGATGGCCTAGAATCCCAACTCTTCCAGCATTTCCTCTTCCATCGAAGACATCACCTCGCTGAGCCGAGAGGCCACAACTACCGTAATCCCGGCGAAAAAACCAGAAACTGGCGAAAACGAAGACGATCTTCCGGAAAAAGTGGATACATTGCTCGGATTCATGTTCCCCTCCTATCGTAAAAAGGCTCATTAGGCCCAAAAAAAAACTGTAATATTATGAATCTAATTAGTAATAATTGTTGTCCATGTACAAAATGTCTCTAATAAATTGTATTTTTATAAATAGCCATATCACCGAGTTACACAAAACAAAGAAAACATTTCGAATGACAAAATAATACGGTTTTTGAGGAGCTGTTCGCAGATTTTTCGGCTTCTTTTGGCGGATGACATGAAAATTGTGACTACTATTATCTGCCCGAGAAAAGTAGGTCGTTGTAGGGTAAAAGCACACTTCGACGGCTGTTGAACGGAATCGCTCCAATGTCGAAACTGCTGTAGAAGGTGGGCGGGAACGCGGTGAACTTGCGCTTTCGGATCTGAACGTTTCATGAACAGCCAAAGTTGACAAAAGACATTTGAGGGCGCGTGGCGTCGAACCCCGGTGTCTAGACTACTAACGCCGCCCGGGACCACTGGACCATGCATGCGAGCGGGCGGCGGCGCGCTTCCCAAGCCTTCTTCTGTGCGCCAAAACTTCTGATGCGTGCCGTCGGAAGAAAACTGATTCATTTCACTTGCTTTCAAGTTCATTATGATGAAAACTAACAAAGGGACACAAAAAGCAAGCACGAAACTGCCATATTTCGAAAAAAGCTATTTCTCTATTGACCTATATACATTTCTGGGAGTTTCTTGTTGCTCTTTGTTCGTTTTGATCGTTATAAACACGTATTTCTTCCGGCGGCACGCATCACAAGTTTCGACGCACAGAAAAATGCTTGGGAAGCATGCCGCCGCCGCCCGCCGCTTCTGTGGTGCCGCTCGTGCTGCCGTTCGGTTCATGTAGGAACTGCGTTTGAGTGCATTGAGCGAGTTGCTCTATAACTCGAAGAGCATAATTCGTAGAGAATAATGGTCAACTACAAAGTTGATCAGCATAAGATTTACTCCAACTTTTCAGTTGACCACTTCTTCCCGCAACGTTTAGTTCTTGAGATATAGGCTGATGAAAACAATTGTTCTAAATCTTGCTGTATCTCGAAATCTAGTAAAGATATAGCTACGTTGTCAACTAATGAATTATTGATAAAGACATTGTGCATAGTTTTTCAGTTGACAACCTGTTTGCAAGTCCGCTCGTTTTTGTGATACGACCCACTAACCATTTCAACAGCCTGTATCTCAAGAACTAAGCGTTGCAGGAAGAAGTGATTAACTGAAAAGTTGTAGTAAATCTTATGCTGATCAACTTTGTAGTTGACCATTATTCTCTACAAATTATGCTCTTTGAGTTATGGAGCAACTCGCTCAATGCACTCGAAGCCGCGACGCATAGCGAGTGATACCGCACGACTGAAAGCATATTTCATCCGTGCGCGATTCGGCAGCCGAAGTGCCTCTTTCTACGCTCGCGGAGAATCTTTTGTGGATCCTATATGCGAGCATATGGCATTTTGACGCATTTTTGAAGCGGCGCGGCGCATACCTGTCTGAAACTCGCCGGTTTCTTCCATCCGGCCAACTTTTGGCTGTACATTCGATTCTTCAGCGAAGAATAGCTGTCTTGCAGCAAAAGTTTGACGGGATCACTGAAAACTTGCACTCTTTTTTCGGTGGAAACATGCCTCGAAACGAACGGCGATTACTGTACGCACCTCACGTATCCGACTCGTTCGAAACGCGCGTCGACCGCGTGAAAAACCACCACAAAAACGGCCAGGAATGTCGTGAATATGAGGCTACGTCGCATTTTCTGAAAATGACGGTGTTTGCACATGAATGCGGCTACAGTAACCCGAAAAGAGAGAGCGCGCGCGGAAAATCGTAAAAAGACGGGAGAAAAAGGGGGAAATGGAGGATGCGAAAGTGGAAAAAGACAAATTATAGGGCGTACGTCTTCTAGACAAACGCCAATTTCGGATGGGTTTATGCCGCCGCCCAAAAAAGTGATGTCACAATAGAAGATTGCTCCAACCAAAAAAGTTTAAGCGTAAGAAAAGAGGAGCAGCGGGCAGGGGAGGCATTAATTAATTTTTCACGCTCACTGGGCCTCCAGCTCTATTGTTGGCTCATGAAATTGGAGCAGAAAAGGATCCCGGTGGTTGGCGACGTCATCCGGATGACTCAGAATGTACGGAAAGTTCTGGAGAACTGGATTGGAACGTGGAACTTTGAATGGATATTATCGAGTTTTGAGAAGAGTTAGCGGTCTCAAATTTTTTTTGGGAATAGTTCATATCTAGAACTCGCTTTTTGTAGTTGACAACTTCTCCGTACAACCAATTCTTGGAGTACTGTAGCGCAGGGAAGTTGGGACTGAAAAGCATCGAGTTAAAAGTTCCGAGGACTACAGTACTCCAGGGATTGGTCGTAGCAAAAAATGTTCAATTACACAAATGAAGTACTAAAAACGAGCTTTGTTTTTGTAGTTGAACACTTTTTTGTTCAACTACTCCCATTCCTACTGTAGCTCTTGGAAGTTGAGACCAGTTCGAGTCTATGCTTTTCAGTCCCAACTTCCAAAGCCTACAATACTTCAGGGGAAGGTCCTACAAAAAAGTTGTCAACTACGAAAAATTGGAAGGAGTGCTTCTAGGACGAGTTGGAAAAAGACTAACACGGACTCTGCTCACTGGTCCCTCACGGATCGTCCACTGGAGACTAACCTAATTTCCATTCGTCTAGACCGCTTGTCAGAAGAACTGAAGCGGTCCCCCGGGGTTGAACAGGGATAATGAGCACGTGAAAGTGAAGAGTGGTGACGTGAAAAAGTTGGAGAAAAGTGTGGGCGGTTAAACGGATGATATCTCTCGAGAGCTCGGATCTTTTCACATCCAACAAAAAAAAAAGTTTTGGAAATTGGAAATTCGACGTCGTCCAGTCTTTCCAGCAATGGAATACATTAAAAAGTGCCGCCCCCCATTGAATACGTCAACGTAGAATTTTGCGTTGACGGAGCCAAAAACGGGCAAGCAGCTGAAAGTGAGAAACGGAAAAAGCGGGGCGAAAACTTTGAGAATCTTCCATGAATTTTCAATTTTTCTGTTTGTTTACACCCAAAACAAAACGGGTCTTCCCGGAATAGATGAAAAAGGGAAACGAGGGCGGCTACAGTAAGCGAGAAATTTAAAGGCGCAGGCGAAAAAATGGCTGCATGACGCAAAAATGAAATGAATATTGTGTGTGACGGCCATACAAAAGTGAAAATGAGATCTTCTCGGAGCACGACGAATTTCCGGAAATCTGTATCGGCTCAGAAAAGAGCCGGCTCTCAGAAAGTGTGCGGCTCTCGAAAGAGCAGCACTCGGCGGCGCGGAAAGCACGCGGAAAGAGATGTTCCGCGCGCTCGCGCGCGCGGAGATCCGATTTCGATTCGATATTGTAGATTTGGGTCGAGCAGAGAGAGAGAGCGGCCACTTGAAAGTGCGCTCGGGGGTGTTTTGGTAAGGACAGCCCGCAGCGGAAACTACAAATTGAATTTGTTTTTGAAAATGTGCAATTTCAGTTCAACTTTTTCGCTGAAATTCGAGAAATTCGTTTTTTTTCAGATTTTCAGCTTGTTCTGCTGAAATTCAAACATCCTCTCTGCGTCTCTTAATCTCCCGTTGTCTTTCCTCGCTCACTGAAAATGCGCCAGCACTCACTGCTGACGCGCTTTTCGTGATCGCCAAGCGTGCCAGACAGAATTTTCCAGTGAGTTCTTCACTATTTTTCGCCGTTTGTCCTCGAATTGTCAGCGAATTCTTTAAATTTTCAGCCTGCAAAAATGACAGAAGAGTCGGAAAAGCTGTCGGCACGTGGAGTACCGAAATGCGAACTGATTGTGAGTGAAAAAACCGCTGAAAAAGTGAACAATTGACTTTTTTACAGGAAGATGTCGCCGGATGGCTGGCAAAAGAGAAAATGTCGCCCGAGGAGGCGGAAGTGGTGACGCGAGAGAAGTACGGAAAGTACAAGTACGTCGAGTCGTCGCTGACCGCTCAAAAAGCGCGGATGGGCGAGAAGTTGCCGGACTTCGACAACAGCCTAACCATTATCGGCACGCTGATCGCAAAAAGAGCGGCGAATGAGTCGTTCGAGACAACTTTTCTGCTTTCCGACGATGTTTACTCGAAGGCCACCGTGCAGAAGCCCGAAACGGTGGGTTTTGCTGAAATTTCCCGGGAAAAATTAAAATTCTTAGTAGAGCCGAACAAGTTTTGTATATTCTGTGACTGAAACGCTGAAACGCGAAAATCTCAAATTTGCAGGTATCGCTGTGGCTCGGCGCGAACGTAATGGTCGAGTACGGTCTGGAAGAGGCGAAGCAAATGCTCGAGAAGAACCGGAGCTCTGTGCAAAAGGTGGTGGACGAGCTGACGCGAGAGCTCGACTACCTCAAGGACCAGATCACGACCACAGAAGTGAATCTGTCGCACATCATCAACTACGCCGTCGCGAAACGTCGTGCAGCCGCCGCCGCCGCCAAATAAATGCACGAATCTCTTCTCTTTCCCAATTTTTCCTCATTTTCCTCATAAAATCTCTCGTTTCAGAAGGCATTTATTGTATTAGAATGGGAAGGTATATCAAAGGTGAGACTTCTGGAAGCAGAAGAGCGTTCCTCGTTGAGCACCGCTTTTCCTTCCCGAATTTTTTTTTGCGTTGCCAACACTTTTGTCGAAACAAATCAGTGGAAACCAGGTCTAGAGTGTGCTGTTTGATAAAAACAAATTTTAGTTGGGCCACTTCGAGCTTGGTAAGTTAAATGGCATCCAAAAAGTAACCGTGTTCTTTTTTCGCTTTTCCCGGACAGAGCCCGACTTTCTAGCAGCTTGCATTACGTGTCCTTCAGTGTTCACGTAACACTGAAGGCCAGACGTGTAAGAAAACGGTCCAAGAGTGGAAATAATGTAAATCCGAATAAAAAGCAACAATAATACGTGTCAACAATTGAGAACATAACAAAAAGAGAGAAACATTCAATTTTGAATTTCCGGAACCGGAAGAAGTGTCGCGTGTGTCAGATATCCGGTGTGCGTCGGTTGCGAGTACGGATAGACGATCGCCGTCGTGACACGTGGCACCTCTGTTGTCGATCTGTAATTAGACAATGACTGAAACAGACAAATCTCGAAATCTGGTTTTCGCCTTCACTTTTTTCCACAGAAATCAAGTTACTCACTCAGCCGGCAGGACGTCCCCCTCGCAGTTCCGTTTCCGGGCGGTCTCCTTCGGGTACGCGTCGCCTTGCTCTTCGAACTGCTCGAGCGTCTGTGTGTGCTGCGCGACAATCTTCTTCGTCTCCGGCACCAATTCGATCGTTTCGATGCACACGAATCCGGCGGCGGTCATGGCGAGACACGCCCGTTGCACTTGCTCCAGACACGGACTGAACGAGACGATACGGCCGCCGCGGGACCGGGAAAGTGCGCGGGCGGCGTGGGGAATCGCTTCCCAGGGCGCCGGCACGTCGAGGAACACGCCGTCGCACGAGTTCGACACGAAGAAGCCGTCCGTGCACACGTTCTGCACCACCGCCGTCGTCACTTCCGAAAGGCCGTGCGTCTGCAATTGCTTTTTTTTCGAATTTCAACTGATTTCAGCTCAATTGCGAGGCCCAAACAACGCAAAAAAAGAAGATGGTGTCCAAGAGAACCCTAGACGAACCTTGAACTCGTCGTGCATTGTCTTCGTGCGGCTCTCGTCGATATCGTGCGTGTAGAGGTGTCCGTTCGGGGCGACGGCGAGTGCGATCGCGTGCGAAAGGGACCCGGACCCGGTGCCCGACTCGCAAATCACCGATCCGGGCCGGCAGTCGAGCAACGAGAGGATCTGTGCGCAGTCGGCCGTGTAGAGGATTTGCGTGCGGCGGGGCAGGCAGCGGGTCCACAGATCCGACGAGGGACGCAGGATGTAGACGTAACCAGCGGTGGCCGACAGACGTTGACCCCATCTGCAACCGATTGAGTTTCGAAAATGAAAGCGATGGGGATTCGGCGAAAAAACCAGGGCTGGGAAAAGGTGCAACTACTCGATCGAACCCATACTTTGCACGCTTCTTGGGCTTGGATTGAACAATCAATTTTCGACCGATTCCCACCGATTTTTTTGTCAAAATCGTTTCTATACCTCTTGCCAATGACAAATTCGTGTCGAAGCGCTCCGTACTTCATCATGAGGGTCTGTCCGCGCTTCACCACCATCGGCACCATTTGTCCGTACGTCACGTAGACGATGACGGTGTCACCCTCCTGAATCCGATCCTCGTACTTTAAAAACGACGGCTCTGTCGATTCTACCGCCATTTTTCGCTGAAAATGCCTGAAATTAAGAGAGGAGAATGCAAAATCGATAATAAAATAACATAAAATCGGTTGAGAAACGACGCAATCAAAATGTTTTCGAACAAAAATGGTTGGGGGAAAAGGCAAGGTTTATGACGAGAAAAATGGTCGCATAGTCAATAAATAAATAGAGATACTAAAAGAAATACAGAATTTTCAGAGAAATTTGACGCCTTCATTATCGCCGCCGATATTCATGAGTTGGGCGCGTCGTTGATCTTCGAGGCAGTGCAGAGCTTTCATCAAGATTTCACGTTCCAAGTTGTGGAAGGCTGAAAACGAGAAAATCGATACAAAGCTTCCGCGGCCTTGAAAAAAAACTAGGCCGCCGTCTCGACTGATTTGATTTTCCATGACTTTTCAAGTTTTCATTCGAATCAGACGTGAGCCCAGCTTTTTCACAAATCGGATTTCGGAGTGTCGTGCTTACACTCGTTGGCGGTGTCGTCGCCGTGCGTGATCTCGTAAAGTGTGAGCGGAGTGTTCAGAAACGCGTTCTCGACCGCCCATTGGTAGATCGTCGACGCCCACACGTCCGGACGACGCCAGAAAATGTGGAAACGTGTGCGGCCGTTGTCGGTGAACTCGATCAGTTCTGCAACACTTGATTTTGTCTAAAAATGCGAAAATCCATTCGCAAAACGTCACTTTCCGCAAAAATTGAATAGTTTCTTTTCTTTCAAATTTTGAACTCAAAATGTGAAATTCGAGTCTAAAATTGCGCATTCCAATCTTCGTATATTTTCGTTCCCCCCAAAAAATTCCGCATTTTTTCGCCCGTCAAACTATTGCGGAGCCGAAAAAAAGTGAGGAAGTGGTCTATTGTGTTCCGCTTTTTTTTCGCATAAAAAATCGAGGCGCCTTCGGTCGCCCTCCCAAATATTTGTTCTTTCACGCACACACGCATAAAAAACACAAATATTTGAGGTGCAAATTTGAAGAAAAAAAAAGAAAGAGAAGAACCGTACTCTTTTGCTCCAAATATTGAAGAACCGTGTTGACGCCGTCGGTCGAGAGGCGGCCTGCAATTTTATGTTTTTTAAAAACAATTTTTTTTTCGCATTATTAACACTCACGATTGAGTTTCTGATTGTTGAAGAGTTCGCTGGTGGTCGCCTCGGCAATGTCCAGCGAGTAGATCTTGTTGTGTTGGGCGTAATCGATAACGAGCCGCGCCCACGCCTCCAACTGCTTGTCTTTTGTGTTCAGCGACTTTTGGATTCTGCAACATCATGGTCTCATTTAATTTTTTTTCGAAAACATAGTCATTTTCCCTCATCTTCTCGAGCTCAATTTTCGCAAATTCGGACCAATGAGCCTTGAAAAGGACAAAAAATTTGCAAATTATTCTATCATTTCAAAAAGTCCGTTCCCAACTGGAGATGTTGGTGAGAAAAAGAGAGCACAAAATAGCGAGAAGGCTTGAAATTGAAAACTTGAGCAATTTTTTTAAACATTTTTCGAGTGCTCCTACTATTTTCCTGAAAACAGCTGCAGGTTTTTGCAAAACGCGTCAAATTTTCAAGCTTTAATGAAATGCTCGAGTTCCAAATTCGAAAATTTTTTCTCTTTGATCAAACTGTTCGGATCAGAATCCAAATCAGCGAATCAGAGAATCCGAGACGACTACTCACGTGAAGAAGGGCGGGAAGTCGTACTGCCACGGCCACTTGAAAGCCGTCATCTTCGCAGTCGCTTCTGATGATGTGGATGGATGGAAAGTAGAAGGAAGTACGGGCAGAAAGAAGGAGGGGAAGAAGAAGAAGAAGAAGAAGTGCTTGTATGCGTGTGTCTGAGTGTGGATGGGTCAAAACTTGTCTTGCGCTCGCTCCCTCTCTGCCTCTCTTTCCTACTTCTTCTTCTTCTTCTGTCCTCCAGCCAACTTTTTCTTCGTCTTCTTCTCCTCTTTTTCTATGTGTACACGTACGTGTCTTTGTGTGTATGCTCACGGAGCAAAACGGAGAGAGAAGACGACAATATCGAATCGAATCGAGGCAAAAGAGAGAGAGAGAGAGAGAAAGAGTGGCGAGACAACGAAAGCCATGGCGGGTGCGCCCCGATCGATACGGACCGAGAGGGAGAGAGAGAGTGGCGAGCGGAGAGACGGTCCTTGCCCGTCCGGGCCTGTGAGCGTCCAATGTGTGTGAGAGTGAGTGTGCGTGTGAGCGCAGCTATCCCTCCCTTTTCCTCTAGCTTTCCAATTTCTCTTCTTTTCCAACTATCAACCCAGCGAAAGAGAAACTTTTTTATCAGTCGCTCAGTTATCATCATTTCCCTTCTCTTTGTCTCCATTTCAGTACTAGTTGTGTGTTTATGATATCAGTTTTATTGCCCGATTCGCTCGTTTCCTTTTTGTTCCACCCGGTAAATTTTCAATTTCCAAATTTGCAGGTAATCTAGGAGATGAACTCGGCCGGGAACTCTGCTGCGAACTTTGTTGGCGCCAATTGGTACGGTGGTCCCGTGGCGACCGGAGGCCGCCCGTCGACTAACGGCCGGTTCTTCGATAGACCCGCTCCGTACGACCCCAGGAATCGGGTTAGTTTGAAAATTCTCGCAACATCCGACGGCTCTAACAATTTTTGTCAAAAGTGCTCAAACCGGCTAGAGACCGTCTAAATCACAACCTTTCAGATGCCGGTCACTCGACCGCGAGACGACGTCAAAGAGTCGCTGATGAACACCGTAACGCAGGCTCGCGAGCGGAAGCGCCAACGCGAAGAGGCACTTTTCAGCCATCGGAGCGTCGGCACGCAGACGGTCCGTTTCGGTTGGGAGAACGGACGGTGCGACGTGGAGCGTCACGATCCGATCGCCGACGGAAATACGGGAATGTCAATGTCGAGACGGATCTATCGAGAGGTAATCTAGACATTTCAATGCGAATGCGCTCTGTTGAGAAACTAATTTTGGAGCCGCGGAACGAGTTTTATTCGAATTCTGGAAGCACATTCTCTGTTTTTATTTGGAAGGAGATCCCCAATTGAAACAGAGCGCATTCACATTGAATCGTGGCAGATTTTTGTTACAAACAACCCATGATAGGATAATCCTGACGCGTCAGCTAGGCAGAAAGAGCTTATGTCCCGAGATGTACTTTTCGCACACAAAAAACAAATCATTTTTGTGTGATGACGTCTCAAGCTTTCGCCTCGCCACGAATCAAATAATTCAATTCATTCCGAACAGCTGTCCCCCTTCATTTTCACGATTTCATCGGCGACGATTAGAATCGGACAGACGGAAGGGGGCTGTGTGTGAAGTGAAGGCCGGCAAATTGCGGCCCCGACCGAAATTCGACGGGGTTTATGGGCGACGATTGATTGGCGGCATTTGGAAATTGGAAAAAGTCGTCAAACTTTGGAGTTACATTTCGTGTTTGGGAAAGCAAACTTTTTACCAAAAATCGATTTGATTGATTTTTCGAATAAGTTAGTCAAACATCGATTTTTGTCGTTTTTGAAATCTACTTTTGCCACTTGCGAGTGTTTAGGTTAAAGTTGACAAAAATCGATAAACTCATACAATCTCTTGCAGGATGTGATACCGGTGGAGCCGGATCGTGAGTTCGAGAACGTCGGCACGAACACCTCGCACGCGGCCTACCCGACACTCTCCTGTCTTCAGTTTGTCAATCCGATAAGAGAACGTTCGGCGGAGGAGCTCGACCTCTACGGTCCGCATCCGAGTCTACCCTCCTCGTCGGCTCTGGCGCCCGACAACGTGCGTCAGGCGCAGAGAGTGGCTCGGCGAGCCGCACGGACCCGTCGCAACCATCAGCATACCGCCGAGATCGAGGCGATGCGGCAACAGTTCGCCGAGGACGACAGTGGCAATCCGCTGCAGCAAATCCGTGGAATTGTGCCGAGGGGCGAGCACGTGTGCACCATGAGCTGTTGCAACGGCGGAGGAACGAACGGAGAGGAAGTGTCCCAACCAGGACTACTTCCGAACGGAATGACCGTCGCGCAGCTCGTCCGTCCGGAACCCTTGTACAGCCTGGGGGTGGGCCAATCGGGGCCGAATCCGTGGGCCATGTTCATGCCGTTTCAGGTTGTCGGCCAAATGTCGAGCATTCCAGGCACGCCGTTGGCTTACCAACACATGCCGATGCTCAGAATGGCGAACTCGCATTGGAATCAGGTTGGTGTTGGATGAAACGTGATGAAAAATATTGGGTGGAAACGTGGATAGTTGTTGTGCTCGTGATCGTCGAATTATATATAGCAGTTATCCGAAACATTGAGGTTATCGGTCGCATTTTGCTTGACAACCATCTCGACATGGCACAACAGGTATCCCAGACCAGGATTGTTCGTTTCGCAACTCTTACGGCAGATACTTTCTTCCATACAGCTGCAAAACGTAAAAGTTGCGAAAATGAAACGAGCCCGCTGATCGAATCATTACTTTGTGAAAAGTTTGATCGGAACTCGGCCGAAAGCAGAAAGCACTTTATCAATATTTACCATAAATTCCGCGGGTTTTAACAACGTCAAAAATGTTAGAATAATCTATAGGACCACTCTGAATTTTGATTAGATAGAAAAAAAACGTTCTAAACGACCACCGAACCCAATCCGACGTCTTTCAGTATTTCGATCCGACGCTCATGGCAATCTACGCGATGCAAGGGGAGCCACTTTTCCCGAACATGGAAGTATTCGGACTCGACCGACATCACATGTTCGCGCCGTTCGAAAGCGACATTCCGGTCGGAGCCACCCAGAATGACATCACTGCCTTCACCAAATCGGACAATTTCAAAAAGACGGAAGGAAACGGGGAAGAGGAAACGTGTACTGTCTGCCTTTGTGCCTATGAAGATGGCGAAGTGAGTTTCGATTCAGAATACATAGAATACACTGTTTCTAGACCTCAGCAATTTTCTAAATTTTCAGAACATCACCAACCTGCCTTGCAATCACTTTTTCCACACGGAATGCATCGAAAAATGGTTGAAGCTCAACAAAAAGTGCCCAATGTGCCGTGTGGACATTGATCAAGCCTCGGGACGTCAGCGAGTAACCCAAATGGGCAATTAATTTTCATTGTTTTGTATAGTTTTAATTTTACGCTTTTTTTATCTAATCGGGCAATAAACTCCTAGTTTGCTATTTTCCGGCGCGCACTCGCACTCGCTTTTGCACTTTTAGTCATTTTTAGTTGATTTTCGATAATTTCAATAAAGAATTTGGAAAGGAATGGTAGAAGAAGTGTGAAAAAACGGATAAAGAAATTTGAAAAAATCGGGAACTTTTTTTGAGTTCGCCACTACGGTAAGTGAAATTCTGCAAACACCGCCAGGAGACAGCCACCACGACGCAAAACTGCGTACCTTTCTCAGTTGGAACACTTTCGAAATTTCGTTGTTTCTCGTCGCTTTTTCGTCGAGTTTTCGCCATTTTTCAACAGAAACTTGCAAAAATGACTTGGACGTCGAAACACGAAATAATCAAGACTATTCAAGTGCTGGTAAGTATCGAAACATGCACTTTTTCGAAAAAACAGTTTTTCAGGTTGTTGGAGCCGGTGGTATCGGATGTGAACTGCTCAAAAATTTAGCTGCCACCGGATTCAGAAAAGTCCACGTGGTAAGTAGAAGAAAATCGAGGTTTTCAGCGAAAGGAAAAATTTAGATCGACCTGGACACTATCGATATCAGCAATCTGAACCGTCAATTCTTGTTCCGCAAAGAGCACGTCTCCAGTTCGAAAGCGGAAATTGCCACGAAGGTCGTGAAGCAGTTTTGCCCCGACATTGACCTCACTTTCGAGCACGGCAGCATTTTTGACGAAAAATTCAATATCGACTTTTTCAAATCGTTCGAATTTGTGATGAACGCGTTGGATAACAAAAGTGAGCGGCTTGGCAAATCTTCATTGTTTTTTCCACAACTTGTATAGAAAACAGCTGTTTTTAAATCTAATTTTTTGCAGAAGCTCGCAACCACGTGAACCGAATGTGTCTGGCGGCGAACCGACCGCTGATCGAGTCGGGAACGTCCGGATTCACGGGTCAGGTGCAGGTGATCCTCCGCGGACGAACCGAATGCTACGAGTGCACGACGAAGGAAACGCAGAAGACGTTCCCCGGCTGCACGATCAGGAACACGCCCAGCGAGCACATTCACTGCACCGTCTGGGCCAAACACGTCTTCAAGTGAGTCGAGAATAATTCTCTGAATTTTTTCAGCGTTTTTACATCTAATTTCGCAAAACATATTTTGAGACCTCAATCATTGAATTTGCAGTCAATTGTTCGGAGAAATCGACATTGACGACGAAGTGTCGCCGGATATGAAAGCGGAAGGGCAGAACGAGGCAGAATCAGAGGAGAGTGCGAACGATTCGGCGAACGAAGAGCCCACGCCCATCGGAACCCGCCAGTGGGCGGAAAATGTCAAATTCGACCCGGCCAAGGTCTTCGATAAGGTTCGCGTACCGAGAAAATTTTTCGAGTATTTTCCATAATTTCCATTTTTTTGCAGCTGTTCCTGATGGACATTGAATATCTGTGCCGAATGGAACACTTGTGGAATCAACGAAGGCGTCCGAAGGCGCTCTCGTTCTCTTCCGCTTCGGAAGACAACGGAAAGGCGCCTGTTCAGTTCGAGCAGGCCCTGAAAGAGGCCACTTCGATCTGGCCCCTTTCCACGGCGACGTCCGTCTTCTCCGAGTGCGTCCGCGCCCTCTCCGCGCAGGTCTCCGCACACCCCGACTTGCGGCTCTCCTTCGACAAGGACGTCCCTCTGATCATGGCGTTCGTGGCCGCGTGCGCCAACATCCGCGCCCAAATCTTCGGCATTCCGACCAAATCGATGTTCGAAATCAAGGCGATGGCCGGAAACATCGTGCCGGCCATCGCGGCCACGAACGCGATGGTCGCCGGAATGATGGTCACCGAGGCGATGAAACTGGCGCACGGACTGCACGAACTCGTGCAGCAGTCCCATGTTCGCCTCATTCCCAGCATAGTTGGAAAGGTTCGTTCGCATTTTATGCAATTTTTATTCGGAGTTCCCTCAAATTTGCAGGTGTTCTACAATGAGACTCCGTTCCCACCGAATCCGCAGTGCTACGTGTGCTCGGAGCAGAAAGAAGTGATCGTTTATGTGAATCCGTCGCAAATGACCGTCCACGGACTGTGCGAGAAGGTTCTGAAGAACGAGCTGAACATGTTGGCGCCCGATGTGATGGACAACGCCTCCAGCCGAATCATCATCAGTTCCGATGGAGACACCGACGGTAGACATTTTTTAAATGCTGATTTTTAACATTTTTGTTTGAAATTTTTAAGTGAATTCTAAAATTTGCAGATTTGCTGACAAAAAAGCTGTCGGAAGTGTCGATAGAGGACGGCGCGATTTTGTGCTGCGACGACTTTCAACAGGACATGACTCTCCGCCTGTTCATCCGTCAACAAGTCGACCTGACCGGCGATGAATTCAAGGTGGAGCGCACGGAGCAGGAGAAGCCGAAGGAGCCGGCAGAGGAGAAGCGCAAGAGGAAGTCGGGGCACGAGGGTGACGAGCCAGAAGTGAAAAAAACAAAGACCGACGAGGCGCCGGAGGCTTTGCAAGTCATCAATGGAAATGCTATGGATTAACTCGATGATTTCCCCTTTTTTTTCTTAAAACGATACTCATTGTCCTACCATTTTTACCTATCAATTCGTCTAAATTATTGTTGTGAATGAATGAATCAAGTTTACGAGTACGAGTTAGGAGCCGCTTAGTTCAACAAGTATTTTATTGGAACAAAACAACAGAAAAAATATTTACTTCTTTCCGGTCTTCTTGGTCTCCGACTCGGAGTGGTGCGAGGCCGAGGATCGTCTGCGGGCGATCTTGGCATCATGCTCTTCCTTGGAGTACTTGGCAAGGAGCTTGTGGTAAGCAGCAGCCTCTTCCTTGATCTTCAGGCGCTGAGCGACCTTCTGGCGGAGAAGGTGCTTCTTTCTGGCGATGCGGGCTGGAGTGATGAGGCGCTGGATCTTCGGGGCAATGGTCTTGACAACTCCTGCAAATGAAGAGGGTGAAACTGATAAGAAAAGAAAGTTTTCTTACCGTCCGGGAAGGTCTTCTCGTGGGTGATGACGTACTTGGTCACATCGTCGTGCTTGGTGAGGTTGAAGAGCTTGCGGATCTTGGAGGCTCTCTTTGGTCCGAGCTTGCGTGGGAGCACATTGTCGGTAAGTCCCTCGATCTCACTATCTCCTGAAAAACGAAATTTGAATGAGAAACCATTAAAAATAGTTCCTCAACGTACCCTTCTTGACGATGACAAGGGAAAGAGCGGACATGTTAGCATCGACGATGCATCCACGGACCGACTTTCTCTTGCGCTCTCCGGACTTGCGCTCACGGTAGCACGACTGTCCCTTCTTGAGAAGGAGACGAACGCGTCCGTTGGTGAGAACTCCCTGCTTCATTGGGAATCCCTGCTTGTCGTTTCCTCCGCCAATTCTGACGACGTATCCCTGAAGAAAAAAAAACGGTTTTGAGAGATTCAGAAGAAACGCGAATAATACCTTCCACTCATCTCCGAGGGAATCGATAGCGACCTCCTGGGACATGCGCTTCTCGAAGAACACGCGGAGCTTCTTCTCCTCATCGACCTCGAAGGACTTCTGGAGCCCAGTGGCTGGGTAAGCGAAGTTGAGTCTCATCGCTCTATTATTACCTGGAAAATTGACAATATTAGTCGAATAGAACGCAAATAAAAAGAAGATTACACAAGAAATGCGAGTTGCATGCAAAAACTGTGAAAAAAATTATATTTTGCCTACACTTAAAAATCGATTTTCTCGAGTTTTAACGGTCAAAACGACGAAAAACATGCAAAATACAGATTCTCCATACAAAAAGTTATTTTTTGATCAATTTTACACAAAATTTAACTGAAAATCAGGCTTGAAATATGAAAAAAGAAGGAAAAAAATGTACGCAAATTTTGGGCCAAATGTGCAGCCGTCGTTTAAAGGCGCATAGGGCAAGTTTTCGCTGCGAGACCCGCCGCCGACCGTAGTTTCGCCGCTCTTCGTCGTCTGCCGTTTCTGTGCAGGGTGCGCTCTCTCGCCCCATGGATTTTCCTTTTTTCAAGTTTTTCGATTTTCGCTCTCCGCGCGCGGATTTTCGCCGAAACAACGAATTTCATCGAATTTTCCGCGTTTATCGACCGATTTGACACTTTTTGAGTGGTGAACCCTTTTTGTCGCGTTCAAATTGACCCGAATCCGTCGATTTTTTGCAATTTTCGTTTCAGATGCTCACTTGTACGCATATAACCGCCGATAAATGTGTGGAACGGGTGCCGAAAGACATGTTTAGCAAGAAAAAACGGATGGAAGACGATAATCTATTTCTGGAGGGTAACGGAAATCGCGGAAAAGTAAAGTGAGTCGATTTTTGGTCGCAAAAATTCGAAGAATTGATTTTCCAATTTCAGAGGCCAAGAAACGTTCAAAACGTTTTGTGACGAGTGCGATAATTGCACGAAATCGCTAATGTGCCTTTCGTGCGGTCGAATATTGTGCGGTCGCGACGATTTGGGCCACGCCGTCGATCATTTCAACGCCACCGAGCACCCGGTCGTCATCGATTGTATCACTTTCGAACTATTCTGCTATTCCTGTGACGACGAGGTCTCCCTGGACTTTGAACCGTCCCTTTACAGTGTTCTCAAGTCACTCAAATTGCTTTTCGACCGCGACGATGTGATAGAGGGCGGCGAAGGCACTCTTCCGACTGCTCAAACTGCCAAGTGAGTCGGTTTTTATGATTTGAGTCCAAAAACACGGAAAATCGTGAAAATCACGCCGTTGTTCGTAAAAACTACACATTTTCCAGTTAGACTAAAAAATATCCAATTCTCCCGTTCCGACACCTAAAAGCAAAATTTTCAGAGCGATTAACGACCTCGTCGACGCGTTTTCCACAAACGCCCGCGTGGAATCCAACAAAAAGGGTTCGAAAAAGAAGAAAGGCGCCCGGAAGGGCAAAGTAAGCCCGATGTTCGACCCGCCGTTCCAGGGAAATGTCATCAATTGCTCGCCCGCATCCGCGCCCGCCACGTCATCAGCGGCCACGAGCGCCGAGATTGCCTACCGACCACGTGGACTGCGGAATATCGGCAACACGTGCTTCATGAACGCCGTTTTGCAGGCTCTCGCGTACGTTTTTGAGTAAATTTTCGGAAAACCGCTGTTTTCTCCCAAAATGACTGAAAATCCTAGTTTTTCACATTTCCAGAAGCATCGTGCCGTTCCGCGAGTACATTTCGAACCTGCCGTCACTGGAGGAGTACGTGGAGGAGGAGAAGGCGTCGAAGAACGGCAACTGCTTCCTGACGGACGAATTCCGCGCGATTTTGGCGGGGATGTGCGCGCGGAATTTCCGCGAGCCGGCCACTCCGTCCGACTTCCGCGAGGCGTTCGTGTCCGCGTGCCCCCGATTTCGCGGCTTCCGACAGCACGACTCGCACGAATTCATGCGATATCTCCTCGATCAGATGCACGTCGAGATGAAAAAGTGCCGATTTCTGCCCGAGATGCCCGAAAAGGTGACGCCAATCGGAAGGTTTTTCGAGGGAATCCTTCAGAGCAGTGTCATCTGTCAGACGTGCGGAAATTGCAGTGATAAGAACGACGAGTTCATGGGTAATACAATTTTCTATATATTTTACAATATCTTGCTAATACCTTTCGCAGATCTCTCTCTGGACATTCCGCGTATGAACAAGGGCCGAATCCGTGTTTCCGACTGTCTCAACATGTTTTTCGAGAAGGAAATGCTCGAAAAGGGCGAGAAGCCCGAGTGTGGCAAGTGCAAAACGAAGCAGACGAGCAGCAAACAGATGAGCATCCGACGGCTGCCCGAGGTACGAAAAAACACTACTTTCCAGAAAATTCATGCGATTTTCATATAAAAAATGGGTTTACAGGTCCTGTGCCTTCACATCAAACGATTCCGGGATAATGGCGGCAAAATGGACACTCTGGTCGAGTATCCGATGAGCGGACTCACCGTGGACGAATATCTCATTGAGGTACCGGCAAATACATACTTTTTGTGAACTTGTATTATTTCTTGTAGGACAGCGACGAACCGCCATGTCACTACGATCTGCAATCGATAATTGTTCACATTGGATACGGGTATGTTCTCAAATTCAGTTGCGCTTTGAAAATGTTGATTAAAACTTGTTTTTTTTCAGATGCGGATCGGGCCACTACATTGCATTCGGCAAACGCGGCGGAAAATGGTACCAATTCGACGATTCCGTCGTCAAATCCGTCGACAATTCGCTGGTTTCAAAACAAAAAGCCTACGTCCTGTTGTACACGAAAATGCCCGTAAAACCGTAGTTTCGTATAGATTTTTAGGCCACTGTTTCCCCCCATATTAATTCCAGATTTTCCTAGTCTTTCCTCTCGATTACCCTTTCCCACCCTTTTATTCATGTTCTATGGGTCTGTTCCGTTATACTTTTTCTCTTAAAAACCTTTTCCCGATGATTTAGATATTCTAGAAGTTTTAGCCAGAGACTTGTATGTTTTATTTATTGAATTATGAAAAAGTGCACTTTTTTAAAGCATGTGAAGCGACGGCCGAAACTGTTTCTGGTCCATGTGAAATCGTTGACGCGTTTCCGGCGATTCGACCGAAATCCAGTGGTAACTGCAAAAAAAATTGAATCAATGTTTAGATTTCCCAAAAAATGCTCACCGCGGACTCCTGATGACGGCCTTTGTGGCGGACTGTTTGTGCTGGCAATAGACTCGCACCGACACCCCGTGCGCCAGACTTTCCAACGGCTTCGGCGAGCACTTTATTCGCGTGACGTGCGACGGAGTGAACACCACATTCGCGCCCTCCTCGAGCAGGTGCTGAAACGAACGAACAACAGCGTTTTGTGGGTTTTCAATTGCGATTTTCAACCATCTCTCTTGTTTCAGTCGATACTTCTCGATAAAGTGCTCACCCGGTAACACTTGGAGACGACCATCGCGAAAAAGTACTCGAATCCGAATTCGACGGTCGGGAACGGCTGCTCCTCTTCGCGCAAGTACGATTCGTCCTTGATCGACTTGTGCACCAGCACTTCTGTTCGCAATCTGAACTATTTTGGCCGGTTTTTTGGGTCAGAAATCAGGAATCCGACACGCCGAAACAAAAGTGCACAGTGCAAAAGTGTACATACAACTGATTGAACGTTACGAACATTCGAATCGAACTCACCCGTCGCGGGAATGTTTGACAATCATAAACTCCAAAAAGAGGCCGGAGACATTCTGGCAGATCGGAACGACACGTGGAATGCCGTCGACGGGCCCGTGAGTACGGTACGTGACGGCCTCGTCGATCAGGCGGATGAAGTCCTTGCCTCTGCAAATATGGCAGACAATTGTGTGGGAAGACGTAGAAATGAGGCTACCTCAATTGCAACTTGTTCGCCTTGACATCTTTAATCGGATACCATTGAGCCGCGAGTGATTCTTGATCGGCCACCGTTTTGAGATCACCTCCTGCAATTACGGTTTCAGGAAATCCTTGTTCTTCTAGTTCTAAGGACTTCTAGGACAGTCGAAACTCGTACACGTACCTGTGATGTTACAGTAGAACGCGTACCGATACCATCCGGATCCCTGCACTTGAAGCGACAATAGTTCGATGACGTCGCACGAGTAGCCGGTCTCCTCTTTCACTTCTCGAATCACGGATTCCTAGAAAATATGGCTCGTTTTGGCGGGATGGCTCAGCACCAGAGTTGAGCGGAAGAACACAAAATAATTTTTATCTTTTTTAGAAAATTTTTTCATGAAATGTGATCAACTGACGAAATGTATAGAAAAGTAAACTCTGCTCATAGAAAAATAATTGTAAATTTAGCGATTCATACAAAAAAGTTATTCGAGTTGTTGCGTGAAAATGTCCTTCCGTCTTCGGTTAGCCCTTAACTTTTTTGTATGAAAAGCTAAATTTACAATTATTTTTCTATGAGCACAGTTCACTTTGCTATACATTTCGTCAGTTGATCACATTTCATGAAAAAATTTTCTAAAAAAGATAAAAAATTCTTCCGTGTTCTTCCGTTGAGTTCTTCCGCTCAACTCTGCTCAGCACACTGTATTTCCCCCCAAAAAAACGTACCTCTAACGTCTCGCCGGCCTCGACTCGTCCGGCCGGCATGTACCACTTTCCACGGCAACTTTTCTTCGCCTCCTGGATCAAAAGCACCTGAATGCGGGCCGGTTTTGGGGGTCTCGACACGATAAGTTTCAAAGAAAACCTCTGTCGCGTCGCCCTCGTTCCTCAGAATCAACGCCGCCGCCACGTAGTTCACGTTGTCGTGTAGTCGAACGTATCGACACTCTGAAACGTGGATTTTTGTTCAAAAAATTTGAGTTCAAAAATGGATTCAGCGCGGCAAAATCGTCTTGCCACGTCACACTCACTTCCCAACTGCATATCCGGCACGCGCGGTTCCGTCTTCTTGCCGTTCGTCGCCGATGCACCATTCTCTGCAATTTTTCGGGCGTTTTTGCTCGGCACAAATGCGCCACGTACCCACTACAGAATCGCCGTTGTCGTGTGGCCGGGAGCCTTCTGGCGTGTGCTCCCCACTCTCGGCAATGTACTCCTCTTCGACAAGGTCCAACTTTCCCAACGGCATTTTTCTGAACAAAAAGTGTGTGCGTTTTGTAGAGAGAAAAACCGCTTTTCCGCGATTTTTCAAAAAAAAAAAAACAAGTCGTCGATGGCCTAGTGGTCCCAGCGACTATCAATCAATCTAGGGTCCGGGGTTCGAGGCCGCCCCGTGGCAAAACTTTTTTGTCAAGTCAAAATTGCTATAATACGGGTGTCCGCTCATTTTAAACCGATTTAACACCGATTTTATGGCAGTTTAGACGAGAAAATGGACTTTTTGAGCCGCGTTTATGAGTCAGGCGAAAAGGCGATAAAATTGGGAGGGAAATGACAACAACTGACGCCTACGCATTTTCGACAGAGTGGGTGAGAAAGGTGTCAATCAAATATTATCGGATTTGAGGAGAAGGAAGAGTAGAGGTGTCAGAAATTAACACGGATATTGTCAGTTTCTAGAGAGACATCTAGAAATCATTGTTTCATAAGCTTTTGCATGTCCATGAATTGCTAAATGATGCGAATATTGTACGTACAAAAGAGTATTCAAAAATGAAACCAACGACACATTACAAATCGCTTTTCGAATAGAAAAATGAAAGAGAGAGAGAGAGAGAGAAATATAATAGGTTTGGTCGCTTACGGGCGGAACACATCTTCATCAAAACGGACAAACGAAAGGGAAGTGCGTGATGGAGAAGTTTGATGAATTTCCGAAGAAAGGGGGGGGGTCTGGATAGGAACGGACTTTCACTTTTTTGAAATTAAATGTGTTTAGAGACTATCGCTCAGAAATGCATTGAAAACGGAACGGCGAGCAGTTGAAGTTGTGGCCGTGGCCTAGATAAATCCAAAACCTGAGTTTTCTAGGCCACGGCCACGACTTTAACCGTTCCGTTTATAGCCATTTCTGAGAATTGGGACTCGGACACTGGATGTGGCAATGAGAGGCGATTCAGTTCGAGTTTGAGGGTTCCTTGGTCGTTCAAACAAGTTTTGTTGAAAAGCCAAATACATGCATGCATAATATATGGATATTGTTGAACAACTAAAACGGTCAAGTACCTATTTTATTACTTTTCTGCACTTTATGGCCGAGAATGGCGCAAGACGGAAACGGCAAAAGGGGGGAAGGATTCGCATTTCATAAAATGAAATCCGATACTCGCCTTTTTACCTTACAAGACACTAGAAGTTGGACGGAAAACGGAAAAATGACAATAGTGATTGGAGTTTGCGAAATTTTTGCTCGCTCCGCCCCCTTTTTCCATTAAAACAAGCCGTCGAGCAGTGGGCGGGAAACATAAAATGCAAACAAATCCATTAGGGGCAATGCTTTCTCCCAAATGGCCGAAAAGAGAGAGAGAGAGAGAGAGAGAGAGAGAGAGAGAATATTGTCTTTTTGGCTCAAAGAAAGGGGGTTCTCTCGGCTTCTTCTTCTTCTTCTTCTTCTTCTTCTTCTTCTTCTTCTTCTTCTTCTCGTCCCACAATACTCCGGAAAGAGGGGGAGAAGAAGAAGAAGCGGGAGCTTTAAACCCCCAGAAAGAGCCTTATGGGGCCAAAGAAGAAGAAGAAGAAGGGGAGCGGCGGAAAAAGAGAGAGAGAGAGAGAGAGAGAGAGGAAGTGCATCGATTTATACGAACCCCTTCTTCTTCTTCTTCTTCTGCTTCTTCTTCTTCTTCTTCTTTCTTTCTTTCGTCCCATTGTACACTCACTCCCTCACTCACTCTCTTACTCACTACTAGCTAGTAGTGGTGGTAGTGGTGGTGTAGCCCCTCGGGCTGGGTGGGTGCCAATTGACTTTCGAGAGAGAGAGAGAGATCGAGAAGCGAGATATACAAGTTTAGTTTACACTTTGACTTTTTTACAGACTTGCAACGGGCCGGGCCCGGTCGGCCCGGGAGGATGCACCTAAAAATTCAAAGCGAACTAGAACTTCGAAATGAACATAATTTTATAGACTTAAAATTTTATAGACTTAAAAAGGCAATGTTATAGCATAAAAACCTGTTAAAAAATAGAAATTGCTGTTTAGTCGCAAAATTTTCACAAAAATTACGAAAATTTTCTCAAGAGTGGGCGGAGCCGGGCCGACGATTTGCTGGCCCGGGATTTGGCAAGTCTGCTTTTTTACCCCCCGGCTTGCTCGCTTAATTTCGGTCTGCGACGCTTGGAAATGGGTTACAAATGCTCGTGAGACCACGGCGAATCGAACGATACTGATCATGACGGAAAACAAAGGGTTTTGGGCTCCGCGAGCACGCCGCGCACACTTTGGAGCATTATGGGGGTCAAAACTTGGCAAATTGAATGGGGAACTCGAAAAACTTGGTCAGGGAGTCATACAATAGTTCAAATTTTCTAGTTGGCTTGGAAGTGAGCGCAAGGCTCTCAAATTTGGACAAGCACACGGCGACCAAAAGTGTAGAAAGGGGCGTGGCCTAATCTGAGACGCGTTTTCTGAAAATTGCCGCAATTCCAGCACTTTTCCGCCATTTTTGTGTGTTGATATCGACGAAAGAAGAGACATTAAAGAGAGAAAACATTGAAATTTTCGTGAAAACGCCGCGTTTGAGACGTTTTTGGCATCATTCGCAATACGCTCTCCGCGGCCAATCGCCGCCGCAATTTCGGAATTTTCATACCGGCCGATCACACGTTAATACCAGTATTTTAAGCGTTCAAACGGCAAAAAGTATCGGCGAATGACTGAAATTCGCGCATTTTCAGCACAAAACTTAAAATCGCATCAATTGATTCATTTCTGAATAAAACCTGCTCGTTTTAAGCTCAAAAAGTGCGCGATGATTAGTTTAACAAAGTTATTATGCAATTATATCGTCGAAATCCTACAAAATTTGGGTAATTTTTGACGAAAAACATGAAAAATGGTGATAAACCGTGCACGCTAGGCCACGCCCCTTTCTACATTTTTGGCCGCCGTGAAGCAACTCTTCAAGCTGACCGAATCGAAGTTGGCACCTCAAAACTGCGTGTGCGTGCCGCCGGGCGGGTATTTTGACGTTTTTTTTGAGGCGGAGCGGTGTGAAAACCGCCCGGAACTCGAGAAAAACAACGAGTTTAGGTGAGCGGGACGGCGGTAAACAGAGTGCGACATTGACACCCACCCGGGGCCTCTGTTGTGTTGGTCCCCGGTCGGCCGGCCGGCGGCGACGCTTCTTCTCAACAATTTATGGGATTTCGGCGGATGCAGACGCGGAAAAGTGCGCGAGAGAAAGAGAGAGAGAGAGAGAGAGTGTTTACGAGCCAATGTGTTGCCAACATTTGACAAAGTGTGTCTCTGGGCCGAACAATGAGAGCTCATCTTTCAAAAATTGTCAGTAAATTGCTACTTTTTCAGTAGCAATTTAGTGACAATTTCTTTTTTTTTCCCTCGAAATTGGCCCACCGTTTTGCCAACGTTTGCCTGAAATAAAAAATAATTTATTGTAGACATTTTCCGGGAAAGAGGTGAAAAACAATGGAGAAATTGTGCAGAGTCGAAGCGTTTTGGTTTGCACTTTTTGAGAGGCGTCGAAAAAGTGCAGAGAAAACCTCTCAAAACTCGGGCGCGCCGCTTTTGTGGTATTTGCGCGCGCGAAAATCCCGAAACATGAGAAATTGCACTGTCTCCCCGATGCGCCGATGCTAAATTGAGTGCCGTTGAAGACAAAAGCACGTCTGAAATTTCTGTTCGCCGTTGGGGAGACAGTGAACTGTTTTCGGGGAGGGTGGGGAGGAAAACGAGAGAAAAGGCACCGTTAGAACCAAGAATAATCACATTTTTTGGCTTGGACAAAAAATTTGCACGAAGAGAATTTGATTAGAGCGAAGAATAGTCGGATAAATAAATAAATTAGTGATGGAGCAATGGGGGAGGAAAGTATAATAGAATTTTATGAATAATTGATATTGACACATTTTCTTCGATTTTGGGCCGTTTTTGACGGAATCTTTGGAGGGGAAAAACGATTATCGATCCGAGTCACCGGAATCGGAATCGTCGTGCTGGCGCGGGTGATAACTGCCGTCCGAACTTCCGTTCATCGCCTGCATTGGACGGGCGATCGGGTCCGACTGCTGCTGCTGAGGAGTCCCTTGTTGGGAGGGTCCGCGCGAGAGCGTGTTCCGTTGATTCGCCGGTTTCACTGCAAATCAGTCGGTTTTGTTTGGAAAATGTGGTCTCGGGACAACTGGAATTTCAAAAAATCAGCATAAAATAGAGGAGCCAAGTTTGAAATGAACTTCTTTGGAGTTTTCTAGGCCATGTTTGCCGTTTAAAAGAATTTCATTTTAAAATCGAGTCCCTCATTCAATTTTTTGCTTTTTCTAGGGAAGTATTTTTTTTTGTCAAAAGAGCGCCTACCAGTAATGATGAGATTGTGTGCGTTGGCGACCATCATATCGGTCACCTGGTCGAGTGTCTTTCCGAGCACTTCGATGCCGTTCACCTCCAGAACCTCGTCGTTCACGCCCAGCAGACCCGTCGATTCGGCCAGTCCGCCGTCCACTAATCGCGAAATGAAGATGCCCGACACTTTGACGACGCCTCGTTCCGTCACGCGCACCGACGTTCCGTCACTGAACAATTCAATAATGCCAATATCTTTGAGGCTTTTCCAATGCTTGGATTTTTGAACTACTTGCAATAATCGATGATACTATCGGACCCAAACTTTGCAGGTTTGAGGCTGAAAGGGGGGTTTCTGATCCTAAAGAACTTAGTCTCGGGAGGTCTACAAAGTTCGGATCCGATCGGATAAGTGAAAGTGGACCCAATGTTCAGGCCTTCCATAAGCCTGTGCCGGTTTTTTGTCCAACCCAAAACGGTCAAAAACGAACCGAATGTAGAATCCGAGCGGTCTCTCCTGTCCGTGTTTGCAAAGTCGGACTCTCCGATGTGCTTCTGGCACAATGTCGACGTCGATAATCGCGGAGACCTACAATATTCGACGGATATACTTTCGGTACTCAAAAATTATGGAATTTTAAGCGTTTTTGTGCAAAACGCTGAAAACTACTTTTTAACGAGACTTTAAAATTCCACCACATTCTTATGAAGCAATTCTATCAATTACCTGTCTAAAATCCTCAGGATTCGAGATGGAATAGCTGCGTTTCGGGGGTTTCTGCGCGATGAGACTCGAGATGCCCCGCCAGCGGTTCCGGTCCGAATCGGTTCCGTATCCGTACTTCTCCTCCCACGATTCGCCGCGTCGTTTTATCAAAAGTCGCAGGAGTGGGCGCGCCGATTCGAACGATTTACGCAGGTTCTGCAAATGAAATTATGAAAAAAGTCCAGCCACTTTTCTTTTTCCCTGGCATTTTTTCGGGAACTCGACTATTCGATCGGAATACTGTCATTTCTGTCTTCTAGAGTTGATTATCTAATTGGGGAAGTACCTTTGATAGCTGTCTCGATAGTTTCTTTATTGTCTCGGTCCGTGGGCCCTGCGGAACAGCATAGTTATCACTGGTCAGGCCTAGGGCCAAAAAGGAAGGCATTTTCTCAAAAACCACGCCATTTAGGCCCTAGAATAGTGTATATCTCGTGACCAGAATTCTCTGGACAATAGAGCAACTTTAACGGATCACAACAACAAGACAGCTGTCAGAGGTGCTTCCCCAATCTAGATTTCTCCGTACAACATTCAACTTTTCATGATTTTTCCCCAGAAATCGTGCTCACATCGTCGTTTGTGATGGGAAGAAGGTCGCCGCCGACGGATGTGTAGCACAATGTGAACGGCAGACTTTCCAGGTGATGCAGCTTTTCCACGAGACTGAAAACGAGCAATTGTGTGGAAAGGCGGTAAAAATCCGTCGTTTTGTGAGCATTTTCGAGAAAAAAGTAGAAGTTAAAAAAACCTTCTGAAACCGTCGTAGGAGACGGCGCCGTTGCTGAGCGGTATTGAAAATCGACGCCATTCCGAATCGAACTGCGATTTGACCTGAAAAATGATTCAAAATCCGTGTTTTCCCCAATTTTTTTTTGGTTAATTTACCTGTAGCGTGGATGGTAGATGTGCTGCGGAAAACCCGTTGTAGGACATCTAAAAAACATTTAAAAATTAAGCAAAAAATCTTAAAAACTCACAATGATCAGCACCAATCGCCTCGAGGGTTTCGGCGGGAAATTCGGAGAATTTTCGTGTTTTTCGCTGGAAAAAATTGAGCATTTTAATCAAGAGTACAATAACTATTGACGAGTGAATCATGTTGAAAATATGTGCGAATGGTATGACACGACCATATAAATAGACGGAAACGAGAGAGTCGACGCGGCGGCGGCCGCCTCAAAAATCGATAAAATCAACTGTTTATGGTGGAGAAATTCAACAAAAATCGGTGCAAAAAAGGGATGCAAAGAGAGAGAAACCCATGGGAAAATGGAAAAAAAACGGGGGGAGGGGCACAAAACGACTATAAATTATGAGGGGAAAATGGGAAAAAATCTAGAACAATCACTCGTCGTCCTCTTCCGAATCCAGATCGAGTCCTTCGAGTTCCTGCAATTCGTGTTCTGTGATTTCATGCATGTCTATGCAAAAATGCCAGGAATGAGGCAAATTTTCAGATGAGAATCGTTCTTTGAACCGATTTCCACAATTCGGAGTAATTTCCAGTCAGTTACCTCGTTATCGAAGAGCGATTCGTCGATTTCGACGTCTTCGTCGTCTCCGATGATGGTCACGTCCGACAGATTGAGTGTGGCGTCCCTGAGGAAGAGCTGTCTTCCCGTCAATCGGCCCGCCAACAACGCCAGTCTCTCCCTTTCCGCCGCGTCGATTTCCGCCTTCCGTTCCGCGTCGAATCTCTCTTTCCACGCGCGGAACGATTCCGGAGTCACCACCGTGCCTGCAAGTTGAGCGCATTTTAAGCATGGTTGGGCAAAAGCCAAAAGGCCACGCTTTTCGGACTTTTGGTCCACTTTCAATAATCCGATAAAGACCAAACTTTGCAGGCTTTTTGGACTTGAATCAAAGTATATTGGGTCCAAGTTTCAGACCAATCAGATTATCCGGTCCCGAGATATGTGGATCGGAGGCCGAGTTTTTGCGGCCTGAAACCAGTATATCTCGGGACCGGATAACCGAATCGGGCTGAAGCCTGCAAAGTTTGGAGTCGAAAGCTCTGATTTCGAGCAAAATTCTATCGACAAATTGGTCGTAAAAGTTTAAATTTTCCTAGATTCTGACCACGTTCAGCTACACTTTTGAATGCCTTTATGGAACTTTAGCTGACCTTCGAATTTCTTGCGGCTCTCGGCCTCCTTCTTCTCTTTCTCGATCTCGTGAATCTCGTCCTTGGCCCTCTTTTTCACCTCGACGAGCTCTCCGATCTCGTCCTGGAGGGCCGAAACGACGGCGAACACCATAACCATTCCGACGTTTTCCTCTGCGGTCGCACGCAGTTTCCGCACCGATTTTTCGATTCGCTCCTCGCTGAACACGTCCTCGATGCCGTTCAGCGAAATTTCCGGAATCTGTGATGATTTTCAGTGAGGAAATTCAAGGAAAAATGCAATACAATAGCCAAATTCCGTAGTTTTCAGTTTTTGAATTGAACATTTCGGGGTTTACCGTGATTTTCGGAAGCTTTTAAATCTGGAAAGGTTAAATTGGATGCTCACCGTGTCTGGATACGTCTCGGGGAACGTGATGCCCAGTGAAACTTCGAAATCGTCATCTGTCGGATCGTCGTACTGAAAAATGTGATTACAGATGTTTTTCGGTGGAGAATGTCAAAAAAACCAAGAAAGCAGTAAATTTTTAGCGTTTCACAAACTTAGCAGTGAAAAATAAACAACCAGAATTTCTCGCTCACCTGATTGGATTTCAACTGAATGCTCAAAGAAATGTTCGGGTAATCTCTCGATTCCACGTGGATTTCGTGCTCCGAATAGATCGCCTCGAGTGCCTCGATCTCCTGTTCCTGCTGCTCCTGATACGACATTTTCGGACTGAAATGCGGATATAAACGGACGGAAAAAGGTAAATGTCGGCGGAATGTGTGCCGAGTGTGCGATTGCGCGTCGCCGTGTTTGCGGACTTTGCACCGATGACCACCCACGGAAAAGGTCGCCGCCGAACTACAAATCGGAAAGAACGCGGCAGCGACGACGGGAAAACGATGATAGGCTACCATCCGATTTATTCACAATCAATAACGATACATATTCGTTCTGAGGATATACGAGTGCTAGTCTATATCAAGGAAAGAACAGTTTCCGGTTTGGGGGGCAGGAAATTTATTTATCGCTCGATTCAGCAGCAGAAAAAAATGGGGGAGATGGATGAGAGGAAACAATACAAAACACAATCCAAAAAAATTTAACACCACCTTTTTTCATAATTATTCTTTATTTCGAAACTAAAATTGGTGTGCTCAGAAAACATAAAACAACAATTCTACACATATTTAAGGGTGTTACGTGTTCTATGGCTTGAAGGTAGCCAAGAAGTTGGTCACGACTTCCTTAAGCTGAGCATCGGTTTGTGGAGAGATTTGTCCTTCGTCGCGGATGGTTTTGAGGAGAGCGGTCTGGGAGGAACGGAGATGAGCCAAGAATTCCTTCTCGAACTTGGTGATGGCAGAGGGGTCAAGCTTGTCAAGATGTCCCTTAACTCCGGCGTAGATGACTCCGACCTGTAAATATTGACAAATGTTCAGAGTGCCGCGGGTGATCAACTGCCTACCTGCTCCTCAATTCCCATTGGCACGTACTGTCCCTGCTTCAGGAGCTCGGTAAGACGGACTCCTCTGTTGAGAAGCTGCTGGGTGGCAGCATCGAGATCAGATCCGAACTGAGCGAACGCGGCGACCTCACGGTACTGAGCCAACTCGAGCTTCATCGATCCGGCGACTTGCTTCATGGCCTTGGTCTGGGCAGCAGATCCGACACGGGACACGGACAGACCGACGTTGATGGCTGGTCGGACTCCCTTGTAGAAGAGCTCAGTCTCGAGGAAGATTTGTCCGTCAGTGATGGAAATGACGTTGGTTGGAATGTAAGCGGACACATCTCCGGCCTGGGTCTCAATGACTGGAAGAGCAGTGAGGGATCCTCCTCCAAGAGTGTTGTTCATCTTGGCGGCACGCTCGAGAAGACGAGAGTGGAGGTAGAAGACGTCTCCTGGGTAAGCCTCACGACCTGGCGGACGACGGAGAAGGAGGGACATCTGACGGTAGGCAACAGCTTGCTTCGACAGATCGTCGTAGATGATGAGCGCGTGCTTTCCGTTGTCACGGAAGAACTCTCCCATGGCGCATCCAGAGTATGGGGCCAGGAATTGAAGTGGGGCAGCGTCGGAAGCGGTAGCAGAGACGACGATGGTGTAGTCCATGGCTCCGGCATCAGTAAGACGCTTCACGATCTGGGCGACGGTCGATCTCTTCTGTCCGACGGCGACGTAGATGCAGAAAAGCTTCTTCTTGTCGTCTCCGGCGTCGTTGAATCGCTTCTGGTTGATGATGGTATCGATGGCGATAGCGGTCTTTCTGAAAAGTGGATTGTAAAGATAACGAGCATTTTTCGCTTCTTACCCGGTCTGACGATCACCAATGATCAATTCACGCTGTCCACGTCCGATTGGGACAAGCGAGTCGACGGCCTTGACTCCAGTGAGCATAGGTTCGCGCACCGACAAACGCGGGATAATTCCTGGGGCCTTGACCTCGACACGAGATCTCTTGGCAGACTTAATTGGTCCCTTTCCGTCAATTGGGTTTCCAAGAGCGTCAACGACGCGTCCGAGAAGACCGTCTCCGACTGGAACGTCGACGATGGCTCCGGTACGCTTGACGATGTCTCCCTCTCTGATGACTTTGTCGTTACCGAAGACGACAACTCCGACGTTGTCGACGTCCAAGTTCATGGCCATTCCTTTGATTCCAGAGTCGAACTCGACCATTTCCTCGGCCTGGATGTTCTTCAATCCGTATACGCGGGCAATTCCATCTCCGATGGAGAGGACCTTTCCGGTCTCCTCGAGATTGATGCTGGTCTCGGTTCCAAGGATTCTCTCCTCAAGGATCTTAGAGACTTCGGATCCCGATGCGGCCATTCCGCGGGCGGTGGTGGCAATTCCGGCATTTTGGACCTGAAAGCAACACTTTTATCATTTGATTGTAAGAAAATCGATAATTCAGGCCAGAAAATGCGAAAAATCAATGAATTCTTGAAGAAAAATAAGGAAAAGCTGATAAACTGTAAGGAACGGTATTTTTTAATTTTCGTAATTTTCAAGCCTAAAAGCCGTGTTCCGGGTGGAAATTGACGGCGAATTCGATAAAACATACCTTAACGGTGTTTCCAAGAGCGGTAAGAAGGCGTTTCGACAACATCGCTGACGGGTCTGCTCGGAAGAAAATTCCAAAAGCAAAAGTAAAACCGGCGCTTTGCAGGGCGGCTCTACTGCGATGGGCGGTTGATGGAATGCAGGTTGTGCGGGGTACGGTAGCGCTTGGCTTGTGGCCAAGTCTCAATGGAGCGCACTTGCTGACCGCCTCGCCAATTTTTTGAACGCTTTCATCGACTTCTCAGCTTTTTCAGAAGGATTTTCAATTTTTTGAAATGAAATTTTGCTGTAACTGCGCTTAAAATGAAAATTGCAACATTTTGATACCCAAACTATCGATTTTTGCACGCAGATGAGCACAAGTCCTGACGAATCCAGTAGTTCTGTGATGGCCACATTCGAAAAAGCCAGTTCCTCCGACAATTCACTGACGAACAGCGCGGATTCGACGAAAATTCCGTGTCCGCAACGTCAAAAATCGATAGAATTGGTCAAAAAGCGGAAGCTTCTGGTTAATGAGTAAGAATTTATTTTGACTTTCCGATTTTATAAAATTTTTTAAAAATTTCAGTGAAGCTATAGACGAATCGAATTACGATGAAGTTGACATGAAAAAAATCAAATTGGAGGAGGAAGAGGCGCAAATTAAACGAGAATTGTCGAGAGAAGTAAGATTTTCGCGAATTCGCGCAAAAATCGCAAATTTTTGCAGTCAAACGCAAGTGCAACTTCAAAAGTGTCTCGAAAAGGAAGCCAAAAGAGTCAGGACTCTGATTTCGGTGTGGAAATTGTGGAAAAAACGGCGAAGGCGGCGCCGGTGGCAAAAAAGCAGTCCTTTTCGATTGATCGGCCTCGGAAAGTGAGAAACCTCTCAAATTATATCAAAAATGCTGTTTTCATTAGAAAGACTAGCTAAAACGTAGAATTACTGAAAAAATTCAACTTTTCCTAAACAATGCAGAAATTTCAACGTAAATTTTTTCAGTTTCAGTTCGCCGAGCGTCGCAAAGATTCGGACCGCGAGCCGTCGCACACCGAATCGAATCCCTTGACGGTGTGGACGGCGTCGGACGACTTCGCGCTGATGACCGCGGTCGGCCACGTCAGCTGCGTCCGTTTCATCCACGCCTCGCTCCCGTTTTCCCGCAAATTCTCGTTCGCCGACGTCGAGGAGCGCTTCTGCCAACTGATGTACGACGAGAAGATGGCGGCGGCGGCGAAGGAACGGATCGCCGCACTTCCGCCCCGGCAAAGGCTCCAGATTCAGGCGAGGACGCCGTTTTTACGAAGCGAGGAGAAGTGTCTGGTGGGCGCCGCGATGGCAATGCTCAATGCACTCAAAAAGGGAGAAACGGGCGGGACCGGAGAGGCAGACGGACATACAATGCTGCGGATTGAGCACTTTAAGAAGATCCTCGACAATAATAAGTGAGCGGATTGCCGTTTTTTCAGACCAAAACTTGAAAAGCACTGAAAAAGACGGAACAATTTAGGATCTACACCTTTTTCGTCTCTTCTCAGCCGAAAATTTAGTTTTAAATGGAAAGTTGGCTTTTAACGAACGTCAGAGAGCCAAATCCGCTCAAAATAATGAAAAAAATTGTCGGTTTGCTGAGGACCGTGAGAATGACAGGAGTCGAGAAAACAGCAGGCGATAATTGGCCAAACAAAAAACAAACGACGAGTATTTCCGCGCGCTCCTTCTTTTTGATCTACGGGCCGCGAAAATATTACGTTTTCAGACATTTTTTTTGAGTTTTTGGCGGAGCATTTTGAGCTTTCACGGAAAACTATGGCGTCACAGTTGTTCGTGTGACCAATCGCTACACAATGATACCACAAAGCGCGTGAAAAACTGAAAATTTACAAACTTCAGCAATTCTAGACCTACCCTTGTATCCAACGAGACTCCACTCATAACGGCGCGCCATTTTTGAACGTTCGCTCTCGGGAAGGCAGTGCGGCGGATGGCAGCCAGCCGAGCGATCGGCCGAAAAAAAAAGAAAATCCTCGGGACGGACGGACCGTCGAGGGGAAGTACCGCAACGCGACTACAAACTACAAAACGAGTGTTTATGATTGACGTGTCACTCGAACACCCTTTGATCTCTGCGACACGTGTCAACCGGTCCATGACCCGGTCAGAAGTGCTCGCGCGAATACCGCAACGCAGCCAGTCTCTCGGCAGAGCGATCCTCCTCGACATCTTTTTTCTTTCCTCCTCGTCCTCCTTGCCTGCCGTCCCGAACCGCAACGCGTCGCCCCGTGCACTCACTTTAAAGGCGCATCCATTTTAGTAGGTCACAAGGTCTCGCATCGTTGCGAGACCCTTTGACCTACACGCGCTAAATACGTGGTTCTCGGTTGTTTTTCTAGACTATTTGAGCTTCTGCTTGCAAAAATTCAGGGTTTCTGGGGATCGTTTGGTTTTTTCTAGAAATTCCACGACAAAAGCATAATTTTGTATGATTTTAGTCGAATTTCAATAATAAGATATGTCAGTCTAAAATCCTCGGAATTCGACTCAAGATGCGTTTTCAGATCGCAGTTCCACGCGTCGCGCACCCCGCAGATCCTTTCGGATCACTTCCGACGGATGAAGGGATACCGCGAGCGGACGGAAGAGTCCCTCCACAACTGGGACTCCCTCGAGGAACCCATCGACGGATTCGCCGCGCCGCCCGTCGATTTTCTCGCTCCGCTACAGTAAGTTCCCAGACAAATTGCCAAAAAATGCGGAGAACTCGATTTCAGAGCGTGTTCAGAGCGATTTCATGCAATTTCCCGGAAACCGCAGCTCCGCGCGATTCTCCACCGCTTCAAACCGTCGTCGAGTGTGCCGGACAACGCGATCGCCATCATTCACGGCCAATTCCTGCAGTACGCGATGATCGGACGGCAGGCGGTCATGGGAAGGGCCTCTCTGAATGAGAAGGTCGACATCGATCTCTCGAAGGAGGGTCCCGCAGCAAAAGTACGATCGTTTTCATAGAATTTGCAGTTTTTAAATAAAACCTTAGACGGAAAATCGCAGTGAATTATCCAATTTTGCAGGTGTCGCGCCAACAGGCGATCATACGATACGTTGCGCACGAAAACACGAATGACGGCCATTTTACCATTCAAAATCTGGGACAACGACCCATGTTTGTGGACGGAAAACCGCTCCCACAACTCGTCGCCACCTCCCTCAAACGTGAGCATTTTTGACTTTGATGAACGGGCGAAGGCGAACTGTCGCTTTTCACAAAAAGGTGTCCGTCCGGCCTGAAAGTGAAGGCGGAAGACGTGATAACGCCCGAGGGGGTACAGCTCGCATTCTCTGTGGACAAGAATGTGTCCGGCGGCTTGTTGTCTCATTCTTGCAATAAAGAAGACTACGGAGATTAAAACTTTATCAGCCTACACCAGAGAATCTCTCAATTTCTCTAATTTTCTGCTAAATCCACCGGGTTTTTGCAATTTTTCATTTGTTTGTAAAATTTTCACCAGAAAGTTTGCAGACGCGTCGATCATCGAAGTGGCCTCGCTCCGTCTGATCTTCTCGATTCCGGTGCCACGTGTCCTCCATCCCCTCGTCAAACAAGCGGCGATTCAGCAGAAAAAGAGCCAGGAGCAGCAGCAGCAGCAGAATCAGCCTATGGCGCCCACGCAACAGCCGAGGAACTACCAGCAGTACCAGAAGGGCGTGGCCAAGAAACGGACGGCCGGGGGAGCAGTGGGAGCCACGAGAGCGCCCTTTTCGTGCGGCGGCGGAGGCGCACAGTCCGTCATTCGAAGGGCCGATCCTGCCGAGAAAGAACGACTGCTGAAGGCCGTCGCCGGCATTGGACACTAGAAAAAGTGAGACGATTTAAATGAAAAGCTGTTGTTTTAAATGAACATTAGTGTTGAGCGGAAATGAAATTTGAAAACCCGGAAGACGGAATTCCGCTCAATACTGATGAACATGCAACTTTTTGTGATTGACGGTGTCCAGAGCTATACAATTGTTCTATCGAGGCACAAATGAGGAATTATCGGTGTTTCGGGCTAAGGAGTAGGCATGCACGTGGCATTAAATAAACAGAAACAGCAGGAGTGCGGCAAGGACGGGGCAATCGGGTTAAAATAAGAGCACGTTTAGAGATCAACCTAGGTGGTCAGTTCGGATTTGCGGGTGATATGGGGCATTGTACGGCAGGGGGATGGCGCCGAGCCAGCATAGCATCTTGCTTTTGCCGGTTGCACCTGGGCACTCTTGCTGTTTTGAACTGCCGAACATTGTTGTAGGCTCTGGAGACCGAAACATTGTTTGTGCCTGATTTTTCTCAAGTTGGTTTCTTTTCAGATTGCTCAAGATTCCACTTCTGTCGAAAACGGGTCTCCACGCCGTCGAATCTCTAAATTCTCGTGTAACCTTCCATTATACCTTGCATTCTCTTCATTGTTCCCCAATTTTTGTGAAATATCTGACATTTCCCCGCTTTCTTTCTTCCTCTTTTCCTCCCACTAAAAATGACCTTTCCAGACGCATTTCCCACGAGAACGTTACGCGTTTCTTGGAAAGGTTTTGGAAAAACGATTGTGACGACATTTTCAATTCGAAAAGAAATTTACCCCCCAAGAAAAAAAGTAATGATAGGCGCGCGTTTTCCCGCAGGAAATTAATGCGCGACGGTGCCAATCTGCTCACTTTTTTCTCGTCGATTCGCAAATGTGTATAGTTAGGGCCGCCTGGGATTTCTAGGCCACCGGAAAGTGGAAATCTCGGCCACGTGTCCTTTTTGCAGAAGAAAGAAGTTGGCAAACGAGACTAACTTTTGCGGCTCGAATGATTTTAGTCGAGAATTTTCAGCATTTTGTTTTCTGTGCACAAATTGTGAAGTACGTACAAATACACCCCTTTAGACCCGCAACTATATAACAAAAACCCAATTTTTCCGTTCTCTGATCCAAAAAACACGCGCAAAAGTGGGCGGAGTCGGCGGAAAAAGGGGCGGAGCCTGATAACCTCAATAGCTATTGTTGTAGTATTGTGGCACTAATCTCTGGATTTGTTTTTTTTTCGCCTTTTCATCCGTTCTTGTTTTGAATGAACTAGGCCGGATTAGCGGGATTCGTCAGCGATTCGATCAAGGACATCATTTCGAGTTCTCTGATTTTATTTTCGCGAATTTTCTGGAAAATCCCACTTTTTCTATTGAAAACCGCGTTTAAAGTTGACGAAAATTTCTTGAAGGCAGGTGGACCCGAACCCAGGACCACTAGTACCATTTTTTTTCAAGAAAACGGGGTTTAGAGTGTTTTGGACACGTTTTTGGAAGCCCATCATTTATTTCGGGCAATTATATGTGTTTTTGGGTAGCGGGTAGCCTTGACAATGGCATTTTCGAAGACACGTACTCATTTTAGGCGAGAACAACAAAATTCCAACTATTCTTGTGGAAAGTTGGCAAAACACATTAGCCAGCACGTGGCTTTGATCCCCGGTGTCCAGATTACTAACGGCGCCCGGGTCCACTAGGCCATACGGCTCATTTTTCTAAACAAAAAATAACCCCTCTTGTTTTTGTCTTTTCACCGCAAATTTGCTCGAATTGTGGTGTTGCTCATCCAATTATGGTCACTTGTGAATACCAACTAGACTCTCTACTCTCTACTCTTCTCCTTTCATTCATTCATACGAAAGTAGTGGCCGATGCACCATGTGGAAGAGAGAGAAAGACAGTTTATGTCGAATTTTTGCAGGAAAGGAAGAAGACGAAGAAGATGTTGATGAGTAAAAAGAAGAAATGGAGCTCGACCGGCTTCATTTCGTCGCTCGAGTCCACGCCCAACGACTTCTTCTCCCGGATGCCCGCCTCCATTCGAGAGGTAGTTTTGACAATGTTTGAAGGTCCGTATCTCGCGAACCGGTGATTATCTGAACAAGTGGTCAACTGAAAAATTGTTGCAAATTGTGTGCTGAACAACTTTGTAATTGACCATTTCTTTGTAAAATTGCTTATTCACAAGTTATAAGCCGATTTCTGAACAACATTGCTCTTGAATGAATAGTGTTTGGGAAAAAGCTCATAACTTTAGAATACCTCGTTTTTGAGAAAAATTTTCAGTTTCAAAGTTGTTAAGCACAAAATTTGCCACATTTTTCAAGTTAACCACTTTTCGAAATAGCAATCGGTTCTCGAGATATACGGATCTTTAGAAAGAGTTGGACGAAAACAAGACGGCGGTCCATATCCTAAGAACCAATGATTATTTCAAAAAGTTGTCAATTACATTGTTTTCAGAAACGCCTCATTATGCGCTTTTCCTGTACATTATTTATACGGCAGAACTATGAGAACGGAAAAGTATCCCAAAAACAAAAAAAAAACTGAAAACAATTTGAGTGGCAAAAGTTCGCCCCCCCCCCCCTCGAATGATCATTTTTAAGTGATTGCACGCGAAGAAGTGATTCGATTCTCTCAAAATATGAATAATATTGTTCGAAACGAGATTTTCCATGTTTTTACTCGGAAACGCGCTGCTTTTTTTCACCTTTTTTGACTTTTCGTGACTCGCAAAAACATTCGGCCTTTTCTTGGCATTTTTCGGATTTTTCAGGTTCCCAGAAAAAAGCGAGCGATTTCACTGACAATTGTACATGTTTTCCGTCTAGACGTCACCGATTCGTTTTTTTTGCACAAAACATTTCGCAAATAGGAATGGTTACTCGAATGGGGGGGGGGGGCCGAAAAACAACAAAGAAAAAGGCAATTTTCGAGATGAATTCCATTGAAATTCGAAATTCTCGAATTAATCGATGAACCGGCACACTTTCGCCCCCCGATTTTCGCTTCAAATGTTCGCAGATTATGCACATTTTCGGTTCGGAGCCCGGAAGAGCCAAATATGTTTTGGTTTCACGTATTTTTTGCAGCTGTTTTTCGTGTGACTCATCGCCTCGCCGGTTCCTCGTTTCTAATTTCGGATGCTAGGCCATCATTTGAGAAAGTTAGGCCATTGACGAAATTGTACCTGTCGGGTCCGCCCAGCCCATCCCAGCCTTCTTTTCTTGACTCGGGATCAGAGTTGAGCGGAAGAACTCAACGGAAGAACACGGAAGAATTTTTTATCTTTTTTAGAAAATTTTTTCATGGAATGTGATCAACTGAAAAAATGTACAGCAAAGTGAAATCTGCTCATAGAAAAATAATTGTAAATTTAACTTTTCATACAAAAAAGTTATTCGAGTTGTTGCGTGAAAATGTCCTTCCGTCTGCGCTTAGCCCTTAACTTTTTTGTATGAAAAGCTAAATTTACAATTATTTTTCTATAAGCAGAGTTCACTTTGCTCTACATTTCGTCAATTGATCACATTTCATGAAAAAATTTTCTAAAAAAGATACAAAATTCTTCCGTGTTCTTCCGTTGAGTTCTTCCGCTCAACTCTGATGACCACGCGGATCCTAGGCCATCTTCCAGATGAAATTTCCGAAATTTCATCTGCAAATCCCTTTCTTCCATCAATTTCGCGGGTCTTCATTTAGACGGAATGGGCGGGGCTTCCGATACGAAAACAAATGAATTTGCCCCCGCGAATTTTTTGGGCCAAACAATTTTTTTTTTGCCGAAATTTTGTGCGCACGTTTCTGGAATTCAATTTCACAAAACGTTTGACAAGTCCATTCGAGCTCGTGAATACTAATTTTCTTCGTTTTTATGTCGCAAAAAGTGTTTTTCATTTCGAATTCCCACACGACTCAAATGTGAGTCATAAGTGAACAAAAAAACGCGTTTTTTTTTCAATTAGAAAATCTCTGGTTTTGTCACTTTCGTGCGAATTTTTCGACTGAAACGGACGAAAAAAAAACAGAAAAATTAGAGAGGAACCGTGAGAGAGAGAGAGAGTGTGAAAACAAAATTAATCGGAGCCAGCACACACACTTGAGCTCGTTTTTCGCTTTGGGTTCAAAAGTTTTACGAAAAAGTGTCAAGCAACTGTAGGAATCAGTGTTGAGCGGAATTCCGTCTTCCGTTTTCCGTCTTCCGTGGTTTTTTTGTTCCGTCTTCCGAGAGAAACATTTTGTTCCGTCTTCCGTAAAAAAAATTTCTGCCGTCTTCCGTTTTCCGTCTTCCGTGGTTTTTTTGTTCCGTCTTCCGTGTTCCGTCTTCCGTGAAAAAATTTCTTCCGTCTTCCGGATTTCAAAATTCCATTTCCGCTCTCACCTCTGGTAGAAATGCTAGGCCGCAATTTGAGTGCAAAGCTCAGAAAAAGAGCAACCTTTTTCCAAGAATGTTTCCCATAAAAAAGTGCGTACACACATGAATATTAAATGATGAATGGTGGTTCTTTGGGGTGGCATTTCTGGCGACTGTCACTTGACAAATTACATTGTTTTTTTCCGATGGAGTTGCATTCAAATTAACCCCATTTTCCTGAATTTTTCTCTCTTTTTTGCCAAACTGCATCTATTATCCTCTCTGTTTTTTGGTAACTTTTTTAGTGTTCAAATAGTGAACCATTTTTTTTCGTTACCTTATGAAAAGAACGTCCATAATGTAAAATACTGGTATTTTTCGCAAAAAAAACGTATTCAAATGAGGAAAAAAAACCCCGGGGAAGAGGTTTTTTTTCCTATGTGGAAACCCTGTTCGTTGCGAGACCCGTGCTAATAAAGGCATGCGCCTTTAAACAGAACCGGGCGGTTATTTAAATTGTTTAAAGGAATAGGGTTTTTTTGCGTAAAAACCAGTCAAACAGTCGGCTGAATAGATCCGTAAAAAGTAAAGTGTGAGGAGGGTGCCACGTCATCCCACACCCTCCCACTCGTTTCTTTTCGTGCGCCACCATTCATAATCCGTTTTGCGCCGCCGCCGCCGCCGCCAATGACGCTCTTCTCCTAATTCGCCCCAATTTTCGTATGAAAAGAACGTGTCTGGCCAGCATTTTCGGGGTTTCCAGACGATTTCCGTTATTTTAAGCGCTCGTAGGGGTGTGGAGCATTTTTTTGAACGTAGTTGAGATTTTTCAAAGTTTTCAAAGTGTAGAATCGTCTATTCTAGCGGTGTGCTCCCTTTAATGCACCAACTACAGTAGGCCCCTTCCATAATTTCCGTGTTTTCCTGTTTTCCATTAGGGAATCCCGTTGAGATGTGTCTGAGCACAAGGCACAAAAGTTCAGCACGTTGCCAACAAAAATCTGCCGAATGTACCGTTTTTCCGCCTGAAAAACAGCGACTTTAGCGAAAAATGGATTACGGTAGGTTCAATTGTGTGCCAACACCGTTCAATGCACCATACTTGACGACAAAAACAATTTCCGAACCAGATTCCAAAAATTGGGCTCAAGTTCGATGCGCCGACATGTCCGTGCCATTTTTGTCTCTTTGAAGAGTTGGAAAATGGGCGTGGCCTAACTTTTACACGACGGACACCTAGGCCACCGATGATTTATGGACCAAAAACTGGAAAATTTTACATTTTCCTCTTTTTCTTCATGTTAATTAAATCACGAGGCGACATATATGGGATTAGTTATTTTCCTCTTTTCTTTTTCCCATTTTTCTCTCATTTTCGACCTCGGACACACTGAAAAACGAGAAGAGGCCGTGAAAACAGGGTCGGGTGCGAATAACAAATTTATTAATTTCCACTTTTCATATTTTAAGTCTCGTTCAATTTGCCGAGCCGCGGACCAACTTTGGTTTTCTAGGCCACCGCCCGCCGAACTCGTTTTGCACTTGTTTTCAACTTTTCTACAGTGTTTTCTGGTCAAACAAACTCTTTTGGAAGTAATTTGTTGTTCGGCACTGCCACGTATGATCGAAATTTGCGATTCTAGGTCATCCCATTGTAATTTTGTTGTTTGACAGCATTTCGCTTTGTCGCTATGAAAATGTACTCTTCAAAACGACAAAAATCGTTTGGTGTCACCCGAGAATCGAACTTGCAGCAAAATTTTGTCATCGATTGGTATTTGACTCAAAAGATGATGTTGGTGTGCGAAAAGAAGATGTAATAAAAAATTGTGACATGACATGCACAATATTAATTTTGACATTCAAGACCCAGACCATCTTTACGAGTGTTTTTGTGAAAGTGTAGACCAAAAAACATGGGGAATTCTAAGAGATCAAAAATTGCTTCACCGCGCAGCCAGTTTATCACTGCCCTCCGCGTCTGCCCGCGGCGTGACAACCGTGGCCCAGTGGCGAACAGTTTTGCAATTGAATCGATTGCCGGGTCGGGTTCGATTCCCCACCATTCAAAATATCTTCTGCGTGCCCAATTTCCCGAGTACAACGGCAATGTTCTCTCCTCTAACACGTTCGTTTTTTCAGATGTTCGATCAGTTGCCCGACAACAACACGTCGCCGCAGGTGAGCGCATAAACATTGTTTTTCTCGCCCGAAAAACAATGCATCAGTTTCAGGCGATGGAGCAGCCGTCGTTGGAGATCATGCTCCTCCACCATCTAATTATCATTCTACTCACTCTTTTCGGAAACACGCTACTCGTCTACGTGATTTACAAGAATAACAAGGTGCTGCGCCGGAAACGCGTCACGCCCGTCCAGGTACTGTCCGCTTTTTTCTTGAGGATTTTTGTCTCCATGGCACGGTCTCCCACGGCGCGAATGATGATTCAATGGGGCGCACTTGCAACAGGCGGGCTGTGTCGATTTACGCGGCGGCGGCCGATTAATTAATTTTCAACGGGAGTTCGCGTTCTTTCCATGTTTTCTGTACAATACACCTATTTTTTTGTACGCCTGGAACCTGGCGTCGAATAATTAGAGCACTAGCTACGTTTTGGTAACAGAAATCTCGCATATCGTTGAGAATTAGCCGAGTTATTTCGATTTGAACGTTTTGGCCTGGATTTTGATGTTTTTCGAATAGTTTTCGCGAAAAGTGCTCAATAAAACTAACCGCCGGAACCTGAATTTTGTGAAGAAAGATTCAGCGAACATTTTTATCGTTCGTTGGGCTCATGAAATGCAAAATGAGCTGAAATATAAAGGTTTGAAGTTTTGACGAAATGCGAAAAACATGAAAAACTCTAAATTCTGTAAATAACGGTTTCCAACCGGTAAAATATTGTTTTCTAGACGTTTTTCAAGTCAAAAAGAAAGAAATAAAGGTCGTAAACTCGAATTGAACTCCATTTTTAGACCTGCAAATTTTCAAAAGTTACAACGACACTCCGCAATTTACGAGCGCACTGTGTTTAGCATTAGCGCCCTGGGAGACCGTGCATGGTGCATTGAAAACCGGCCAATTTGCAGATGCTCATGCTGCACATGTGCGCCGCCGACATCCTATTCGCCGTGATTTCCGTCGGACCGACCATGGCGATCACCGCCACCGTTCCCTACTTTTACGGGCCGAATTGGTTGTGCAAACTCACCAAATTCCTGCAAGTCATCCCAATGTACGCCTCCTCGTTCCTTCTCGTCGCCATCAGTGCCGATCGATATCAGGTGAGCGTTTTTCGTTTTTTGGAAATGAACTTGACAATATGAGCGTGGCCTCGGCGGCCAAATGGCATTTTCATGAATTGAGCACGTTCTCTCTGATTTTTGTGGTCAAAGGCGATGAAAAATGATTGTTCGGCATGAAAACACACTAATTCTCAGAATTAATGACGTTTTGGCGCATTTTTCGCCGACTTTGCTTTTTCGCCTTCGCCGCCGATCGCCGCCTAAAAAGCGCACTTCTCATTTTGCGCTTTCTTGACCGTTTTCAGAAAGAATTGGTTTTGAGAATGATAAATCACGAAAATACAAGCATTTTGAGCGCTCGAACCGCGAAAATGACCGAAAAGCGACTGAAATTCACGCAGTTTTAGCCAAAAACCTTCAAACGGATAAATGTGATTTGCGACTTGACCAAATTTGACGCTCTTGCGCTTAAAAAATTCGTAATAGCCTATAAAATCAGTCTATCGAGAGACAAATGAGAAATTATCGATTTTTCGTGGCTAATCTCGCAAAAAACACAAATTTTGCTGTTAAAATTTGAATTTCGCGCCAATCTCCAATCCGTTTTCAGGCAATCTGTCGCCCGCTGGCCTCGATGAAATCGTCGGCCTACAATCGTCCGGCGCTGTACTCGGCGATCGCGTGGACCGCCGCCATCCTCTTCAGCACTCCACAATTGTACCTGTTCGAGAAACGAGACGGCGATTGCCACGAGAACTACACCGAGGACTACCAGTACCCGCTGTACGTGTGCCTCTTCAACTCGGTCGTCTGGCTTCTGCCCTCCGCCATCGCCGGATACCTCTATTTGTGTGTGTGCAAGGCCGTGTGGAAGAGCACCTCGTTCACGAGTTCGCTGCGAAACAATATGAAGCAGAAGATCGAGCACTTGAAGTTGGCGGCGGTGAACGGCGGAATGCAGGCGCATCACAAAGGTATCCGAGACGGTTTCCAATGCTCTAGGCCATCGATTTCTCTTTCAGGCGCCACAATGCAGTGCGTCGAGCTCGATCGTCGTCGCGTTCAAACCGTGAAACTGACGCTCACCATCGTCGCCGCCAATTTCCTGTTATGGGCTCCATTTTGCATAACTTCCGTCATCGACGCCCTCTGGCCGTATGCGATAAGTGAGTGAGCACCTGTGTTGAGCGGAATTCCGTCTTCCGTCTTCAGTCGATTTTTTTTGTTCCGTCTTCCGTCTTCCGTCGATTTTTTTGTTCCGTCTTCCGTCTTCCGTGGATTTTTTGTTCCGACTTCCGTCTTCCGTGGATTTTTTGTTCCGTCTTCCGTGGATTTTTTGTTCCGTCTTCCGTCTTCCGTGGATTTTTTGTTCCGTCTTCCGTCTTCCGTGGATTTTTTGTTCCGTCTTCCGTGGATTTTTTTGTTCCGTCTTCCGTCTTCCGTGGATTTTTTGTTCCGTTTACTAGCCCCGAAGAACGCGAATTTCCACGGGCAATGACCCAGATCCAAAATTTTTGTTGTTTAGTTTTTTTTTTCAAAAAAAAACCGGGGAAAAATGCTCTGAATTGACGATTTTTTTGTTCCGTCTTCCGGGAGAAAAAGTTTTCTTCCGTCTTCCGTATTCCGTGTTCCGTAAAAAACATTTTTTTCCCCCCAAGACGGTGGCCTAGAAACCGACCCATTCGGATTTCTAGGCCACCGCCCAAATTTGCACTAGAAAGTCGAAAAAAAAGCGGTGACGTAGAATTGGGTGTAGATTTTGAATTTCCGGTTGTTTTTTTCAGATTCCACCTTCGCCACGTACATTATGTTCTTCGGCAACCTGAACAGCTGCATGAACCCGTGGCTCTGGTTCCATTTCAATCGGACCCAGTTGCGGAGGGCGTGTCCGTGCGGAAAATCATCGGAACCGCTCATCCAATCGTTAGTTTACGTTCATGTGATGACCAGTGAAAACCAGAGTGATTTCTATTGACACTTCCCCCTTTTTCTCTTTTTTTCTCTCTTTTTTCTCTCTTTTCCCGTCCTGTTTCGTCCATTTGTACACGTTGTGCACCGTTTTCTTGCCTTTTTCTCGCACCTTGACTTGAAATGTGCGGAAGTGGAGAGGATTCTCGTCGAAATTTCGTCTAGCCGTTATGATTTTTGAACTCGGCAAGCGATTTCGAGTGATTTGACACCCATCATGACCATATTTGGTCAACAAAAAGTTTTGACCACATTCTAGGACACCCATGTCGGAAAATTTCGAATTTCTCCAAATCCTATCATGATGTATGTCAAACCAACCAGAATTTCACGCTGATTTCAAAAATCGTAATGAGACTCTTGTAAACTTTCAAATTTCCCTAGTTTGACACTACCCCAAAAATGGGACCGCTCAAGTTCGATGCCCCACCACGTCAGCTCTATTTTTGTCAACGTGGACACCAAAACGTAACGATCTGACATGCCATTTACGCACTTCCGTCTGCCACTTTCTCCTTTTCTTTCTCGTATAAATATTATCCAATTCGTTTTGTTTCTGTCGCCCCCCCTACTCATTGCCTTATTTCCAGTCGCCGATTGATGGACGGGGACCAAGCGCAGACCGAGTTCACGGTCGAGATGGCCGTCAATTCCGAATCGAATCGTTCCTACTGATATTCCATTTTTTTTTGGTCTTTTTTTTTAAATCAATAATTTGTGCGCTCATTTCAAAATGAACATTAACAATGATCATCGTTTATTCACACAAAACACGACAGGAAACGATCAACCGAAACGTGGCTTCTGAATGCCGTCGATGGTGCGCAAAAAGCCGGACATGTCCTCGAATCCCTCGAGCGGCGCACGACGTTCCTTGGCCGGCAGGAACCGCCTGAAAACGAGAAAAACGGTGGTCCCGGATGGTTGGAATTCGATTTTGTGCGGTCTCAAGTGTCACTAGCAAAACAGCAGAAAACACTTCAAACCAGCAAGATCCAGCGGGGACCGGGTTCCTTATGGATCCACCCCCTACAACTCACTTGAAAAACTCGAGTTCCTGCGCGCGAGCACTCATCGGACCGTCGGCTCCACTGGCGGGACCGTCGACAAAGGATCCGGCGACTCGCGGCTCGAGGGCGTAGGCGGAATAGGTCGAGACGGCGATGGAGAGGAGAAGGGCGAGGACGACGAGGAGACGCGGCATTTTAGGACCCTGGAATGAGAGAAATGGAGTGGGGGAATGGGGAAGTTCATGAGGTTGTGGGGAGAGGAAGAAGAAGAAGGAAAAGTTGGTCTCGAGCTGGATCCTATGGTTTCAATCAGAGTTGAGCGGAAGAACTCAACGGAAGAATTTTTATCTTTTTTAGAAAATTTTTTCATGGAATGTGATCAACTGACGAAATGTATAGCAAAGTGAACTCTGCTCATAGAAAAATAATTGTAAATTTAGCGATTCATACAAAAAAGTTATTCGAGTTTTTGCGTGAACAAAGGAGGGCTAACGGAACAACTCTAATAACTTTTTTGTATGAAAAGCTAAATTTCCAAATATTTTTCTACGAGCAGAGTTCACTTTTCTATACATTTCGTCAGTTGATCACATTTCATGAAAAAATTTTCTAAAAAAGATAAAAATTCTTCCGTGTTCTTCCGCTCAACTCTGGGTTCAATGTGCATTAACCAGCATTCTACGATCATTCACTATCATTCGGTAGCATTCAGTATCATTTGAAAGCATTCTATCATGATTTAGAAGCATTCTATATGCATTCACTAGCATTTTAAAGCATTCTCCATCTTTTGAAAGCATTTTTGAAAGACTTGAACTCAATGACAGTCCCCCTAATCTAACAGGACCATCAGAACCAACTTGGGACCAAAAGCGTCAAGCCACAACCAGCAGGGACCGCGCCAAAAAGGCAGCGGTCCCTCTTGAGCCGTGGAGCCACGAGCCAAGAAGGCTGCGAGCGGCTCCGACTCTCTCTCTCTCTCTCTCTTTCTCTCTCTTTCTTCCAAACTCGCTCCCTTTTATACAATCACCGCCACGTCAGGAAACAATTATTCCCCCCCAAAAAAAGAGGCGGAGCCCGGCTCAAATGTCGCAAATCTCAATTATGGTGACAAGTCAATTGGCGTCGTGTTATGAGGTATCTAATGGGCACCGGTCCCCGAAAGTTGTCACGCACCGAAAAATCGACGAAATGGGCGGTTCGTTAAAGTTTTGCAGCGAAATCGAGGGGATCAGCGGATAGAGCACACGTTTTTGCATACGGGTGTGTAGTCCGGTGCCCGAAAGTTGGGCGGTACGGTCCCCGAAAGTTGGAGGGTCGGAAAAGGGTTCTAACCGGTGGAACCCATTATCCAACCATTAAGGACCACTTGGAAATGTAATCACACTAAAATAAAGTTGATTTTCCCGGAATTTGCACACGAAATATTGTCGGTTTTATGGGATTTTCAAGTGTTCTTTGCTCGGCAACCACAAAGGATTACGGTAGACTTTTCATGTCATGTGTCCAAATATTTTTTCAATGAAAATGAAAAAAATGAGTTTAAAAAGATAAAATCTAAAGAGACTATCTAAAATTTAATCTTTCAAACCACGAAAGTTCGTGGCAAAAAGTGCTGAAAGCGATAAGATCTCGTATTGTAAATAACGCGCCGATTCGAGCGTTTACGGTCGCTTTCGCGTCGAAATGGACAATATCACGGACGGTGCGGAACGCGCCATGTTTCGGCGCATGAAAATGAGCGGATACGAGGAGATGCTCTTCGTTTTGAGCAAGAACGAACCGGTGGAGCCGGTCGTGCCGCCGATGAGAAAGGTTTGCGGATATTGTAGAGTTCCTGTGATATTTCTCTCGTTTTCCGCGCCGCTATTGTGCCAAGTGTCCGCAACTCGAGTTCCCGAACGAATCCGCCCGGCTCTGGCACCAATTCGTCCACGTCAAAGAATACAACGGTTTTCTGGAGCGAAGTGAGCATTCTGGCACCACGATTCTACCCGAATTCAACTTTGTACGTCCTAAAAGTCTCGGAAAACCCGCAAATCTCGTGGATTTTGCAGTCCAAAGTCGGCAGAAATTTGCGGGAAATCCGGGGTGCGCACAGCTGAACGAGTGTTACCGTACACCATATAACTACGGTATTTTTTTGAAAAAAATTAGCCAATTTGAAAAAAATTCCAAAAAAATTCTCGAGAAATTTAAATTTTTTTCAAAAAAATACCGTTGAAAATTTAGCCAAGAAATTTGAAAAAAATTTCAAAAATTCTCGATAAATTTAAATTTTTTTCAAAAAAATACCGTTGAAAAATTTAGCCAAGAAATTTGAAAAAAATTCCAAAAAAATTCTCGAGAAATTTAAATTTTTTTCAAAAAAAATACCGTTGAAAAAAATTAGCCAAGAAATTAGAAAAAAATTCCAAAAAAATTCTCGAGAAATTTAAATTTTTTTAAAAAAATACCGTTGAAAAATTTACCTAAAAAAATTTGAAAAAAATTCCAAAAAAATTCTCGAGAAATTTAAATTTTTTTCAAAAAAATACCGTTGAAAATTTAGCCAAGAAATTTGAAAAAAATTCCAAAAAAATTCTCGAGAAATTTAAATTTTTTTCAAAAAAATACCGTTGAAAATTTAGCCAAGAAATTTGAAAAATTCCAAAAATTCTCGAGAAATTTAAATTTTTCCAAAAAATACCGTAGTTTTATGGTGTACGGTAACACTCGTTCAGCTGTGCGCACCTCGGATTTCCCGCAAATTTCTGCCGACTTTGGACTGCAAAATCCACGAGATTTGCGGGTTTTCCCGAGACTTTGGACGTGGCACAACCCAAAAGGGACCGTTTTGCAGTGTGCTCCGTGTCCTCACTCCAAGTGCAATCTCAAATTTTTCGATTTCATCGACGCGAAAATCCATTATCTGCTCGCCCACCAGTGCTGTGTTTTGACGTGTTGCGGACGGAGATTTCACGATTATCGGGCCGTTTTGGACCACTTTGAATGTACATTCAAATGTCAAAATGACGATGATAATGCTGAGAGACATTATTTGAATGTAAGTTACCGTAATCCGCTTGTGAGCAACCCCTAGTTTCTCTTCGATTTTGAGCAAAATGGAATACTTTTCTAGGTTTACTGTCATTTTTATTGCTGTACAGTAATCCTGGCCTATTTTTGTTCGCGTTTCAAGACCCTAACATCACTATTTTTTTCCTACAACCACTCTCTGTCGGTTTTCAAAGTTTGGCCACGACTAAAATTAGACCCAACTTTTGATGGCTACAGTACTCCAGGGAGTGATCGTATCAAAAAGTGTTCAACTACAAAATGAAAGTTCCCCCCTAGTACTCACTTTTTGTAGTTGACCACTTTTTCCTAGCAGCACTCCGCAGAGTACTGTAGCTCTTTGAAGTACGGTGAGCAAGTTTTGCAGGTGATGTACGTGTGCAACTGTTGCTCGAAATCATGGCCGACGCGGACCGAACACGCGAATCATCTGCACGGCCGAGAACACATGTGTCCTGACCCTGTCTGTCGTCGCGTTTTCGCTGAAAACGAGCACGCCATCACTCATTTCTTCGATGTTCATTACGTGAGTATGTAGATCCTTAATATCGCCTATTCGGATTGATGTATCTCGGCTGTCGGTAGAGCTATCAAAAAGTCATTAACTATCAAAATGTGCAAAATTTGTCAATGAACATTTCATCAGTTGACCACTTTTCGATATCTGTACCGGCAGCTGAAATATGCGAGCCAGAGTTGAGCAGACACGGAAGAATTTTTATCTTTTTTAGAAATTTTTTTCATGGAATGTGATCAACTGACGAAATGTAGAGCAAAGTGAACTCTGCTCATAAAAAAATAATTGTAAATTTAGCTTTTCATACAAAAAAGTTATTCGAGTTGTTGCGTGAAAAAGGAGAGCTAACGGAACAACTCGAATAACTTTTTTGTATGAATCGCTAAATTTACAATTATTTTTCAATGAGCAGAGTTCACTTTGCTATACATTTCGTCAGTTGATCACATTTCATGAAAAAATTTTCTAAAAAAGATAAAAATTATTCCGTGTTCTTTCGCTCAATTCTGATACGAGCTAGACGGACCGGACCGGTACGGTTTTAGAGTCATCTGGTGATCGACAATCGTAAAGTGTTCCTCAGTTTCAAACATTTTTTGAAGTACGATGCGACACGACGCGAGAGAATGCATGTAAATTATTTGGAGACGTACAATAGTTTTGCCGATCTCGTTTACAGGGTCAATTGAGATGCGAAGTCTGTTTGAGACTCTTCAATTCGGCGAAGCGAATGAGAAGACATTTCGAGGCGGACGACTGTATCGTTGACTCGAAAACAGTAGAAATACACTAGAAAGGGTACAAACTCTCGCAATCGCTTCTTTTGCAGACGTTCCCGCCGGTGGTGCCGTGCAGTTGCGGCCACCAATTCGTCTATTGCTTCCACCAACGCGACTTTCTCCTCCGAACGCTTCCGTCGTTCCGTGAGGCGATCGAGAGCATCGCAAGAGAGGCGCCCTACAATCGAATGCCCGACGACGTGGTATTCTGACTCGAACTAACAAGCGACGAATCTTGAAGATGTCTCACTTTCAGATCGAAATCTACGCAACGATGATCAAAGTGATCGGAGAGGTAAACGAGCGTCTGCTCGAGGAGAAGTACATCAGCTACCAGCGCGTCGACGCTTTCGAGCACGACGATTTGAGTGCTCGGCAAGTGGCGGACCTTCTGCTCGGAGTCGTCGACTACTTCTCCACTCTTTTGTAGCCGTTTTGTGGAGAAAATAAAGACTTGTCTAGCAGTGTTGAGCGGAATTCTGTCTTCCTTCTTCCGTCTTCCGTCTTCCGTCTTCCGTGGATTTTTTTGTTCCGTCTTCCGTCTTCCGTCTTCCGTCTTCCGTCTTCCGTCTTCCGTCTTCCGTGGATTTTTTGTTCCGTCTTCCGTGGATTTTTTTCTTCCGTCTTCCGTCTTCCGTGGATTTTTTTGTTCCGTCTTCCGTCTTCCGTCTTCCGTCTTCCGTCTTCCGTCTTCCGTCTTCCGTGGATTTTTTTGTTCCGTCTTCCGTGGATTTTTTCTTCCGTCTTCCGTCTTCCGTGGATTTTTTTGTTCCGTCTTCCGTCTTCCGTCTTCCGTCTTCCGTCTTCCGTCTTCCGTCTTCCGTCTTCCGTCTTCCGTGGATTTTTTGTTCCGTCTTCCGTGGATTTTTTTCTTCCGTCTTCCGTCTTCCGTCTTCCGTGGATTTTTTAATTTCCGCTCAACTCTGGCTACAATATCACAAGTTGTGAGTAATAACGCTGACATCATATTGTCGGATTAAACCTCTGATTTGCATATTGCGGGTGACAGACTGTTCGGCACCCGCCGCCTACTAATCAAAACGGAAAAATTCTGGAATCACATGACAGCACTTATCAATGATCGGAATCACTGTTCCGAGTACTTAAACGAGGTGTCGATCGGCAAAACGCATCTCTCTTTTTTGACGCCTTTTTGGTTTCTGTTGACTTTCATCTGATCCGGATTCCGTATTCACGGTCTCCAGAGCTGTCAATATGGGCGTGGCCTCGGCGGCCAAATGGCATTTTCATGAATTGAGCACGTTTTCTCTGATTTTTGTGGTCAACGGCGATGAAAAATGATTGTTCGGCATGAAAACACACTAATTCTCAGAATAAATGACGTTTTGGCGCATTTTTCGCCGACTTTGCTTTTTCGCCTTCGCCGCCGATCGCCTCCTAAAAACCGCACTTCTCATTTTGCGCTTTCTTGACGGTTTTCAGGCAGAATTGGTTTTTAGAATGATAAATCACGTAAATACAAGCATTTTGAGCGCTCGAACCGCGAAAATTACCGAAAAGCAACTGAAATTCACGCAGTTTTAGCCAAAAACCTTCAAACGGATAAATTTGATTTGCGACTTGACCAAATTTGACGCTCTTGCGCTTAAAAAATTCGTAATAGCCTATACAATCGGTCTATCGAGAGAAAAATGAGAAATTATCGATTTTTCGTGGCTAATCTGGCAAAAAACACAAATTTTGCTGTTAAAATTTGAATTTCGCGCCAATGTATCGCTCTATTGGGCGGGGCGCCCATTGTCAGCTCTGGAGACCGTGGTATTCCGCTTTCGATCCACTTTTTTCCAGAATGTGCTCTTTCAAACTCGCGTTCGCCGTGCTTTCCCTCAGCGCTCTTGTGATGGCGGGTCGTCAGGAAGGGTTCGGAAGATCCAGAGGGATCCAGGGACCGACGTTCCTCCGAAACGTCACCCGCGCCGGCCGTGAAGCCTTCTTCGCGATCGTCTCTAATTCTTCGCTCACCATCTCCGAAATCGAATCCGAATCGACCGCGTGGGCCTCAACCTACGGAGTCTCGGTGAGCCACTGGGACCATTCGCCAACTGATTATCGTTTTCAGGAAGCTTACGCATCCTTCGCCGCCAACGAGACCGCCAAAGCGAGCGAATTGCAACAGAACGTGACGACGGTGCTCGGCAACCTCTCCACAGTCCGCAGTTCCTTGGAGACCATCCTCGACAACAAGAACCAGACGGTTTCGGCGCAAAAGAAAGCGATTGAGGCGCTGAGAGAGGAGTCGCCGGTGGTTGGTCCCTTTCAGTTGGTCCCTCTTTCATTGCACACGTTCAGGAGGTCGCCGCTCTCTTTTTCATCGCCGAACTGTCGGCTCCGCGAGCATTCGGATCGTTCTTCGGATAATTCTTATTCTGGACGACATAATTCAACCGATTTCGAAATGCATAATATACTTTTCCTTATACTAATCAATAAATGTGTGGTTTAATAAATCTGTAGTCGGAATACTCGAACCTTGAGAGACTTTCAGATAAAACCCACTTTTCTTAACCATACATCGGCGTCTCGTGCCCTCCGCCGCCGGTCTTATAACAGCCCTCGGGCGCACTCTCTGGGCAGTCCGTTGTGGTCTAGTGGTTAGGATTTATGGCTCTCACCCATAAGGCCGGGGTTCGATTCCCCGCAACGGAATTACTTTTTTCGCTTTTCATGTTTTCGATATTATCCATTCGGTGGAATCACTTTTTGGCCGGAAACCACGATGAGAGTGCTGCTCTTAATCCGATTTATCATCAAAAGAGAGAGAGAGAGAGAGAGAGAGAGGGATGGAGGAAACGGGCGGCTAATCCCGATGATATCAAAACGGCCGGATAATATCCCTTTTCTCTGATTTTCTCGCCTCATTTTTCTTGCTCTTCGTGCCCCTGGGACTTGGTGATATGCACGGACGAGGCGGGCAGTCAGAAGCGTAAAATAAAAATACGTAAAAATTTGCGCCCGCCCGCATCTCTCATCCGCCCCCTTTTTCCCTTTTTGCACAATCTCGAGACGGCTTCTTGGCCGTTTTATGCGCTTTTTTAGTGACATTTCGATGGTCGCCACCGCCCTCGAAAACATTCCTATTTCATTTTGACACTTTTTGAAGGTCGTAATGGAGATCGGATCGGTGGAAGTGACGATCACACACGTCGGACTAGGCGTCGGCATGTTTTTGGTTTATCTGGTACGTTTATCCATAATTTTCGCTCAAATTCAAGGACGCTTTCTGAAAATTTTCTGAAAAATTAGAACTCTCTTCAACGCTCTGATTCACCACACTTCAAGAATCCGTTGAGTATTGAGATTGAGCTAATCAGCCACCATTCACACATTTCTAGTGACTCATCAAAACGATATATCTCAGCCGCCGGTAGAGATATCAAAAAGTTGTCAACTAATAAAATGATCATTAGAAAATTTTGTACATTTTATCAGTTGACCACTTTTTGATATCTCTACCAGTAACGGAGATACAGAGCTTTGAATGTAAACTCGCACAAAAATGGCACTTCTTCCAGATACTATCCATAATCTGCAAACAACTGAAACTTCGGAGGGAGCGGAAAGTGCCCAATATTCTACGACAATTCGAGAAGGTGCCGGGCCTTCACACAATCCGTACGCCCACGCACACGCTCTTCTGCGGCGTCTACAATCAGGCGATCAGCTCATCCGTCTACACTCAGGACAGGCACAAAGTGCAACGACTTTTGCGGACGCTCTTTCAGAATCCGAACATTTTGGTCAGTTTCCTCACCTATCCACGGCGCGGCTTTTGCGACGCTCACCAAACGTTTGATCATCAGTCTGTGCATTTTGGCACGCCGGTGTTGCTCTGCGTACAGTGCATTTTATGTTACGCGCAAAGTTCTTTTTTTTTAGTTTTTGATTAATTTTCTCCAAATATTCATCTCTTTAAAGCGTTTTTCTATACTTTCTACCTCAATTAGACCTTTTTACAGATTCCAGGTGAAGTAATACGCGAAGAGAAGTCGATACGATGAAAAGAAACGCGTAAGTAAGTGAAAGTAAGGTTTTATTCAGAAAATATACGATTTCTCGAAAAACGTGACTAGATTTTCTAATCTTATGGTTAAAAAACTTTACTCACATTTCTAAGAATGTTTTCGAACCAAAAAGAAGCTGGCTTTCGCGGAAAAACCGATAGTTTGCCGGAAGACAGTGAAATTTCGTTGAAAAAAATTTTTTTTTGCTTCTACGAACTGTCACTCTACTTTTTTTTTATTCGAAGACATTCACAGTCATGTTAGTGAACATTTTAAATCAAAAGATTAGAAGATCTAGAGGCGTTTTTCGAGAAATCGTATATTTTCTGAATAAAATCTTACTTCCATTTACTTACGCGTTTCTTTTCATCGCATCGACTTCTCTTCGCGTATGACTTTATCTGGAATCTGTAAAAAGGTCTAATTGAGGTAGAAAGCAGAGAAAAACGTTTTAAAGAGATGAATATTTGGAGAAAATTCATCAACAACTAAAAAAAATGAACTTTGCACGTAACATAAAATGCACTGTACGCAGAGCCACACCGACGCGCAAAAATGCATACCATTTGGTTGCGTATATTGCGAAAGCCGCGCCGTGATATCGCTTCTAATTTCGCCTAGAACCCCAAACTCCGAGGTTCAGGTGCCCGAAACGTGTGTGGCCGTGTGCATTCCAACGTGGTGCTCCACCACCGGCGACCGTTTTCATCAATTCCACTGCCGTCCGCCGGCGCCGTATTGTCCGTGCCCAACAATTGTCTCCGAGTACCATTACACGTACAAAATGGTGTCGGGCCGTGTCCAGGCCACTTTCTATCACAACCGGCGGTGTACGTGTCTGGCCGGCATCTGCATTTACCTCCGCATTGCCGACGAACCCTGGTTTTTCGGCGATTTGCCCGAAAGTCTTGTGATGGATCTGATCGGACCGGGCGTCAAACGATGGATAACGCCACGTGGCAGCCGGAGACGTCGGATTACTGTACCACTGAGTGTTCGGGAAGCGGAAGAGGAAGAGGAAGAAGAAGCGGAAGAGGAAGAAGAAGAAGAAAGTTGTGAAGAGAGTGAATGTGAAGAAATAGTGGTGACGAGTCCGCCGCCGCCGTACTCGACAATATCGCGAACAGTGAGAATCGAAGACCACCCGCCGCCGCCCAGCTACTTTGCACTGTTTTCGAATGCAACCAAACTTTAGCACCAATTGTATTGACTTTATTTCATCGTTTTTGTCGCTTCCAGTTTTTGAGCGTCACGGTTTCCAGAGCTGACAATGGGCGCGCAAGTGCGCCCCGCCGAATAGAGCGATACATTGGCGCGAAATTCAAATTTTAACAGCAAAATTTGTGTTTTTCGCCAGATTAGCCACAAAAATCGATAATTTCTCATTTGTCTCTCGATAGACCGATTGTATAGGCTATTACGAATTTTTTAAGCGCAAGAGCGTTAAATTTGGTCAATTCGCAAATCACATTTATCCGTTTGAAGGTTTTTGGCTAGAACTGCGTGAATTTCAGTTGCTTTTCGGTAGTTTTTGCGGTTCGAGCGCTCAAAATGCTTGTATTTACGTGATTTATCATTCTCAAAACCATTTCTGTCGGAAAACGGTCAAGAAAGCGCAAAATGAAAAGTGCGGTTTTTAGGGATCGGCGGCGAAGGCGAAAAAGCGATCGGCGGCGAAGACGAAAAAGCAAAGTCCGCGAAAAATGCGCCAAAACGTCATTAATTCTGAAAATTAGTGTGTTTTCATGTCGCGCAATCATTTTTCATCGCCTTTGACCACAAAAATCAGAGAAAACGTGCTCAATTCATGAAAACGTCATTTGGCCGAGGCCGAGGCCACGCCCATATTGTCAGCTCTGGAGACCGTGAGCGTTCTTTCTTGTATCCCTCCGTCCGTTCATTACGTGTACCCCCTCTCCTCAACTCGCGTCGCCGTCAAATGATCGTTTCGCCGAGAAAAAACGACGTTTTATTGACCATCTCTTTTCGTCGGCTCACTCGCATTTTTATGATTATTAGCCCGTCTAGCTGCCTCGTTATTTTCGTTTGTTTTACTGGTTTACCACCTCGTTTCTCATTCTTCTTCTTCTCGAATTTCGAACTAAAAAGTGAGTTTTTTCCGCAAAAGTTTGTCAAATACAGTGAAAGTAGGTCAAATATGTAGGTCACTGGGTCACCACGAAAAATAGGCCAACTCGCTTCGAACTAGGTAACAAAGTCATCTGAATTTAGGTTACTGGGGCACTGGGTTAGTAGGTCAAACCAAAAAACCGGGATATCGACCAGTGTTGTGCGGAATTCCGTCTTCCGTGGATTCTTTTCTTCCGTCTTCCGTCTTCCGGGATTTTTTCTTCTTACCGTAAAAGTGTAATAGCTTTTCAGAATCCATTTACAAGCTCCGAAGAACGCGAATTTCCACGCGCAGTGACCCAGATCCAACATTTTTGTTGCTTTAGTTATTTTTTTCAAAAAAAACCGGAGAAAAAGGCTCTGCATTTTTTGTTCCGTCTTACGTGAGAAAATTTTCTACCGTCTTCCGTTTTCCGTGTTCCGTAAAAAAAATTTCTTCCGTCTGCCGTCAACCGTCTTCCGGATTTCAAAATTCTATTGCCGCTCAACTCTGGCATTTTTTGCCCATTTCGAGTGAAAATGGTCTTCTTTGGTTAACTTTTTGAAATGAGGACAAATCTAGGTCACTGGGTCACTGGGTCATCGAAAAAATTGCTCGGTTTTTCGCGTGGAAATCTCGTAAATTTCGGCTTGACTGCGCAATCGCCGCCCCAAAAACGCTTCCGTCTTTACACCGTGGTCAACAACGGAAAAAAGGCCGAGTCAAAGTTCGCGCGTGTAAACCGATTGTAGCTGAAGGCGGGGAGGCACCTACGTCAGAGAGAAAGAGAGAGAGAGAGAGATGGATTTGATTCGAGCTCAAAAGGATTTCGCGTGCATAATATGTATGTGTGCGCAGAGAAAAGTGCATCGCCGTCCATCCACATATTTCTCGTCTCGTTTTGTTGCTCTTTTCGGGGGGCAAAACGGGGCTCATTTCGGAGGAGAACGTCTTTTTTGCCAATGAGACCGCCGATCGAACAAAAACGACTTATCCTCCTCTTTCCCTCTCTTTTTGTTGTCCTCGAAAAGCGACATTTTCAGAAGGTGGCCCAGATGAAAGATGACGATGAGAATCGGCGCCTGGGAGTTCACAATTTGCCACGTGGCACTTGTGGCTGGCATCTTTGCGATTTCGTTGGTAAGTTGGTGATTGCCTTTGAAAATGCTCCAAATGGCCCCGTATTCAGATGACGACGTTCGTGCTCAAGTGCATTTCGATGGGCGTGTTCACGATTCGGCCGACGAGTCCGACACTCTTCCACCGCAAAGAGCCGACAAAGTTCCGTCAATTCGAGCGAATCGCCGGCCTCTCCTCGATCCGTCACCCCAATTTCACCGTCTTCTGCTCGCCGGCCAATTGTGAATCTGTGCCCGGCTCCTCCGTCCGCCACCAGGACCGTCGGGCCGTCGAATCGGTGCTCCGACACTTGCTCAATGAGCCCGTCGTGCTGCCCGACACCGCCGTCGCCGTCAGCATCCCGGCGCTTTTCTCGACGTGCGGCCGCGAGTTCCACCAGTTCCACTGCAAACCGCCCGTTCCCGAGTGGACGTCCGCCACGATCACCTCCGAGAATCGGTACTCGTTCCGAATGTTCGCCGGCCAGATCCAGGCCACGTACCACAACGACCGGAGGTCTCACTTTCTGGCCGGAATCTGCGTCTACCTACGGATCCCCGGCGCTCCGTGGCATTTCCGCGGCCTCTCCGCTCCCTTCATAATAGAGTTGCTACGCGGCGGAAGTGTGCGGAAGATGGCGCCGATGCGCGCGAGCCGAATGAACTGCGGCGGACCTCCCGCCACCCATTTCATTGTCGATTTGTCGGATTCCGATTCCGCGCAAGAAGACGATCCACCGCCTCCGCCCTACTTTACTCTAATCGATAATGATCCACCTCCTCCCAACTATTTCTCGCTTTTCACCTCAACATTTCGATAGACCGCCGGGTCTGACGTAGTTTTCAGCTGCACACTGGCTCCCCTTTGGCGAAAAACAATTTTCGCGCGCTTTTTTGCGTGCGGCTCTCAGTGTCGATTTACGGGAAACGGGTTTTCAACTGAAAACCATGTTTTGCCGAGTTTTTGGGATTATGCACAGTTTTTCTTCGAAACTTTTGTCCCACGTTTGTTCATATGACCGATAGCTACAAAATGATCACACAGAGTGCTCGTGTAAAAGTGAAAATTCGAAGAGTAATTTTGTTTTAAATTTGACTTGAAAAAACTGAACTTTCGGAAGTTTTGAGAAAACAGTTGCCTCACGCGATTGTTCAGCAGACGCAGGCGGTCATTTTGAGCACAGAGACGGCCCATAAAATGCAAAAATGACTGAGAAATTTCAGTTTTTCAGGCGCCGGACGGAAATTCACAGAAAAATAAAAAATGCCCGCTTTCTTGTGGGCATAACGTTAATTTAAGGTCACAGCTGTCATTAAAAATTCGGAAATTCTCTGTTTTACTTTATTTTTCTCATTTTCGGATGAAATTTCGGGATTTCGGAGAAAAAATCCCGGAAATTTCAACGACACTCCGTATTAACGCGGCGCTCAATTTAGCATTAGCCATTAGGGAGACAGCTAGGTGTGAAGACAACAATTTCTTGTTGAACCCGTCCTTCTTCTTCTTCTTCTTCTTTCACTTTACGTGTAATGTTTTCAATTACCTTCCTTTTCGATCAGAAATGAAGACATTTTTATAAGTATTTCTCGGGACCGGATGATCCGATCGGTCTGAAACTCGGACCCAATATTCTTCAATCCAAATGCAAAAAGTCTGCAACGTTTGGACCCGATCGGATCATTGCAAGTGGGTCAAAAGTCCAGAAAATCTGGTGCCGGTCTTTTGCCTACTTGGAACGTCACAACTCCATAAACCTTGCGACTTTCAAGTCTTGTGTGAAAACGTTGAAACTTTTTGTATTTCTGCCTAGCCTCAAATGAAAATGCCTCTCTATTTCCTCTTTTTCCTTATTTTCCCCCTGAATGTCTCTTCCAAAGACACTGTAGACATCACGGGCGTGGCGAAATGCGGCCGTACTTCAAGATTCTTCCGAACTCAACTCGTCCCGTTCCTCAAAGCGTTTCCGTCGATTCCAAAGGACCTCAACATTACCTATCACCCGTTTTCCTATGGATCCAAGCGGATCAACGGTTCCATTGTGTTCGTTTTGTTCGAAATGTGTTCAAAGCATTATCGATTCATCATTTTTTCAGAGCAGACTGTGCAAATGGGGCGTTGGAGTGTGAGCTGTGCAAACTTCAGAGTTGCTCGAAGAAATACTTCCAAAACGCCAACTCCACAGCACTTTTATCGCTAGCTTCTTGTCTTCAAGATCAGAGAAGCGTTGACAATGCGAAAAATTGTCTGCCGAACGGAAAAACTGGAGATTTGTAAGTTCTTACTCGTTTTTTCAATCATATATTTGATTTACTCGCTCAGAATAGCCGATTGCGCCTCGTCGATTGAAGGCGACACTCTGTTTCTGGCGGAACCATTTCCGCCTGGAGTCGATTCGATTGTAATTCAAAGAAGGACCAGGGGAACCCTGCGAGTTGCCTTTTATCATTAGCAGGGAAGAGTTCCAACACCCGCGTTTTCTAGGCCACGCTGTTCCGTTCATAGCCACAAAAACTCGCAGGCTTCCCCGGGTACACGGTCTCCAGAGCTGACAATATGGGCGTGGCCTCGGCCTCGGCCAAATGACGTTTTCATGAATTGAGCACGTTTTCTCTGATTTTTGTGGTCAAAGGCGATGAAAAATTATTGTTCGACATAAAAACACACTAATTCTCAGAATTAATGACGTTTTGGCGCATTTTTTGCGGACTGCTGTTTCGCCTTCGCCGCCTAAAAACCGCACTTCTCATTTTGCGCTTTCTTGACCGTTTTCCGACAGAATTGGTTTTGAGAATGATAAATCACGTAAATACAAGCATTTTGAGCGCTCGAACCGCGAAAATTACCGAAAAGCAACTGAAATTCACGCAGTTTTAGCCAAAAACCTTCAAACGGATAAATGTGATTTGCGACTTGACCAAATTTAGCGCTCTTGCGCTTCAGAAACTCGTAATGGCCCATAAAATCGGTCTATCGAGAGACGAATAAGAAATTATCGGTTTTTCGTGGCTAATCTCGCAAAAAACACAAATTTTGCTGTTAAAATTTGAATTTCGCGCCAATGTATCGCTCTATTGGGCGGGGCGCACTTGCGCGCCCATTGTCAGCTCTGGAGACCGTGGGGTCCTTTAAAGTTTTGAACGTGAAATTGAGAAAAACGTGTGTTCAGTCGCTTCCTTGGATCGTAATCAACGGAGAACACGTGGCCGAGGCGTATTACAACTTTCGAAAATTCATTTGTCAACTCGAATCGGCGAAACGAGACAAGCGTTGTTTGAGGAAGTAATCGATACGTGTAAAGTACTGACATACTTTTGGGTTTGACTTTTTGGCAATGTTTTTGCATAAAGTAAAGTTTGACCGTCTGCAATTCAAATGCAATTCGATCTCTCTAACAATGATGACAATTTCCACGATATTCATTCGCTGAAAGTTCGCTTTGAAACGAAATTTTTCATGTGGCAAGAAATACGCACAATGCTGAACGACTCGGCTTTCAATTTTAGCGGTTTGAAAAAACCGTATTCGGAGTTGAACTTCATATTTTCAGCAAAAATCTGGAAAGTAAAGTTTCAGTTTCGAAACGATTTATTTGTCAACAAGCTTCAATTGTTTCACCTGTCGTATTAGATATTCAAGCCACCAAAGCAACGAAAACGACTGAAAAGTCTGAAATAAACTGAAATTGAAACTTCCGCGCTCGAACGAGTATCGCGCCAGGCGCCACTACTGACGCGTCTTTTGTGCGCATTTTCGAATTTCGGCGCGAAGTAGAAGGGCGCCGCGAATTTTCCGCCGCTCGCCGTCTATTTTGGGCCACGCCGCTTATTCTTCTCCGATTTGTTCGCATTTTCGTCTCGTTCCCTCTTCTTCGACACCCATTTCATCAATTTGTGTCTAAAATTTTGTCAGAATCGCGTGAAAATCTTGCGAAATACGGAGTAAATTTGAAAAATTCCTAATGGGCCTATTCAGGGGATGAAAAAATGATTGTTTTCCGTTTTTTTCCCTATTCAGCGATGTCAAAAAATGGAAAAAAACGGAAAGAAATGCATCGCTCGCAGCATTTTTTTCCGGCGGGTCTCGCAGCGATTTCCCGGACGCGATGCATGCGGCTACTGTAAGTGGCGTTTAATGAGTGGATTTACGAGAAGGGGAGGATTTTCGAAGATGTTACTGATTTTTCAGCGAAATTACAGCTTTCTTCAGCGAATTTCAGCAAAATTGGCACGTTTCCCCGCTATTTTGAACCGATTTTCACCAAAAGCTCAACGTTTTGAACGATATGACGAGGCACTCGAAACTATCCAAAAAAAAAAAAATTTTAGTGGTAAAGATAAAAAATCCAGCATAATAAATGTAATAAATGTAAATTTGATTTTCTTCCACTTCTTCTATCCGCGCTCTCCCGTTCAATAAGCGTCGGAGGGGGAACCTTCTCGGGATTCTCGTGCAACTCATCGTCATCCATGTTTACCCTATAAACTTATTTCAAGCGAACTCAGTCGGAAACAGCGGTAAAACGTGGCAGATTCGAACGAGTTACAATCACGGCCTAAAAACGATAAAATTCAAGCGATATCGGTCGGAAATAGCGGTAAACTTGGCAATTTCGCATCAGTTACCATAACAGATAAATAAGAACTGAAATTCCGTTGAAAATCGGTTGAAAAAAGCGGTAAAACGTGGCAATTTCGCTGAAAAATTAGAAAAATAACTCCTCCCCTTCTCGTAAATCCACTCATTAAACGCCACTTACAGTAGCCGCATGCATCGCGTCCGGGAAATCGCTGCGAGACCCGCCGGAAAAAAACGCTGCGAGCGATGCATTTCTTTCCGTTTTTTTCCATTTTTTGACATCGCTGAATAGGGAAAAAAACGGAAAACAATCATTTTTTCATCCCCTGAATAGGTCCATAATTTTCAGCCTAAACTAACTGAAGATGACTCTCACCGAAGCTAACGTTCCGTCGAGAAGCGTTGAAGAGAAGGACGACGCCGGACGCCTTCAGCAGTACAAAAATGTGACGAAACATGAGGTAAGCGCGTAAAGTTCTCGAAATTAATCAGGACATTTTTTATTTCAGGAGCTGCGTCGCCGCCGTACCGAGTGCAGCGTGGAGATTCGAAAGCAGAAGGGCGCCGACATGATGATGAAGCGCCGGAATATTGTCGAAGTGGACGAGGACGACTACAACTCGGAGTCGGAGCTCGAGGAGCCGCAGCAGAAGCCCCCGTCGACGCGTCTCTCGCACGACGACATAAAGCGTATTCTGTCGGCGAATCCGTCGGACGAGGACATGGTCCGGTGCTTCGAGTCGCTGCGCAAGTCGCTCTCCAAGACCAAGAACCCGCCGATAGACGATGTCATCCAGTCGGGACTCCTGCAGGCGCTCGCCACCGCGCTCACTGTTCAGGTTCGTCAAGACGCTAATTCAATCTGTATTTGACAGTGTTTTGTCAGATTTCGTGTAGATTTATGTGAAAACTGATTTTTCAGAACGACAAAGTGCAGTACGAGGCGGCGTGGGCACTCACCAACATAGTGTCCGGGACGACGGAGCAGACGGTCGCCGCCGTCGAAGCGGGCGTCACTGCGCCTCTGATCCAGCTCTCCGTGCATCCGAACGCCCAGATCTCGGAGCAATCTCTGTGGGCGATGGCTAACATCGCCGGAGACTCGGCCCAACTCCGCGACTACGTCATCAAGTGCCACGGCGTCGAGGCACTCATGCACCTGATGGATCGTGTCGAAACGCTGGAGGACTCGCACGTGCGCACCATCGCGTGGGCCTTCTCGAACATGTGCCGTCACAAGCAGCCGAACGCGTCGCTCGAGGTTCTGCGCGTGCTCTCCCGCGGACTCGTCAAGCTCGTCCAGCATCCGGACCGTCAGGTGCGTCAGGATGCGTGCTGGGCGGTCTCCTACCTGACCGACGGACCCGACGAGCAGATCGAGCTGGCGCGCGAGTCCGGCGTTCTCCGGCACGTCGTCGCGTTCTTCAGGGAGGCCGAGACACTCGTGGCACCGGCGCTCCGAACGCTCGGCAACGTTGCGACCGGGAACGACGCGCTGACGCAGGCCGTCATCGATATGGGCACTCTTCACGAGATCCTGCCGCTGATGGAGAAGACGCGCTCGACGAGCATCGTCAAAGAGTGCTGCTGGCTCATCTCGAACATCATTGCCGGAACGCAGAAGCAAATCCAGGCGGTGCTCGACGCGAACCTCCTGCCGGTCATCGTGAACGTGCTCAAGTCGGGCGACCACAAGTGCCAGTTCGAGGCCTCGTGGGCGCTGTCGAATCTGGCGCAGGGAGGCACCGGGCGCCAGGTGGCCGCGATGCTCGAGGAGAATGCGGTACCGGTGCTGTGCCAGTCGCTGCAGCAGACCAACACGGACATGCTCAACAACACGCTCGAGACACTCTACACGCTCCTGCTCACCGTCCAGAATAAGTGAGTCGCTTTTCATCACTTCAAAACACACCTATAATATCCATTTTGCAGCTACCCGAACAAGATGGACGTCGTGCACGATCTGGTGGAGGAGTGCGGCGGTCTTGACTCGCTCGAACGTCTCCAGGAGTCGCAGTCGGAGCAGATCTACACGCAAGCCTACCGCATCATCTCGCAATTCTTCTCCGACGACGAGAAGGAGACGAACGACAATATGGCGGACATCGAGAACGTGCCGGCCGGCCAGAACCAGTGGAACTTCTGAATTTCCCCTCTTTCTTCTTCAGTACCCATCTCATATTGTTCAATTTGCCCCGCCCCGTGACCATTTCGTAATTATCCGTGTAAATCTCATTTATATTTATATTCGGCCCCGTCTTCTTTCTTTTTGTGTAAAATAAAACGGAAACGCCTTCTGAAAATCGGTTGTTTTTCACCCCGTTGGTTCGTTTTTTTTCGGCTTTACATTTATTGTTTTTCGGTAGAATTTGACTCCTCATTTGATATTTCTTGATTTATTTTTCAGGAAACTGATATCAGCACTAAATTGTGTTGATTTGCACTTACCGCGTGGGCCCATTCTTCTAGACGAATACAGATTATTCAGCATTTTCTCGAAACTTTTGGACTGCGTTCATTGGAATTTTTCAGCAAGATATTTAGTTGCGCAAAAGCTGATTCTCACCAGTTTACGAAAGAAACTTTCAGATGAAAGTCCGTTGAAGATATTCAAATTCGTAATTCAGTTTTTTTTCAAGTTTTGCACCAGACGCCACCACTGACACGGGCTCTCGTGCGCCTTTTCGATCTTGAGCGCAAAAATTGAAACACCACTTATTTATTGTTTTGTTCCGTCTTGATTGAGGGTCGGAAAGCGTGAAAATCTTGCAAAGTTCGATGAGAATTCGAAAATTTCAGCCAAAGCTGACCCAAGATGACTCAAACCGAGACTCGCGATGCTCGAGGAGAGCGCGGTGCCGGTGCTGTGCCAGTCGCTGCAACAGACCAACACGGACATGCTAAACAACACGCTTCTGCTCACCGTCCAGAATAAGTGAGTCGCTTTTCATCACTTCAAAACACCTATAATATCCATTTTGCAGCTACCCGAACAAGATGGACATCGTGCACGATCAGGTGGAGGAGTGCGGCGGTCTTGACTCGCTCGAACGTCTCCAGGAGTCGCAGTCCGAGCAGATCTACACGAAAGCCTACCGCACCATCTCGCAATTCTTCTCCGACGACGAGAAGGAGACGAACGACAATATGGCGGACATCGAGAACGTGCCGGCCGGCCAGAACCAGTGGAACTTCTGAATTTCCCCTCTTTTTCTTGTACATTTTCGATCTCACGCCCCTCTCCCGTGATTTAGGTTCATATTCTGTCCAGTCAGTTTGTGTAAAATAAAGTGGAAACGCCTTCTGGAAATTGATTGTTTGCCCCCGCTTCACATTTATCGTTTTTCGGTGGAATTTTGCTCCTGATTGGATATTTATTGCTTTTTGCTCGGAAATGAGCGTTTTCGCCAATTTTTTGGTCTAAAACGAAACGAAAATGTTTATAAACCATCCAGAAATCGGCGTTTGAGCCGACGCACAAAGTGCTCTTTTCGTATTTACAAAACTGATTTCCGAGCACTAAACTGTGTTCTTTTCCCGTTTTTTCTGGACACAACACTTTTGTGAGAATTTTAGGCCGAAAGTTCGGTTTTTTCCAATGTTTTCCAGTAAAATCGATTCATAGGAAAAATTCATCGAATTTGTCAATTTTCCAAAGGTCAATTGCACTATTGACATTTTTTGACGTAGAAAAAGCGCAAAAGTCTACAATTTTTGAGTTTTGCATTTAAAATGAGCGGCGCGATGCTCCGCCCCCTCTTCACAACGCTCTATTGGCTTTCGGACGAAACGGCGGCTTTGCAGTGAGACACACATCTTCTGGAGCACACATTCACAAATAAATTCATTTTATTCCATTTATTACGATGCCCTCTTCTCTCTCTCTCTCTCTCTCTCTCTCGCGGACGAACGAATCTTCTTCTTCTTATTCTTCTTATTCAAATTCTGGAGCAAATTGAAATTCGATTCCCTTCATTTTTGCGTATTTGTTTGGTAATATCGGTCCGAAGGCGCCCTCAGAGACCTGTAATGTTGCTTTTTTTGTTTGCATTGACGAAAAGAACAGAAGGCGGAAGGGGCTGGCCGAGGCCAGTAGGCTTCTGTACAAACTCGTGGAGCACACACAGTTTGAGCCGAACATTTAAAGGATTTAAAGGAACAACTGTTTTTTCGGCAAAAACACTGTCGAAATTCCGATTTTCTTGCATGCCGCTCATTTTCGACGATTCTTGCACTGATCTTTCATTTTTCCGCTTTTTCAACTGTTTTGACCGGAAAGTTATTTGAAAACTTATTTTTGAGCGGAAAATAGAGATTTTTTGAATTCCGGACAGTTTGTCCGCTCAATGCTCGCTCAAAATTCTCGGAAAAAAGAAGGGAAAATCGGTGCAGAAGAGAAGGGCTCAAAAATTGAGCGCCACAGCAATTAGCCCAGCCTCTCTGCTCTGTTTTTCCATTTTTTCGTCTCCGTGTCTCCGTTTTCTTCGCATTTCTGCGTCGTGCCTGACAACACTGCCTTCTTCTTCCGAAAAGTGCAAATTTCCTATGAGGAACGTGAAAGAGAAGACATCTTTCTCTCTTTTTTTGAAAGTTATTTCCATTCGTACAGGTGCCGTAGCACTTTTTCTCCGTTTTTTCTCTCGAGACACGCACACAAAAATATACAATCGTGTTGACACCTGCTCACTTTTTTTCGCCGTCTCCGGCCGCTTGGCTTCTTTTTTTAGTCTAGTAGCGAGTATTGGCTTGATAAAACTAATTAGGCGGAAATTGGATTCGTGGGTGTTTGTTTTGCTATTTAGTCGGATTGGAAAATGATATTTGAAGCGTCATAAGGTAGATTTTGGGATTTTAACGTTTTCGCGAATTTTCTATTCTATTTAATTGTATTAATTTCTTTCAAAAGGCAACAAAAACGTGATTGTTAGAATTTTGATTCCCTTCAGAAGTGATTTGTTCAAGAACGGAAATTTCTATGAAACACAAAGCCAACTTGAATGATATAAATTTGGGGAAAACGTTGTGAAAGTCCCTAGCAGAAATGCCTTCTATTCCGTCCATTTCTCCAGTTCTAATAGACTTAAAATTGTTTCCGTCTTCTTTCCTTCGTTTATCATGACACACTATAAGTACGTGTCCAGCACACACACACACACACACACTCATAACCTCCACGCTTTGCCTTCCCGCAACACACTGTTATCAGTTTGGAACTCGCATATTTGCTCTCTCTCTCTCACTCTCGCTCTGCTGATATTCTGTAGAATTTTACGGCAAACGAGAATTTTGGCCCGTTTGCAATCATGAAAGTGTGGTTGGCAGCTGTGCTCACAGCGGATTTTCTCGGAAAATCCGTCGTACACACTTTTGGAAGTGACCAATACGGCTAACTAGTAAGTGGCACACTGCCCGTAAAACGAGACACAAATGCAACTTTTCCTCTTTTCCGTCTCCCCTCGCTATCACGTCTCCTCCCCCTTTTTCTAAATAATTTCGTCCTTCCTCTTCTTCTTCTTCTTCTTCTTCTTCTTCTCCGGCCTTCGTCGTCTGAGTTTCTATCAATCATTCACACCAATTGTTTTCCCCGAGAAAGGTTTCATTCCCCACGTTTTTTTTGTCTTTGTTTCTGCCGAAAGGATTACGTATGATTCGTATGGGAATGACCTTTTTGGGGAGGAAGGAGTGTGATTTTGGAAATTTTGAAGACTTTCCTAAACATTTGGGCCTAGTCGGTTTTGGGATTGTTTCGAATGTTTCCATTGAAAGTCGCCTTGATTCAGTTTTGACACATTTTGCTTCAGGAAGCGTATTCAACTCTTTGCAACTGGATTTGAAGGTTTTTCAGCAAAAGTTGAAAGTTTTGACTAGAAATACCTAAACTTGAAAAAAAAGCTGCCGGCTTCAAAACGCTCAAGTATGCTTTATTGGGAAAAATTTGAAATCTCATGAGGAATGAGTCAGAATCACCGGAAAGTTTCGAAATTTCGACCGTTTGTGATATCTCTGTAGACACCTGTCATCTCGTTTTCGCCCCAATGTTATTGTTGTGTTGATTGGTGTCCTTGAGTGGCGAAATCACATGTCTCGGTATCCGAAATAAAACACACACAAGGGGATACGGTTCAATTAGCAATTTGACTTTCACGTATCATTTCCCCTCTTTCTCCGTCTATTCCTCTCTTCAGTACAAACTGACTACGAGCGAGTAAAGTAATGTGCTGTTGCACTTTAGAATGAGTCGGAAAAGAAAAGTGGATGCGCGGACATTCCGAAATTGAAACTGAGCTGAAGAGACAGAGAGACACTCTTGAGGGACCGCTCTTCTTGTTTGGTTTTGCATTTCTACTTTACTTCGCATGCATCTCGTTCGTTTCCCTAATTTTTCTCATCTAACTCGTTCGTTTTTGTTGCAACGTAACATTTAAACTCTTCTTCTTCAGAAAAAACATGGAAACCGAACACAAAGAGGAAGAACTCGTTCCGTCGTCCACAAACCATCAACCACACAATGGAACGAACGGAACGACGCCGACGCCTTCGGAAGAGGTCGAAGACGTCGACGAGAGACGTCTCAATCGCGTTGCCTACGAGTATTTGTGCAGATGCGAGGAAGTCCGAACGTAAGGCGCATTTTTGTTCAGTTTTTCCCAGAAACAAGGGCCGTGGTTTCCGACAAAATCAGTGTTGCAAATGAGAAAGCGCGTAGAGCGTTTGAACGGGGAACATGATTGAGAAATGACTGAAAATTGAGCATTTACAACTCAAAATCGATTCCGATGCTTCATTTCCCCATGATTTCTGTTCGTTTTAGGCTCAAAATAAAAACGTTCTTGTCACTTTTGATGAAATTGGGGCTAAAAATTGAATTTCGCGCCAAACCGTGCATTTTTCCATTTCTGGTCGCCGTGTAGAAACGAAACATTTTTGGAGTTGTAGGGATTCATCTTTGTTGTTGCAGTTGGCTGGCCGAATGTCTGAAAGACGACCAGATCGCTCCGGTGACGGAACTCGAGGAGAACTTCCGAAACGGAGTCCTGCTGGCCCGTCTCGCGCACTCGTTCGCACCGCACATCGTCACCGAAAAAGGCATCTTCGACATTCGTCAGGAGCGATACGAACAGAACGAGCACGTGCCCGTCTACCGCCACACTGACAATATCATGCAGTGGCGACGCGCCATGGAGAGCGTCCAGTTGCCGGAGGTTTACTTTCTTGCTTTTCTCATTAAAATTAGCTAGTACAAGCCGCAAAACGTAATTTACACTCAAAGCTACAAAAAAAAATCACGATTATTGTCCGCTTTTCAGATCTTCATTCCGGAGACGGCGGACGTGTTCGAAGGAAGAAACATGAAGACGGTGTTCTGTTTGTTCGCCCTCGCCACCCTCCTGCATCGACAGCGAAAAGCGCCGCCCATGCGCAATTTGGCCGGAAAAGCAAAGTTTTCCAGTGAGTTACAAACTATTCTAATGCTTTTTTTTAAAATTGTATTTGTTTACATGGAAATGCATCGAATAATGTTCGGTTTTCAGCGTCGGAACTCGGCGCGATGCGCGAGAATCTAAAGGACTCGAAAGTGCCGGAGTTCCGCGACGTCGGCAGCATGCTCTCCGACCGAAAGAACGACGTGGACGGGCAGAAGCTGGCGATGGAGGCGCTGCGGGCGGCGGTCGAGGCCGGCGACGCGCGCAATGTTCTGGAAGTGCTCAAATCGGCGGCGGCGGCCATCGATTACGTGGAGGAGCCGATGGCGGGCGCCTATTTGCACGGGCTCGCCGAGCAAGACTCGAAAGAGCCGTTCACTAAGATCTTCGTGCAGTCCGTCGTCAATTCGGCCAATAGTTCGTCGCTTTTGGAAAGATTTTGACAGAAAACAACGAGATTTTCAGACAAAATCGCATTGGAGCAACTGGAGCAGCTTCTGAACGACGCCGAATCGAGCCCCGACGCCATCATCCAGATTCTCGATCTGCTGCAATTCGAAGACGTCCGTCAGTTTGCCACGCGTCTCTACGTCGATTTGCTCCGATTTGAGCAGCAAAAGGAGCCGGAGAAGGCGTTGAGCAAGGAGCAGGTGCTCGAAGTGATCGCCCACGCCAATGCGATCGTCGAAGTTCGGATCGCAGTCGAGCACGGATCTTCGGAAGACGTACTCAAGGCCCTCCAGCACCCCGCCCTCAATTTGCAGCTGCTGAAGGCGTCGAACGCGAAATTGTACTATAATCGGCTGCGGAAAGAGTACGAACAACTGGGCGACGAGCAAAAGTACCTGCTCGCCGAGCAACTCGCCGAAATTGTCGCCGACTATGGAGATATCTCACAGGACGATCGTCTGGTGCTCGAGCTCAATGGAGCCGTGATCCGCGGAGACCAGGAGGGCGTCGAGCAGATTCTACAGCACTTTTCGGACGTCTACATTCAGGAGAATCTGGAGTTTTATGTCAAGAGAATGCGTCTGACGCCGCCGAAAAACCTGGAACAGCTCAGAAAAGAGTTGAACGAGACGAACGGGCAGGTGGAGACGGCGTTCCGACTCGCGGAGCACACTGTGAAACTCAATAAGGCCATGAAGAGACAGGACGAACTGTTGATCCGGAAAGAGCTCGAACAACTCGAAAATAAGAACTACCGCACGGAACTCCTTCACTGGTACTCAAAACGACTGCTCGACGAGCCTCAGAACAACTCGAAAAGCACCGATCCGGAAAGCTGGTTGGAGCACAATTTCCCGCTCGGCTCGGTCTACTGCTCCACGGAGCATTTCCGTCGAAGCCACGCTGCCCGAGAGCCGCTGGACAGTACGATGCTCCGCTGGACGGACGTGCAGCAGTTGATCCGCGACGAGAACCGCAAGTTCGAAGAATATTGGGCGGAAAAAGAGCACGAGATTGTGAAGGGACAGACCGCGCTGCGCAGATTTCTCGAGAAGAAGAAGGCGGCGAAAGAAGCGGAGCTGCTGAAGGAGCAGGAAGCGGCGGCCGCGAAAATACAGTCGCGCTACAAAGTTTATAGGAATAAGAAGGATCTGGAATTGCTCAGTGAGTCCTCAATACCCTCCAGGAATTCGATATTATCAATTAATTTTTTCAGAGACCTCCGAAGCGCCGACTCTCCCGCTCGTTCGCAAGTTTGTGAAGCAGCTGCCGCGTGACGAAGTTGACTTTTCCGACGATTTGGAGGTGGCCGACGCGAAGATGGAGGTGTCCCGGCTGATGGTCGCCAACCGACAACTCGACCAGAATCTTGCCGAGATGGACGAGAAGATCGGACTGCTCATCAGAAATCGACTCAATTTACAGGTACCCAGGACACAATTTGACTAAATTAGCATTCACATGCATGAAACAGCCGTTTCCTGTTTTTTGTAGTTTAGTTTATCACTTTTCCGAGCGACCACTCTCTGGGGCTGAATAAGCACAAGCATTCGGCTCTTCTCTTGAAAAACTACTATCAAATTGTGCGTTTGCAGGAAGTGATCGACCACCGCGACAAGACGGCCGCTTCTGCCGATTCGTTCGCCGTGCGTGGCGTGTCGGTGCGCCAGCGCGAAAAGTCGTCGGTCACCTCGCTCGAACAGCTGCTCTACTACCTGCAGACGAAGCCCAACTACCTGGCGAACCTCGTGGAGGACTGCAAGGAGGACCGCACCGAATTGCTCACCGAGGTCGTCTCGCCGATCTTCGGCTTCCTCAGCGACAACCGCGAACAGTTCCTGCTCGTCCGGCTGCTGTGCGAACTGCTCGGTCGCAACGTGGAACAACTGCGTCGAATCGAGGACTTCCACTCGAATCACTTCATGCAGGCGACCGCCGATATTGTGAAACTCAGCGTCTTCGACAATATTCTCTCCGATCCGTGCCAGTCGATCGTCGACGAACTCACCAACTTTGTGGACGAGGAGTCGCGCGTGAAGACGTTCCATCTGAGCCCGGTGGAATTGTACCAATCGTTGCACGGACGGTCGATCGAGACGGCCGAGAAGGCGTTGCAGGACGGCGCCGTCTCGGACGTGCTCAGCGGATCCATCTCCTTCCTGGCCAAGTGGAGCGAGCGCTTCATGGACTCCGTCTTCGAGCACTTTCAGCTGCCGAAGAGCTGTATTTACATGACGTCGTACCTGGAAACCGCGCTCAGACACCAATTCCCGGCCGCCACCGCCATGCAAATCGATCAGACCGTCGCCATGTTCGCCTTCAAAGTACAGTAGTCATCTGAAACTACAGTAATGCCTTGGTCTCTTTCAGGTCTTCCTCAGCCACCATCTCACTTCTCCGCGCAGTTTGTTCCGTGCGCTCGGAAAAACGCTCGAGAAGGATGCGACGAAACGTCTCGAAGCGATTGTTCACTTCACCGAAAATGCGGTCGCCAATCGAGGAGTACGTTTGGGACCGCTTGGCTTGAATTATCTCGGCGCTAAGTTTTAGTCTAACAGCAGCCTGAGATTGACGACTTTTAGCAAAAACTCTGGGACCATATATCCCATAGGAGTCCCAAAGTTTTTGCGAAAAGTAGTAAATCCACTGACCTGTGGGACTAACACTTGTTTCCAAGTTACTTCAAAGTTTGAGACCAACTCTAAAATGATTTCAGTACGCCAACAAACTGTGGTTCTTGTCGGCGCTCAACGCAAACGTGCACGTTATTCACAAGAAATTCATGTGAGTTTGGAAGTGTCGGCTTCTTTTTTCGCCTAGAAGATGTCAGAATTTACATAAAAACTGCAAATTGTTTGCAGCGACTACATCAACCGAAACGTGCGCAACGTGGCCCTCGACGAGATCTACTCGATGAACGAGTTCACCCAGTTCGATCCGTTCCACAAACCGACCCTTTCGCTCATCGACAAACACCTCCAGACGGTCGTCGACTGCCTCAAAAAGAAGAAAGAGGTGATCGCGACGGCGCCGGAGGATCAGATCGGAGTGCTGATCGCGAACGCCGAAGTGCCGGCCACCCTGGAGGGCGATCGAATGGTCATGCTGCAGTTGCACCCGTCGCCGAACGAGATGCTGCCCGACGGAACACAGGCGCATCTCTTCACGAGGGCCAAGAAACAGGTCGTCGAGTTGTTGCTGGCCGAGGTGCCCGGAACCGATGTGAAAGAACTCGTCACATTTGAGAGATTCACCCTGAAACCAGAGCTCCGCGAGCAGCAGCAGTCGCTCAGGAAGGACCTCGAGCAGTTGGAAATCGACGGACGGACGGACGGCGCCGACGGATACCAATCGATAGTGACCGATATTGCGAACGACATCCGTCTGCACGAACGCCGTCAGCGAGAGCGCGCCGAGCAGAAGCGCAGCATTGCGCAGACACGTCGGAAGCTTGTCGAACAGCGTGAAGAGCTGAAAGAGAAACTGGTGAGCTACGAGGAGTACCTGGAGACGTGCCTCCAGAACCTGTCGTTGACTTCGAGACGTCTCTCGTTCCGACCCAACACCAAAGAGGCGGGAAAGATACAGAAGGAACGGGCTCAATTGGATCAGATCAAGGTGTACAAGAGCACGGCGGACAAACTGCGACGCAAGGACATTCTGAAGAGTGTCGTCGGGTACGAAACGGCCAAACAGTGGAACAAACTGAGCATCGAGTGGGCGTCGAACGAGGAACGCGGCGTGTTCACGGTTACGGTCATCGAGGGCGGAAAGAACGTCGAGAAGTTCACACTGCACTTTCAGGTAACAAAAATGAGACCGCCTAACGTTTTTCTGGATCATTTTAATACTAGAAATGTCAATTTGAGCGAAAGAGCCCGTTTGCCGACAAATTGTCATTTAGTGTTTCAGCGTAGATTTGATTGGAAATTAGCTGATTTTTCAAAGATTTTGCGAAAGTTATCGATAAATTGTCAAACGAAATATCGCCGCTTTTCAGGACCTTCTCAAATCGGATTCGGTCGAAGAGGCGACGTTTTTGCTCGGCGACAAATTGGAGCTTAACGTGCCGAAGACGATCCAATACATTAACAAAAAGTTCTATAATAAATAGACGGCTTTAAAAAGTAGATTTATTAATTTCTCTTGTTTCCAAATATTTTTCACTGCTTCACCCCCCCGCACACATCCCCCATTTGTTACCGGTTTTGAACCCAGTTACCCCTCAAATTATTTTCACGCTCTCTTGAGCATCAAAACTCGAAAGTTTTCCGTCTGAACTGTTCGATTCTCAACGAAATCATGCTTCTCAACGAATAAAGCATCCGAAAATTCGATTGTTGCTAAACCCGGCGCAGTACGACGCTTCACCCGATTATTTGCATTTTTTCGTTAAAAATACAATGTCAACAACTTTTCAGCGGAAACATGATTCCAAGATCATCAACTAGCAGATGGTTTTCGAATAATGCGAGAAAATCGCAGAAAAAAGTAATTTTTTGTGCTGTTTGGCAATTTTTCCCCAAAAAAGGGTTTCAGGTGGATTGTGCCGTTTACGGGTGCGGATTGTCGGCCTCCGGCGCGTTGGCCATTCCCAAATTGGTGCAAAGTGCCTCTGGACGTGCGTGATAATCGAGTTTAGGCCCAATTAGCCCCAAATTTGCAGCCGACGGCGAAATGGGCTCAAAAGAGACGGAGCGGCCGAAGCGCATTCCGTTCTTCAACACTTTCGGCGTTCGCCACGTGGCTTCCGGCTTCGGCTTTTCGCTTTTCGCGTCCGACACGAAATTGTGGGGCGCCGGCATCAATAATCGGTATTTTGCTCGACAAATTTCCACAAAAACCGTGTCCAGGTTGCAGATTGGCGGCCATTTAAGCAGTCCGTCGCAGCCAGTCCAGGATTATTACATTTCGGCGAAGAAGATCAATATTCCGTGCGGGCGCATCGTGGGAATCAGCTCGGGAAGGGCTCACTCACTGATTCTCACCGACGTGGGCGTCTTCTGCATCGGCGACAATAACTTCGGGCAGTGCGGAAGAGATCCGCAAGAGTTTCCGCGAGTCGTCGGCGTTCCCGAACATCCGTTACAACCGATCCTCACGGAGTTTCCGATTAAATCGGTCCACTGCTCCCTGGACACCTCTTTTCTGCTCGATTCCGAAGGGACTGTCTGGAGCTTCGGGCTGAATGAGGACGGGCAGTGCGCGAACGGCCGGTACGGAATCGAATGGACGCCGCAAAAAGTTGGCGGAGACTTGGAGGGAGTGAGAGTGAAAGAAGTGTCCGGAAGCACGGACACTCTGCTCGCGGTTTCCGAGCAAGGAGAACTGTTCGTTTGGGGACAGACCGAGTACGGACAGGCCTGCGGAGCATCCGATCTCATTCAGGTACACTCACAGTTTACGAATTTCAATGCTCCTTTTCTAAAAATTCACATTTTGCGCCGAAAAATATTTTTTGTTGTAAATATCGTTGGCAATTCTATTTGTGCTCTCTTCGTACTTCTGATTATTGAATAGAAGCGTTTGCTTTTTGGAAAACCCTTTTTTTTTAGACTTTTGGTTCAATTTTCCACTAGGCCCAAGCCAAAACTAGTAATCGTGCAAAGACCGAGTCCGGTCGGATAATAACTGAAACCCTTAAAATTGCAGCTCAACACGGCGCGTTCGCTCTCGATCTCCTCGTCAATCGGTCCGATTTCCTCAGCGGCCACCACCCAATCCTCTGTGATCGTCGGAAATGTCCGGGGCGAAGTGTACGTGTGGGGCGTCGGAGTGCTCGGAATGGGTCCCGATGTGGATCGGCTCAAAGCGCCCACCCTCATGGATCAGCCTCTGTTCGACGGAAAAAAGGTACAAAGTTTGAGTGAATTTGTTGGAGAAAAAGCTACTTTTTTCTCAGTAAAACACTCAAAATATCATGGAATTTTCGCACTTTTTCAGGTCGTTTCGGTGTTCGCCGGAAACAGCTGCATGTCGGCGCTCAACTGCTCGGAGCGTCTGTTCGTTTGGGGCGAGAATCGGTTCTCGAGTCTCGGCCTCGGCCATTCAAAACGCCAGCTCTTCCCCTATCAACTCTTCTTGCCCGGAGACGTCAAAACCGCCGCCCTTGGCCCCGATCATTCGCTTTTTCTCGTCTAATTTCATAAATTCCACTTTGAAACCTTGTTTTCTCTGCTTCTTAGCGTTTCTCAACGCTATTTCCATACCTTTTCACCTTGCTAATCGATTTCCCATCCCAAAGTGTCCAGAATGGTGGTGAAAGCGGCGGGCCTGGTGATCTACCGCCGACTGGCCGGCAAAACAGAGTTCCTGCTGCTCCAGGCGAGCTATCCGCCGCACCACTGGACCCCTCCGAAGGGACACGTGGATCCGGGAGAGGACGAATGGACGGCGGCGCTCCGCGAGACGAAGGAGGAGGCGAACATCGGAAAGGAACAGCTGACCGTCCACGAGGACTGCCATGAGACACTCTTCTACGAGGTACCGGCCGTTTTTTCAGCGCAAGAAAAGCTGAAATTGGCGAGAAACATTGGTATTGATCGAAAACCCCGATTTCAAACGCAAGACAAGCTATTTCGCTTTGTAAAATGTGCAAAAATGTTCTTTGTCTCAAACAAAATGCAAAAAAAAATCGTTTTTGATCATCAATAGATAGCATCGACATTTTTGCAGGCGAAAGGCAAGCCGAAATCGGTAAAGTACTGGCTGGCGCTGCTGAACAATCCGGACGACGTGTCGCTGTCGCACGAGCACCAGAACTGGAAGTGGCTCGAGTTGGAGGAGGCCGTGAAGATTGCGGATTACGCCGAGATGGGCGCCCTCCTGCGCAAATTCTACAAATTCATTGTTGACTTGAAATAACCGTACATGTTTGAAATGGAAAAAATGTTGCCCACATTTTGGAAACATTGGAATAACTTCTCATTTATTTATAAAATTGTGTACGGCTGCCATCAACGGGGGACTTCTCAATGCCATGAAATAGAAATACAAGAATAATCGAGTTAGCTAGCTGTCGAGAACGAGCCATTTCTGAGTGATCGACTGGGCTTTCGCGTCGCCGATCGGCTCGCGGATGCGAATTTTCGCCGAAAGAAGGCCTCCGACTGCTTTGCGACCGTCCTAAAACACAAAATTAGGTCAGCCGAACTACTGGGACCGACCTTCAACGGCAACGACTCTTCCATCTCGGCCGACTGCTCCAGCTTGTCCAATTTCCATTCGCACGAGCCGAGCAACTTGTCGCTGCGCATAAAACCGCCCTTCTGGTAGACCTGCAATAGTTTTTTTCTTAAAATAGGCGGTGCCAGTGGTCGAACCTCGAATTTGATGCCGACGCGTTTAAAAGTGCGAATAAGTTTGCTGTTTCTCGATTTTCCGCTTCCGATCTGCAGCATCACGAGCTCCGAGTATTCCGGCGACGTCGTCGCCGAGACCGTCTTTGTTTTTCCGGTCTGCGGCTGATCGGAGACCACCGGCGGGAACGAGTACTTCACGAAAACGTTCGCATGGTGCATCTCGTAGCCCGATGGTAGCGGAACGTCTCTGAAATGGAAACGGGGTCAGAAATTTCCAAGATAATTTAACGTTTCCCAAAACGTCCAAGAGCTGCAGTACCTCAGAAAGTGATGGTACAAAAAAGGCGTCAACTACAAAAATCTAGTATTTGATCTGAAGATTTCACAAGAAACATTTCCGGTTTCACGGTATTCACTGAAAGTCTGTCGCTTTCAGATTTAACAGAACATCTTTTTCACAAAATAGTTCACCTGCACGAGAGAATGGTCATCTCGATGACGTCCTCTGCCAGGTCGGGGAACAAATCGGCAGACGGAATCTGCCGTGTCTCATAATGGAATTTGGGCAGGTTGAGTCCCTGCTTGGCCACCTCCCTCACGAGCAGCAGGTCCTGTTTGGCCGTTTTGCCCCACTGCTCGAACAGTCGCACCTTTCCGACGTCTCCGAGCCGCGTGAACCTCATCTGGTTGCTCTCGGCGGTGCGCACCTGCTCGATCAGCGTCTTCTCCAGCAGCGCCAGTCGTTCTCCCTTGTTTTCGAGGCCTCCGTGACTTGAAGCGGCCGCCCGAATGCGTGGTTCCAGTGTGGCCTGTGAAGTGTGCGACTGCGGGGGCATCGGGGTTTCCTTAATCGAGACCGGGATCCCCGCCTGCGCCGCCTGAATCATTTTATCGAATCCTTTCATCTCGAGAAGATATTTCTTGGCGGTTTCGACGTCTCCACGCGATTTCGCATGAATTGCCGCCTGTTTGAACTGTGCCTGCCGCTGCAGAAGAAACTCGAGTTGCGCCGAATTCCTACTTTTTCCCTCTTGACCACTCGGCGCCAGTGGTCCCACTTGCGCGGGCGCGGGGCGTTGATGGAGGTGCGTGGGCGGATTCGCGGCAGAAGTCTGTGGAGGGAGTGGCGGCATGTCTGGAAGAGTTGGGAGCTCGGCCACGGCCACCGTTTTCCCGGCCTTCGCCTCCTTGACCGCGTCCGCGTACTGTCCGGCCAGACGCGCGTTCATCCGCTCTTTCCGCTCGTTCCCCTCCGTTTTCGCCTTCTGCGCCATCTGCAGATATCGTTGTTGCCGTTGTTGGAGACATTCGACGAAGGATCCGCCACCGCCGACGGATGTTTTGACCGATGCGACCGGAGTGGGCGGGGCTTGAGTTGGAGCTGGAGGAGCCGCAGGAGCCGGAGAAGTCTTTCGGTAGGGCGGCGGCGACGGCGGCACTTCGTTCAGGTCGATTTCGTCGGCGGAGCACTGATCCAGAGCGGCGATCGCCTGAAAAAAACTGAAATTGTTCGAAACTAACGGACCAGTTGCGAGATGTCCTAATTTCCATGCGAATTTCGGGAAAAGCCTCACCTGATCGAAAGCCTTTGCAATTCCGACCGATTCCTTCGCCGATTCTTTGTCTCCCGCAGCGATCGCCGCCTTTCCGTTTGCCACGTACAAGTTGCGGCGGTGTTGGAGCACGCGGAAGACGGCCGCTTTCCGCGGATCCGCCGGTGCGGAAACGGAAGCAGTAGAGGCTTTCCGCTCGGGGACCGGGGGCGGCGCCTTCCTTTCGGGGACCGGCGGCGGCGGCGGTGCGTGGCCGGCTTCCCGGATGGGCGGCGCGTGCGAGTGATGCGCCGATTGGGCGACAGTCGCCGAAGGATGCGCGGCCGGTTCGAACGAGAAGTTGGGCGGCGCCACCGGAATCTCCGCCGCGTCTATCTTTTTGCCCTTTTCGACGGCGCCGATCAGCTCGGTGAGCTTGTCGACGGCCCGTTTGTATCTACAAACATATTATGTGGTTTATCGATGAATATTGGTAAATCATCTACAATTCATCGAAGAATGCGTTTGTCGATGAAGCCCATTTTCACGGACCTTTCACAACCAGAAAATAGTATTCCTAATCTTAAAACTGCAAGGTTTCGGTTGCAAAACGTCCCATCTTTGGTTGCGAAGTGTCCCTTCAGTACCTTCTGGCTTTTGCGGATTCGCCCGCCTGCTCGGCGGCTTTGTGCATTTTCGAGTAAACCGCATGAAGCTGTCGGAGCTGTTGCAATTGAGTATTGTCGGTGCCCAGAGAAGCGGCGGGCGGGGCTTGAGCAGTCGGAGCCGTCGGAGGAGCACTTCTCGTGGGAACAGGCGGCGGCGGAGCAGAAGGGGCCGAGCCGGAGCCGCCGACGAGTCCGGCCAGTTCGTTGAGCAACTCGTCGTCCATCTCCAGCTCCGCGTCGTCCGTTTCGCCGTGATCGTCGGCGAGTGCGGCCGCCAGAGCACGCGGATCCACGCCCGGAACGTCTGGGGCTCGGCGAGCCGGTGGAGGAGCTCCGCGGGAAGCAGGCGGAGCCGTGGCGCGTCTGTAAACAGTTTCTGCTGTCTTTTTGAACAAAATTGAAGGAGGACGTTAATTTTTCTAGGTTTTTCGATAAATTAAGAAAAAGAGCCGTACCTGGTCTTGCCGAGTTCTTCCTCCTGAATGGCGGCGAGCTCGGCGAGCAACTCGGCGTCCTCTTCGAGATTTCCGCCGTAAACTGAGTTTTCAATGTCGCCAAAGTTCATTTTTATCTGCAAAATAGGAGGTGTTCTAAAGAAACATTTCGCTAAAGACACACAAATATAATTGACTGATTTTAACAGGAAATGAGAAAACAAATAAGACCTTTGTAAGACAAAGTTCAAAGTTCAAACAAATTCATAAGAAAATCAACAAAACAGGCAATAATGTGAATAAATTATTCTGCGGGCTCCATGACGTCTTCCAGATCTTCTTCCAGAATCCCAAACTCTTTGAGAAGTCGCCGTCGATCGATAATCGGTTGGGCGGGCTCGCCGAGCCGGAGAATGACTTCTTTATTCTCCTGGCACTCGTCGGTCAGTTGTCGCACGCAGAAAATGGCCCAGTTGCGCTGCAAACACTACAGTAGTCCACAGTAATTCGTCTCGGATATTGTACCATCGCATAACTTTCCATAAAATATTCGGGCCGGCGAGTTGTGCACTGAAGGACCGAAAGGAGCGCGGTGCGGCCGTTCTGCACTGTCGCCAGTTTATTGGAGGCCGAGAGATTGCACAGATTCGCTGAAATTTATAAAATTATTATCGAAAAATGATTATACGCAGTAAATTTTGGATAAAAAATGTGTTCCTTACCTATCGCTTTCAAGCAGTTCAATTTGAGCTCTCCGATCCGATGATATCCCTCTCCGACATGTTTATAATTGTCAAGAATCGTATCCGACAGCTGGCTCAACGATTCCGACTCCATAACTCGTTGCATTTTCGACGGAGGCTAGAACAAAAACCTATTTTCATCGCGCTCTTCCCAGATTTACCGGCTGTTTCGGACGATATTTTTGCCCGTTTTTCATCGATTCATATCGTTGTTCCTCCTGAATTTTGCGTCGTAAAACTGCGAATTTCGGCTCGTCGGGCGGCATTTCCGGCCAGGTTTCCGGTTGTTCGGCACGGAAATCCGCAAATCGAGACTCGGAGTGAAGGATCTGAACACGTGGATTCACGGCGGATACGGTAGATGTTCACAAAAAAGTACCGTATCCAGAACATCCACGACACTATTGATCACGGTCGCTTTTTCGTTCAAATGTGACGTCATCTCCGTGTTTGCGCACAAATCGCCTAAAAATTGAATGCTGAGCATTGCGAGAAAATCTCCGACTTACCGACAATTTCCACAAGCAAAGTGAGCATCTCCACCGTCGTTTTCCGTCTCATTTCTCCATCTTTCGGCTCTTTTTTCACTCGGCTCATCAAAAACGCGCCGTAATCGACGCAAATGAGCTCGAGTAAATTGAGCACGAAAAGCAGATTATTCTGATGGATTCGTAGCGCCGCGTGGCTTTGCAGACCGTGAACCACGTCGAGAATCGCACAAAAAGGGGCGGGGCCTAGTTCGGCGTAGCAATTGGCCAGAAACGCGTAGTCCTTCTCGAGGAGCGTCGAAAAATAGGCCAAGATTGTCGAATTTCTGTCATGTTCGGTGGCGTCCAAAAGGCCGACGACACGCTCCAAAAGACGAGAATATCGCGGCGATTTCTGGAATTCGAGCCACGTGGAGTCGGCGGTTTTGACGAGAAACAGGAGAAGTTCGGCGTCGAAATGGGCGGTCGCCAGGAGCGTTTCGAGCAAATCCACGCATTCCGACGGCACTTTGGCCGCGAATTCCGACGATCTCTGCACGAGATTCAGAAGGAGTCGCACCGATCGACGCGCCTTTTTCAGGGATTCTGATGATGATGACGTGGCAGAAATGGGAGAAGAAGAAGCGAGAAAATTGGAAAATGTCATCGAGAGAAGCGTCTGGTGGATCAGCGAAGCGTCCTGGAAGTTTTGAATTAGAAAAGAGGGGCGGTTTTCTGAAAACACCTCTAAAAACGGTTCCAGAATGCTCTGGCTCTCCTCGTTCATTCCAATTTCACGCATTGCGTCAAAAAGTGAGTCAGATGAGATTTCGGCTGAAAAATAGACAATTTTTCCGGCTGATAACTCGCTTCAAAGTGAAAGCTGTGCGTAGAACGGCATATCAGATTGTACATCTCGATGAGTTCTACAAATGTGACACCATCCGGACCGACTTTAAAGCCGGTATTGTACGCACAACTTTCCCTTTGAAACGAGTTATCAACCGGCCCATTTGCAAGCCATTTTTGAGCTGAAATGTTTCTTTAAATTCCAAACCTCCATAATCGACTTCTCCGCTGAATTTATCGATTTTCCCGAGTTTTACCAGCTCGCCGAGCACACGTTCAACTGTCATTCTTCAAAACAAATGTTCTAAAAACTCTGAAAGTGCAATAAATATAGAGAAACTGGTTTAAAAACCGGATAAAATCTGCCGACATGTTACAATAAAAGCAAGTTTTCTGTTTATACAAACTTGAGAATATGACTACAAGCGAAGCAAAAAATGGCAAATTCTGAAATTTTCAGTCAATAAATGAGGATCATTAGGGGGTTTTTGGGTGGCGGGACGAAGCTCACAATTCACAAATAAAACGTTTAATATAATTACAGGTTTTTAACAATTAATTTTTCATCAATTTTCTTCCGGGAAAAATGAAATTTTCAGCGAATAAATCGGCGGAAATGTCTCCGAGCGATTCGGATTTTTCCGAGTTTGTCAGTCGGTCCAGAATGCGTCGGACGGCGGGAACCAGCCGATCCGCGTGCTTTCCAATCGCCAACAGCCGAACTGGCACGTTTTTCAGCGTTTCGAGGCACGACGACGAGCCGGAAGTCCAGGAGATCAGCAAGGAACGCTGCAATACATATTTGAAGTTTTGCCAGGCAAAAGGCCGGCCCAGGCTTTTCAAAGGCTACTGAAGCCTGGACTTTTGACCTACTTGCATTAGGCTTCTTGGACTGGGATTGAAGTATATTGGGTCCAAGTTTCAGATCGATCGGATCATCCGGTCTCGAGATATATGGATCAGAGGAAAGGCCTGTTCGGCATCAAACCAGAATATCTCGGGACCGAATGATCCAATCGGTCTGAGTTTCCTCGACTTTTATCGACTTTTCGACAAACTCTCAAGTCGACACGTCACTCTACTGGGAAGTCAGAATTACGCGAGTTCCCTGCACAAAAATCGATATTCGCGTGGTCTCATTAGCATTTTCGGAAAATGCATCAAAATTCGGGGAAAAGTTTTCAGAAATTTGGTGCGTTGAGAACAACTTTTAAGCAAACCTTTTGCGTTGGCTCCATTCTTCGTGCCAATTGCTCCGCGTACTCACTCAGCCGGATGAGTGTCTCCTCGTCTTTGCTCAAAAATCCCCATGGCCTAAAAAAACCGACATTATTTCCAGAAACAAGAAAAACGGTGTACCTATTTTTCAAATATCCAGTTTTTCTCAAATTTATCGCGTTTCTGCGGAGCGAATCTTCGAGAAGAATGACCAAAATCAACAGATTTTCCGGGCGTTTCTCGGTAGATATCAATGGATTTTGGAAAACAGTTTTCAAAATCGTGGCGGCCAAGTCTTCCGACGCTTTTTTCGCACATCTTCTTGTTTCGTAAACAAATTTCAGGATGGAGTCCGTGTAATCGGCCAAAAGACGCGAGTTTCCACGTGTCGCCAGCTGCTCGGCGAGCCCGAAAAGTCGGCAGCAAAGGGCCGAGCCCCGACTGGCTTCCAGAGCTTTCCGAAGGTCCGCAGGGCTCACAGACACACGCAAAATCGATTCGCAAGCCGTGAAAACCGAGTCTATCGAATTATCGTCGCATTTCGGGCTCTTTTTCTGTTTTTTCGGTGCCGCTGCCGTGCGTAGAGTGGCCGTGAGCACATCCAAAAGAGCCGAGAGCTGCGGACTGATGACGTCATCGGCCAGAAGTAAGCGACAGATCCGATCGAGAATTCTTGGGAGTTCGGGACGGAAAAGGACCGAGAGGGCGACGTGCGGATCGCGGAGAAATGTGCAGAAGGCGTGGGAGATTCGGATGCAGAGCCGCAGACTCGCGCCACGGGCGGTCCATTCGAGAAGGGCGTCGACCATCTTTTGGGGACCGTTCACCGCACAGAACTGCTCCAAATTAACCCCTCCCGATTCGTGTTGCTTTTGCTCCAATTCAACGGCGCCGAGCAGTTCGGACAACGATTTCTCCACCGATTCTTGCGTTTTTTCGTCGATTTGTTGTCCATGACATTTTTGCATTTTTTCGATTGCCAGGTTGAATTCGCGAATGTGTTTGGTACGGTTTCGGGGCGAGGATACCGGTGCCGGCAACGATTCCGTCATTTGGCTGCAAAATAAAGAAAATGTACTTTAATCAATTTCCCTTTTAAAAAATGTCCGAAAATCTTACATCTGCTCGAGCGCATTTCTCGCCTCCATCTCCCCCTTTTCCATCTGATTCTTCACCGCTTCCTGATCGTTTCCCTCATTTTCTTCTGAGCTTTCCAATGTATTGAAAACGGCATAAAAGTGTCGTTTGAGTTCTTCCAAAATGCTGCCGGAAGTGAGAGTCTTCGCCTGATCCTGATGTTCTTTTGAGCAAATCAGATGGGAAGCCGCTTCCAAATCCGAGAAAACGACAGTATCCGGACAGAGGGAACACTTTCGAGCCGGTTTTGGGCCGGCAGAGGGCCACAACCAAAGGGGTGGGGCTTCCGAAGTGGAAGGGGATTCTGGAGGTTCGTCGCAGAGCGAATGCAGATAGGCGAGCATGTCCGGAGCATCCGAACACGCGGGCGTAAGCGTCGACGCTGAAAATTGTGAGTTTCGAACGATTTATCGATAGCTTTCAATTAGTTTTATTGAGAGAAGTCCTACCGGTGGCCTCTGCCTTCTGTCCCTTGCCCTTCTGCTTCTGCTCCTTCTGCTCCGACAACTGTCTGATGCGTGTCTGTCGTGCCTCGGCGGCCTGAGCCCTCCGCGCGGTCGCCGCCGCCTCCTGCTCCCGCTTCCGCGCCGCCTTCTCCTCGTGTTTTCGCGCCCGCTCGTCGGCCATCTGCTTCTGTTTCTCCTCCATTTCCGCGTCCTTCGCCATCAGATCGTACCGCTTGTTGTCCTCTTGCAACGTGGCGATGAACTTCACTTCGGCCACGCGCTGATCGTCGTCCTTCGCCTTCCTGATCACCTCCATTATGTTCTTGTCGCGATTCTCGGCCGCCCGGCGCATCCGCTCCTCCAGATGACGTCGTTTTCGCTCTTTCAGCGCTTCTTGTTTCGCGCGCACTTCCTGAAATTTATCCACTTGGAAATAACTCAATGAGTTCTAGAAAAAAAAGCATACCTCAACTCGATTGGTCAATTCCTTCAATTTGGCGGCTTTTGCGTCGTGCAACTGCTGCCTGAGTATCTCCGCATTCCGCTGCTTCTGTTCGTGCTTCTTCCCAAAGTCCTGCTCGTCTTTCTGGAACCTTCTCCGCGACGGACTGCTCATTTTCTCGTGTTTTTCGACGGGCGTGCCCGGCTCGTGCACATTCTGCGCCGAAAACTGGGCCACACTCTCCTGCTCCATCAGCTCGGACCACGCGAGATTGCGAATCTCCTCGAAAACTTTGTAGAAATTCTCGATTTTCTCCTCCTTCTTCTCCTGTTTCTCCCGTTTCTTCTCCATCTTCTTCGCCCGATGCTCCCTTTCCAAACTGGCCGCCTCCGCCTCGACCTGCCGCTCCAATTCCGCGTCGATTTCCATCGATTCGGCCTCTTTTATCTCCAGATGAAGACTGTTCTCCTCGAGTGCCAGAGACTCCTCCTCCTCGGTCATCGTCCGCCATTCCGCGTCCTTTTCGAGCTCTTCCGGCACAGGAACGTAGCCGAAAAGCGACGGATTGGGCGGCGGTTGCGAGATGGACGAGGAGGGTGTCGGATCGGCCGGGACCACCTCCTCCGAGTGCTCAGACCGCTCCTCGCCCGTCTCGTTTATCGAGTGCAACTCCACGTTTGACGATTGGGAACCGCTCGTCGTTTCCTGAAACATGTTTTTGAGTCGGATTCATCATTTTTCTCTAAAACAGTCTAAAAAGTCCAACCTTCACACTCCTGAGTCCACTTTTCCGCTCATGAAACGCCTCGACACTCTTGCGAACGGCCTGCGGATCGGCGAAAGTGAATCCGCACTGGCTGAAGCTCCTCGTGCCGCCGGCCGCCGAATTTTTCTCCTTCTTCTGTTTCGCCCTCAGTTTCTCCACGAGCACCTGCTGATTCTTTTCCCACAAAAGCTGCCGACTATAGGCCATTTTGGCCATCGAAGCACGGGTCTGCGGGAGGTCCATGGCACTTCTGGGACACGTAAGCGTCCGATTCGGACTCCTTTTCTGGTAGGAAGTGCTCGAAAGTCGTTCATAAACACTCAACGGCTCGTGCTCCAGCTCTTTCTCCTTCTCCACAGAGATTTCGCGGTCGAATTCAGAGACGGTGGTGCTGGAAGTGCTCTTCCGCCTCCGGTTCGACACCACCTTCCACCCCTCCGAATCCCCGGAAGCCGCCACCGCCGCCACTGCCGCTATCGTCGCGTAGGTCCGAAGTTCGGAGGCCTTTTGCGTGGGCGGCGACGTGTTTTTGACGGCCTCGACGATGATCGAGGAGATCGGCAGGAGCGGTTTGTCCTTGATTGTCACCGGGTTCGGCGAGCACATCGACTTGCGCACCTCCCACGCGACGGACGGTCTTTTGAGGGTCTCCTGGCTCTCAGACCACTCTTTCTCCACGTTTATTGTCTCGATCAGCGATTTGAAGTCGTTGCTTGCGCTCTGCAGGTACAGCATCGCTTCCTGCAATCAAACCACTTGTCTCAACAGTCTCAACAGCTTTTTCTCCAGCTTCCCACTCACTCGGCACCCGGCGACACTCTGCTCGCTCCGGCACATTTCGTACATCAAATCGATAGTTGTTTTCAGATTTTCCACGTATCCACTCCATTGTCGTGCCCGCTTTTTTCTGAAAACTCCGCGATTGCGAAATGCTCTCTTTTTCAGCTTCTTACCGATTTTTCTTCTTTTTTGACGATCTGCTCACCACCGATTCGGCCTTTTCCTTGTCCACAGTGGTCATCTGAAATCGATTTTCTTATTGTTCACAAAATTTTCTGAAAATCCGGCTGAAAATCGACGTGGAATCGGCGGAAAACAGGCGTTGAATGTCATGTGCGGGCGCTGGCCTAGGATTCGCGGCGAGTTCGGCCACGGCCCCGAGATTGATTTTATCTCTTTTCGCTCGACTTTTTGTGGATTTGCTGCCGAAATTCAAGCGAAAAACGTTCAAATATTGTCCGTTCAACTACTCGGCACTTGTGACGTCATCGGCGATTAAATCGCCACGCAAAACGAGTGTGACGGAGAGAGAAGAGGCGAAAATCGGATCGGATTGGAGAGGTGCGTCTTTTTGTTCTGTTTTCATGCTGTCCTTGGTCAAAATGCAATATCAGCGTATTGTAAGCATGTAATTCGCTAAAAATATCTCATTTTCATAGTTTCAGACCCCGAAATCAGCGATGCAAGTGCGGTTACACGCAAAAAACACGTTCACCGTCGTGATGGTCGTCGGATTTCTCTATTTGGCCTATTTGATATTTTTTGAGGTGCCTAAAATTTGTTTTCAATTTTCAACATCAAATGCACTGTTTTATATACATTTTATAATGTTTCAATAATTTTTTCGCAGAGCGGTGATGGAATGCCGGAAATCGACGTGGATTTGAAGGATGTGATCAGCTACGCCGTGCTTGCCGTCGAAATGGGCGGTCATGCAGTTGTGAAAGTGAACGAGGAGAAATGTGGGTAAATTTTAAGCTGAAGATAACAACTCTACCAGTAAATTGGTTTTTCTCACCTACAAATGTAAAATTCCAACCAAAAATGAAATTTCAGCCCTCAACGCCGCTGCGAAAGGCTTGACAGACGAGGGCAAAGAGGAGCTGCTGACGAGGGCGGATCTGATCTCAAATCACTTGATTTTGGATATCTTGCAAAGATTTCCACGACTTCAGGTGATTTTTTAATGAAATTTCTAGACTTTCAAGACAAAGTTTGAAAAAATCATAAGTGTTTAAAAATTGTGTTGCAGATAGTATCCGAAGAAAAGGCGTCGGAAATGTCAGAGCGGGAGGTCGAACCCTATCGTTCGGACAATTACGCCGTCTGGTCGGGCGTCAAAGACATTCTGGACACGATTCCGAGCCGACGTCTTCAGCTATCCGATGTCCGCGTTTTTGTGGATCCACTTGACGCCACTCAGGAGTTTACAGGTAAAAATGGGGAAAATTTGCTGCAAAATCATCCCATTTCGGCTAATTCGACAGCGACCAAAAGTGGAAGCACATTGCTGAAATTGTGCAGAATTTTTGAAATTTTAATACCAAAACCCGGGCTGTTCCAGCCTGACCACGCTTCTTTTCAAACTTTTGGTCGCCGGTCAGATTCCTGACTGGTAAATTGTTTTATTTTCAATTCATTTGAACGATGAACAGTATCGCAATGATACTCTACAAAACAACTAAATAATACATATGTTTGCAGAGGGCCTGACCGAGTACGTGACAGTGATGGCGTGCATAGTGGTGGACGCGGAGCCCGTGTTTGGCGTCATCTACCGTCCGTTCTTCAACGAGACAATATTCGGACTGCAGGGATTCGGCGTCGTCACTTCCGAGGGCCGCCACATTTCACCGGTGGAAACGGACAAGACGGTCTCAAAAGTGGTGGTGTCCCGATCGCACGCGGGCAAGGTTAAGGAGGTGATCGAGAAGGTCTACGGACAAAAAATGGAGATCGAGGCGGCCGGAGGGAGTGGCTACAAGACACTCAGGCTCGTCAATGGAACCGCAGGTAACATTGTTTCCAATGTTTTCCCACAAAGCCTATTCCCAAAAAATATGTATTCAAAAAACATTTCTTCTTAAAAAATGCAACGATATTGTGTTGAGAACTGTACCTGCACACGACGGCGATAAAAAAATGGGACACTTGTGCCGGAGACGCGATTCTCCGAACGATGGGCGGCGCGATGCTCGACCTGCAAGGACTGCCGTTAAGGTGAAATTTCAGAAAATTAAATTTAAAGCATCCATCTTCATTGCAGATACTCGGCCGCCGATCCACTTCTCAACAAGAAAGGACTGCTGGCAACCGTACGCAACCCGTACTCGTACTTTAAAAAATTTCAGGGAATCAAATTGATGTAAATATTCATTTATTGCTTTTTTTTCGCGGCATCATTATCATAACTTTTCCTTTTTCTACGGGTTTTTCTACGCAAAATGAGTGCAAATAAATATTGCTTGTAATATTCATTTATAAAAGGAAACGACGTTTTATTGGCCGTAAAATTGATATTTTCTTTAAAAAACATTTTGCAGAATAATCCTTAAACAACGTAATTCAGATGAACGCTCCAAATGGATCAAAACCGGTTCTTGTACCATTTACACCGTAAGTTTAGAGAAAATAATAATGCAACATTCATAAAACGCCCACCTCAAACAAATAATAACCAAAATGTCCTTGTAAGATTGAACTTCTCTTGATTTGCTCATCTTCTTGTAAAGAACAGTCATTCCTATAAGACTTGCAATTCTTGAAACGTTGCACTACGATTTACAAATCTTACAAGGACATTTCGCAGTGTTCTCAAAAGCCTAATAGTAAGCCAAATTTGTAGAACTTGAATGGTAACAATTATTGTAAAAAACTGTAAAATCAACGTTTACGTTTCCTGAGTAGCTGCCGTACCGTTTAACGTACCTCTAAGTACCACCGTTCGGATATTTGCCCCCGAGAAAACTCATAACCCGCGAAGATTCTATTTTTCTGCAGGTACGAATGGACGTACGTGCGTCAATTGTTCCGCAGTCGTCGCATCAGCGAAGTGAAAGAATGCATCACGATTCTGGCCATGTGGATTTCGAGGCATGCAATCCGTCGGAAATTTGCTAAAAATGAAAAAGTTTAGAACTGGCGAGGAGACGCCGGTGGCGATTTCGTGCAGTCACGTCCTTCTCGAGGCCATTCACGCGGATCTTTTATCCGAGGTTTTCCGCCTTTTTTGCAATAAGATGTGTTTATAGTTCAAATGTTTATAGGGAATGTGCGAATCGGAACGATACATGGCAATCGGCGATCTCCGCTCGAAACACGGATTCGCCATTATGAGGTGTGTGGACGGGGGGCCTAACAGAATTGAACACAAACGGTGGCAATGAGAATGAGAGAGCAACTGGCGCCGACGAAGACGATAATGGCGACGAGCAGGGCGAATTGGGTGTAGTGGGCGGCCGGCGGAGCAGCGGACGACGGCTCCAGTCCCGAATCGATCAGCGCCTGCAATTGGGTTCTTGGAGATTATTTCCAGCATCGATTGAAATGACAAGAAAATCGTTTTAAACCAAACACACTGAATCTCATCTCAAATTTGTCAAAAAATTTGGAACGCTTCACGAATTTGCGTGTCATCCTTGCGCAGGGGCCATGCTAATCTTCTCTGTATTGTTCCAATTTTAGTATATGTTCTCGGAAGAACGAAAGAGTGAACGGGCGGTCCGGTTAAGTAGGGACCACCGGACGAGCGGCCGACATCTCACGGGTTCCGCACACCACTATACTGAGGGGGGGGATCAATAATTACACGTTAGGCCAGATTTGAGACGTTTAGTATTCAGAATTGTGACTTCTAGGAAATCGGGGATTGAGAAATAGACAATTGAAATTGCTTTTAGAGATTTTAGACATAACCCTCGGAGAAGTAGAATTTCTTGCATGTGCAGTACCGAAATCTAGAGCAAGCTTGTGTAGATCTATGATTCAAAGTGTAGTGATGTGGCATTTTACCAATTCTGTGTACTATACCTGATCTCCGTTACAAAAGGCGGTATCGCACACGCATCGACTCATCCACTTGCTGCCGAACGCCGACTGCTGGCACGACATCTCCTCGACCTCGTCTCCGCACGTCTTGTGAATTGTTCGTCTGTCTGAAAGTATCCAGCTCGGTCTAGCCTAGTCCTCTAAATTGTCCCGAAACTTACCGTTATCCTTGTTGGCCGTCTCCATTTTGATGCAAACGGTGCCTTCGCACTCGCCATCGTTACACGTGCCCTGATCGGAATGACAATCGAAACAGGTGATCGCGACGGCGACGTCGACAAGTGACAATAGCAGAAACGCACGGAACACGTGCCTTCTAGAGATCATCCCATGGCACCTACGAACTTTTCCTTTCGGTTTTGAAACTTTTTGAAGTACAACTCACCTTATTCCCGGGCAGTCACTCGCTCACTTTTTCGTGACACGATAATAATATGTGTGTTTGACAAAACGATGCGAAAAGTTGAAGTGAAGACGTCTTCTGACGGCGACGCTCGACGATTTTGATTGAATCTGGACATACGATTTTGCATATATTTATATAGAAATTGAGGGAACACGGGCGAGGCACACAAAAGAGGCACAAAATGATGAAGTCGTCGGAATTCGAAACGGAACTTAATCATGGCTAATGCACGGCGCCAGAGGCGCGCAAAACGATAAAATGGTCGTAAATTCGGTCAAGCTCCTAAAAGAGCCCCGAAAAAGTTTCGGGTTGCGGAACTTTCGAGAAACCCGCCCACTATCTGCTATCATATCTCCAGTACACTTGTGCTCAATGAGCCAATTCGCAGCAGCACGAGAGCATCGTTATTATGAGAATGGGATGGAAAAGCGATTGGACGAGATGAGGATGGGGCATTCTTCAAGTTTTTCCCCTCCTTCTTCTTCTTGTTTCAAGGACTTCTTTGAGAGAGAGAGAGAGAGAGAGAGAGAGAGAGGAAAAGGAGCGAAGTTTGGAAAATCTAAAATTTCTACCCAAAAATCTTTGAATCTGAACAACTTTTGAAAAATCTAGCATTTTGAATGGAAAAGTACGATTAGCTAGTGGTACTAAAGTGGGAAAGTGAAAAGGCGACTTTTGTTGTTGTGGTCATCACCATCATCATCATCATTGCATATTTGAGCTGGAACGGAACGAGACGTGAGAGCGAATGAAGTGGACGGACGATTTTCTCGATAATTGTTTTGTCTCCTATTTTTCCTTCTCGGTGCTTTTCGAATTGAGATGAGTGAGAAGTCGTTGTCGGTCGGGACGGAGAGCCCTTGAAGAAGAGAGTAAACGAAGAATTGCACACACACACACACGTCAATTAGTGTTTTGTCCTCTTGACGGGGCGGCCACAGACCCCCTTCTCCGAAGCGTGGGAACACTCTTTTCCACTACGACGTCTTCTTCTTCTTCTTCTTCTTCTTCTTCAGGGGTGGCCGAGATTGAATTTGCATAAATTTATGATGAATTTACGTGAATGGCTCTAAAGAAAAGGAAAAGGGCAATGCGATTGGGGGAAAGGTGGAAAAGGGGGGGGGGGGCTAACCGAAGACGGAAGGACATTTTCACGGAACAACTCGAATAACTGTTTTGTATGAAAAGCTAATTTTACAATTATTTTTCTATGAGCAGAGTTCACTTTGCTATACATTTCGTCAGTTGATCACATTCCATGAAACAATTTTCTAAAAAAGATAAAAATTATTCCGTGTTCTTCCGTTGAGTTCTTCCGCTCAACTCTGATGGACGGTTTGAAACTGAAGAAAAGTGATGGGGCGCTCTGATTTTATGAAAGTATTCATGGATTTCATGATCAACTCACGAAATGTATGGCGACGTTTATACAATAGGTATAATGTACCATACCAAGAATCTGGCCTAACGTGTAATTATTGACCCCCTCAGTATGGTGGTGTGCGGAACCCGTGAGATGTCGGCCGCTCGTCCGGTGGTCCCTACTTAACCGGACCGCCCGTTCACTCTTTCGTTCTTCCGAGAACATATACTAAAATTGGAACAATACAGAGAAGATTAGCATGGCCCCTGCGCAAGGATGACACGCAAATTCGTGAAGCGTTCCAAATTTTTTGACAAATTTGGTGCTGCCCCGAATAGGAACTGCCCGAATCAGAACTGCTACGAATCAGAACTGCGCCCGTATCAGAACGCACCCGAATAATAACTGGTACAAATCAGAACCGGTATGAATGCGAACTGCCCGAATGAGAACTCTTCAAGCTAGAACTGCTACTAATCAGAACTGATCAAATTAATACCACCCTGACAATATTAATTCCAAAAAAACCGAAAATGAATAGGAATGCTTCTAATCCAGGATCTTTGCTTTTTTCTGCTCCTATTTTTTGTATTTCTCTTTCTTCCTCTTCTGTCTATCTTACTTTCTCTCTTTCTTTTTTCTCGCAATTTTGTGCATGGTTTCAACAAGTTCTACTTTTTACGAGTAGTTGCGCAAAAGTTTCTCGTTGTAATAAGGTTATTCAGGCTGTGAAAAAAATGATTTTGTTTTCCGATTTTTTTCGTTTTTTTTTACGTCAAAAAAAAAACGAAAAAAACGAAAAACAAACATACGCTGAATAAGCAATTTTTGAGCAACGCGTAACCAAAAAGTTCAATCACTTTCTAATATCTCTGGAAACTCGATTGCAATCTAATTAGAAGAGTTTGCAATCTAATAAGAAAAAGCTCTATTTCGCAATCTAATCAGATTTAATTGAAGTTCCAGTAAAATCGTATTAGATTACAATATATTTTTCCTGAATTGCAATCTAATAAGAATAAATTGCAATCTAATTAGAAAACATTGCAATCTAATTAGAAAATTGCAGTGATTGCAATCTAATTAGAAGATTTTGCAATCCAATTGAAGCAAATTCTATTTCAAACGAGTTCGTATTAGATTGCAACCGCTTCTAATTAGATGGCGATCGAGTTCCCAGAGATTTTATTCCGTTCTCTTTTTTCTGCTTATTCACAATCTTTTTTCTGTTTCACACTTGTTTTCATTACCAACGAACTGTTTCATTTGAATGTCTAGCTGTATCTAAAATACCTACACTACGCTTAAGTACAAAGGAAACACTTTTTTCTACGCTTTCATGTTCTGATTTAGGAAGTATTGCCATAAGGAGTTCTGATTCGGGCAGTTCGCATTCATACCAGTTCTGATTCGGGCAGTTCTAATTTGGAGAAGTTCTGATTCGGGCGCGTTCTGATACGGGCGCAGTTCTGATTCGTGGCAGTTCTGATTCGGGCAGTTCTCATTTGGGGCAGTACCAAGTATTCATGGATTTCATGATCAACTCACGAAATGTATGGCGACGTTTATACAATAGGTATAATGTACCATACCAAGAATCTGGCCTAACGTGTAATTATTGACCCCCTCAGTATAGCGATGTGCGGAACCCGCGAGATGTCGGCCGCTCGTCCGGTGGTCCCTACTTAACCGGACCGCCCGTTCACTCTTTCGTTCTTCCGAGAACATATACTAAAATTGGAACAATACAGAGAAGATTAGCATGGCCCCTGCGCAAGGATGACACGCAAATTCGTGAAGCGTTCCAAATTTTTTGACAAATTTACCGATTTGAAAGAAATGCCATTCCAATTATCGAAAAACCAATCATTTTGAGGCTACTTTAGGCTGACATTTTGTAACTGGGCTCATAAGTGTGTGATGTTTGAGAAACGACAAAAAATTTCTCCGATCTGACGGTCGGATTGAAATTTCCGGACCAGCGGCAACCATAAGACCCCCTGTGGAAAAGGATATTGTTTATTCAAGCTTCGTTTAATTGTAGTGGGTTCAAATGAGTGGAAGCTGAACGAATATGACCCACAGAAGTGATTTAGACAGTTGAAGCAACTTGACAACCTGTTACAGTCCGGGTAAATTTTTTTTCTGAACCAGGCCCCTCCCACTCGCCTGTCCCGAACTGCCGGCGCTCAACTCAAAACACCTATGACTCGGCATAAGAAATGCCGTTTGTTCATATTCATTTGAAATTCCTTTTTTTTCAGATTCGTAAACTACGTCAACGAAATGGGCCAGAACACGACGGTGCTTCGAAATATGGCCGACGCGGTTGCAGTTGTCAGTCCTGCACTTAATTCCACTTTTTCCACCTGAACACCACTTTCAGTTTGGCATTCCGAAGCGAGTTGTGGAAATCCGTCACGCGATCACTCATCAAACTTGTCCGGACATTAGCGAACTCCGCTCGGTCACCGCTTTCTGTTTGGAATGGCTTTGGGTAAGACTTGTCCGATCGGAACATCACTTTGCAAGATGATCACTCACAAGTTTCTGAGATGTATCGGTTTAACGCTGAAAAGTGAGGGTTTACCGTAGATATTGTAATAGAGAACGGTACTGGGCATCATTTTTTATTACAGTATCTACGGTATGTATTCGAGTCGCTGCGAAACTGTAAAAGTCGACACGTCGAACCAAGATTGATAATCTTATTGCAGCAACACTTCTGGCACAGTGACTCGTCGAAAGCGATGACGAGCGGAATGGCGGGCATCTCGAAGACGACGGCCGATTTGAGCGAGTTTGGGCCGCAGGATGGCCGCGAGCAGCAGTACGTGACGACCATCCGCGCGTTCAACCAGTGGCGCAAGAAGAACCGGAACGTCGAGGACGTCGAAGAAGCGGAAGTTCCCGCGCTGGCCGCCCTCAAACAGCACCTCCTACACGACGCCGCCGGCTTCCTCGAGTGTTTCGTGCGCGACGGACACCTCATCCACCTGCCGCACCAACTCAAGGCGGCCAAATGGACGACGTCGGCGGCGGACGAATACACGATTCCGGAGCAGTTGCAGCAGCTCTGGCAGCCCGTCTTCCACGTGATTTTCGCGTTGAAACTCGGCGCCGAACTCATCGGCGCATTCTTTTTGCGCCTTCGCGAGAGCCATCTGAAAGCGGACTCGAAGAATCAGATCACCGCGTACGCGAGGATGATTCTGAGGCAGTTCGGTAGGCGAATTGTTCTAGACAACTTTCAAATAAAATCTTCACTTTGTGTAGTTGACCACTTTTGTAACTTTCAAGGCCTACAGTACTCTAGGGAGTGCGCGTACAAAAAAGTTGTCAAATACAGAAAGAAGTGAATTTTTTGTCCGACACTTTTGCACTTGACAACTGAGTACTGTAGCCATGCAAAGTTATAGAAGTTGATTAGCTAAATTTTAGAATTATACAAACAATAGCCGTTTTTCATCTAAATTCCAACGTTTTCGATTATCCAAAGCTTCTCTTCACATATTATTCATCTAAAAAACGATGCTCCTTTCAGCCGATGCGGAACTATTCACGGAAGACGATTGGGGCCGAGTCCTCGACAGTTTGCTGCCCGTCGCCAAACATTTCAACAGAGAACTCATCGATTTGTGAGCTTCCCCCTCTTTAAGACGTATTTTCCGTATACAAAACCTTCCAGAGTGATGATTCGTTGCACGAAACTGTCGCGGAAGCGTCGCAAGCAAGTGCACTCGATTCTAAACATTTCTTCTCCGGCTCTCGAGCCCCCGTCCACACCGAAGTCGTCGATGCGCCATCAAGACGGAGACGCTTCGATTCTGACGACCCCGGACGGCGGCGTCGTGCGGACCGTCGAGGATCTGCAAAAATTGATGAAACGAGAGCGGGCGAGCAATGCGACCGGAGGAAGTGCGGCCGAACGGGGCGGCGGATGTGGCATCGAATTGTGCGACGCGGAGGAGTGGAACGATGTTCCTTTCGGGTAGGAAAGACTGGAAAGTTCATGCTGATCAGCTTTGTCTCTTGACATTTTCCTTCAGCAATTATAGTTTTCGAGATTTCCACAGTTTTTTTTTGCACAGACTGACTCCGGACCAACGCCTCGAAACGTTCACGGTGGTGATCGAGGATTCGGCGGCGCGACGCAAACGGAAAGCCTTCGACACGGCGATAACTTTGGACGATTAGGCCACGCTCACTCTTTCATAGCATTTCTGTAGCTCATTTATCACGTTTTGATCCACTTTTTTTCAATTGTTTGTTGACCTTTTCTTGTTGAACACGCCCCCGCACACTTTTTTTTCATTTTCATTTCTTCATTCCCTCCGATATCATCCGTTTTAATGTAAGCAAAAGATTCGCTCAAGTGCGCTTGTTGCGCCGGACAAAGCGTTTTGTAGGCTACAATCTACGCAAGCGAACGGAGTCTGCCACGTGGCAGAAACCACAAAATGAAAAAGTTCAGGAGGAGACCAATGATCTGGACGACAGTTTGGTCGTTTTGTGTGCGCAACGATTTTCGACAGCAAATTTCGAATTTTGGTGCAGAAGTTAGAGAGATGGCAAAACTTTTGAGGGCTGTAACTCGAAAACTGGAAGAGCTGTCTTCTCATCACTTTGACTTTTACTCTTGCGCCGCCTCATTATCACCAGAGCACACTTGACGAAACTTTTCTCCCCCCCCCCCCCGCAAAACGCATGTCTCTTCCGCGTCGGCCTAATGTGCGTCTATTTGACTATGGCCTTGTTCAACTCGAAAAAGACATGACGGGAAGAGAATAACCGGTGGAGCAAATAGGAAAAGAGAGAGAGAGAGAGAGAAAGGAACCAGTCGGTTCCCGGGGAAACATTCGGAGACAATGCAACATTCCCCCCTCCCCCGGGGGGCTTTTCTACTTTGACTTTTGTCTTTTGGATACTTTTTGGAAGAAGAATGCCTCAAAAATGTCAATTTTTTAAAAAAGTTTTATGGAATCTTAACGCCCCGGAAACCCGATCTATCTTTGTAACCGATGCTGAGCGTTCACAGTGATGTGTACAGAAGACTTAACACGTTAGGTGCCTGTTAAGTTTATGAAATCTTGAACGTTTTGCACACCTCGCAACCAGTGTTGAGCGGAAGAACACGGAAGAATTTTTATCTTTTTTAGAAAATGTTTTCATAAAATGTGATCAACTGACAAAATGTATAGCAAAGTGAACTCTGCTCATAGAAAAATAATTGTAAATTTAACTTTTCATACAAAAAAGTTAAGGGCTAACCGAAGACGGAAGGACATTTTCACGCAACAACTCGAATAACTTTTTTGTATGAATCGCTAAATTTACAATTATTTTTCTATGAGCACAGTTCACTTTGCTCTACATTTCGTCAGTTGATCACATTCCATGAAAAAATTTTCTAAAAAAGATAAAAATTCTTCCGTGAGTTCTTCCGCTCAACTCTGCTCACAACCCTTCCTCGAAAAGTATCCTTACAGAATCCCTACATTTTTTGATACATTGCCCAGTGAATTCTCGAATAGTTACTCATTTTCCATATTTGCCCCATTTGCACCGAACAAACGAAAAAGGAAAGGAAACAGAATCTAGACGCGTTTTGGACTTGAGTGTTTCCACCGACCGTTCTTCTGTTTTTTCAGGGAACTGCTCGACAAAGTTAGCAAAGTTTGCTCAAAAACCTTGTAGCTTTTTAAAGTTTCACAAAACATAGACGTATAACTGAAACTTTAGAGCATAAACAGTTGCACATTGTTTTCCCCGAAAACTCGTTTTTGAAGGTCTAGACTCTAGACGTTTTTTCGTTGTTGCAACAACTTTCTTTTCCGCAAATCCCTTTCCGCAATGGCAAACTAAAGTCTAGCGCGGACGAATGGATGGACAGGTTTTCCTGTCTGGCCGCGACATACTTGGACACATTCTTAGGCTCCAAATACTTTATTAGGGCATTATCTTGTCGTCGTCCGTAACGTAAATCTACCCGAAACTTGTCTAACTTTGTTTGCTTTGAAGTCTAAAAGTTCTCGTGCACTTCTTCTATCCCATTTTCCATGCCCTTGCTAATTTCTCAATGGCACTCCGTAAGCACACTTTCTACGCCTTCCGTTCATTTCCCTGACAACGTGCTACAATTATTTATCACGTTACGAAGAAGTGCTCGGACCTAGCACTATAAGTATAAATACGCGCTGAAAAACGAGAGAGCACAAACAACACCAACAACAAAAAGTATACTTTGGCAGCATTTCTTCATGCAACTTGTGCAAATATTTCACGTTAAAAAAGCTATGTTAATGGATGGAGAAAAAGTTAAATAAAGTGGGACATCACTTTTCTCAAAGCCTCCTTAAAATTATTTTGTTCGTTTCTACATTGCCGAGTGGAATACAGTGAATTCAAATTTCATGTTTTCAAGAGACATTTCAGCTAATGGTAAACCACTCTTGAAATGAGATTAATAGGCTGTGAAATTAAAAAAAAACGTCTGTTAACTCACACAAAATGCTGTTTCATTTGACATAATATGCGCTGAACCACCTTTCCATCACAGCTGAAATGCGGTTTAGCAATTATACAATTGCGCTAATTCTAGACAAATTCTAAACAAAAATTCCCAAATATTTGTTCGGGATTTGTCTAGAATTGGCGCAATTGTATAACTGCTAAACCGCATTTCCGCATTTCACCTGTGCATTCGAGTCAGGCGGTTTGCGTGGCAAACGTGCACTTTTGCACTTTTCTTGGACCACAATGTCATTCAGCAATAGTGAAAAGTATTTGTGGGAGTCTCAGAGACAAAAACGCTTTTGAATCATGTAGTATGACCCCGTGTGACACAAATTTGTGTGACAAGTCGAGCGGAAGCGGAAGAACTCAACGGAAGAACACGGAAGAATTTTTATCTTTTTTAGAAAATTTTTTCATGGAATGTGATCAACTGACGAAATGTAGAGCAAATTGAACTCTGCTCATAGAAAAATAATTGTAAATTTAACTTTTCATACAAAAAAGTTATTCGAGTTGTTCCGTTAGCCCTCCTTTTTCACGCAACAACTCGAATAACTTTTTTGTATGAATAGCTAAATTCACAATTATTTTTCTATGAGCAGAGTTCACTTTGCTCTACATTTCGTCAGTTGATCATATTCCATGAAAAAATTTTCTAAAAAAGACAAAAATTCTTCCGTGAGTTCTTCCGCTCAACTCTGGTAGACATAGTTCTTTTTGTTGGAAATTTCAGAAGATTTAACCCGAAATCCGAACTGTCTAGTGCTAAGTGACCCCCCGCCCACATGTAAAAGTGCAAGTCCAAGATGTTCCGTAAGACTCTCAAAAAGTGCATCATCATGAAGAAAGAGTGCCCTTTGCCCCTCTCTCTCTCTCTCTCTCTTTCCCGACTTTGCTGCTCCGCTGCTCAACAACCTTGTCCTGCTGTTGCTCTCTCGCGTAGAATCAGTGCCGAACTTTCCGTTTTCTTGTCCAAATATTTGTCCCCCGTTTTTTCTTTTTCGTTTTCTTCAGCTCCCGGCCGCGACACGGTAATTTTTCATCGCGTTTTTTTCGTGCGTGGCCCAACACCCAACACGCTTAATTTGCAGGTACCGTACTCAGGATATGCCAACATAGAAGCCGCTCAAAAAAAAAATGTTAGGTCCTGAATTTAATATCACGCATCCGTCCATCTACCGTACCTCCACCGCAAATCCCATCATTTTAGTAAGTGCGCTCTATTGAGACGTCGTTGTTCTGATTTTGATTCGTAAACTGAAGGCCGGTCTCTTCTGCGAATCGATCCCTCATTGGGCGCGCCGATATGCCAAACTTCGACCCGATTACTCATTCCCATCGTCTATGATCTCTGATTTTAAAAGTAGAGTTTTAACCACATTTCAGGCCCAATATATATGTTCTTTTTTCAGAAATTTCCCTATCCACCGCCGAATTCTACACAGTTATGGCGTTAGCCGCGCTTTTCACACTGCTCCGCTATTATTTGCAGATACGTTTAGAGGTTTGTGCACATTGTACAGTTCTACGACGTCTTTTAAGTCTCGAAATGATTTTGTGAAAATTCTTGGCATCTAGCACTGTCTTTTTGTAGTTCACACTTTTTCGGTACACCCACTCGCTGAAGTAGTGTAGCGCTTGGAAGTTGGGACTGAAAAGCTGGGCGGAAATCCATGCCTAAATACAAAAGGCTACAGTACTCTTCGGAATGGTTGTGGGAAAAAGTTGTCAAGTACAAAAATAAAGATCCGTTTTAGCACTATATTTTTGCCATTGACAAGTTTTTTGTAAACCCATTCCGAAGATTACTGTAGCGCTTGGAAGTTGAAGCCAATTGTAGCTGTGGTTTTTTCCGTCCAAACTTCCAAGCGCTGCAGTACTCCGGGATGAGGTCGTGAAAAAAAGTTGTCAACTGGAAAAATATGGTACTAGATGTGAACAATTCACAAAAAAATTTCCAAACCGATAATACATCGCTGAACTCGACAATACTCGTTCAACGTTTTACGTTACTTTCACACCGAGTTTCTCGTTTCTCGTTTCAGTCCTGGACCCAATTGCACAATATCTATCCTCGATTTGCGCACAAAGTGCCCGAATCCTTTTGGAAATTGACCTATTACGGCACAGTCTGGATATTCGCCTTCTATTTTCACATGTGCGTCGAGACTCACGACATTTTCAACGATCCGCTTTCCATGTGGATAGGTACGCGGTTTTTAAGGCCAACTTAGACCATTTTTTTGCAGAATGGGAATCCGGGGAACGGCCTAAAATGCACTGGCAAGTACAGATAATCTACGCGGTCCAATCGGCGTTCTACATCCACTCAATCTACGCGACTCTTTTCATGGATTTGTGGAGAAAAGACTCGTGGCTCATGTTCGTGCACCATTTCATCGCGCTCGCCCTCCTCTTCTTGTCCTACGTCGATAAGTACGTTTTGTCGCCTGCAAATGACACTATTTTGAATGAAAAACGATCATTTTCCCGGTTCAGTTTCACCCTGCCCGGCGTCCTTGTTCTCTTCCTTCACGACAATTCGGACGCGACGCTCGAGATCACGAAACTGTCGTTCTATCTGAAAAAGCGGACGAACGGACAGTACTACAAGTACTATTTTCTGATGGGCAACGCCTCGTTCATCCTGTTCGCCATCATTTGGGTCATCTTCCGATTGTACTGGTACACGTGCAAACTGCTCTACGCCACCGTATACGGGGCCGTCTATCTCGGACCACAGGACGCTCCGTTCTTCCCGCTTCTCGGCATCATGCTTCTCATCATTTTCGCTATGAATGTCTATTGGTTCAATGTGAGTTTTTATCGATTCATTTACGCCATAGACGGTAGAAGAGATTGATAGTTGCAAGTAGTAGGGAAGACATTTCGCAACTAGAACAAGAGTATTCTTACTGCGCCACGGCGACCAAAAGTGTAGAAAGGGGCGTGGCCTAATCTGAGACGCGTTTTCGGAAAGCTGCCGCAATTCCAGCATTTTTCCGATATTTTTGTGTTTGGTATCGGCAAAAGAAGACATTAAAGAGAGAAAACATTGAAATTTTCGTGAAAACGCAGCGTTTGAGACGTTTTTGGCATCATTCGCAATACGCTCTCCGCGGCCAATCGCCGCCGCAATTTCGGAATTTTCATACCGGCCCATTTGGATAGTTTTGAGACGAAGTGAGTGTCGGAAGTGATTAAGCACACGTTAATACAAGTATTTTAAGCGTTCAAACGGCAAAAAGTATCGGCGAATGACTGAAATTCGCGCATTTTCAGCACAAAACTCAAAATCGATTCAATTAATTCATTTCTGAATGAACCCTGCGCGTTTTAAGCTCAAAAAGTGCGCGATGATTAGTTTAACAAAGTTATTATGCAATTATATCGTCGAAATCCTACAAAATTTGGATAATTTGTGACGAAAAACATGAAAAATAGGGGGTTAAATTTCGAATTTCGCGCCAAAATGGTGATAAACCGTGCACGCTAGTCCACGCCCCCATTTCTATGTTTTTGGTCGCCGTGACTGCAGTTTATGAAAATCGCCCAACTTATCCCAAATTCCATCTCTGTCGTTTGCAGTTCGTCGCGCGCATGATTTGGCGAGTGGCGCTGACCGGCGAGGATCCTGAGGATAATCGCGAGTGGGACACGACTGCGGTGAGCGGTCTGAACCAGCAGAAGCTCGACGAGCTGGCCACTGTCAAATGCCATCTGAAGCCGAAAAACGTGTAAATCGCCTCTATTTATTCGCTTTCCCCAATCGATATATGTTTAGTTGGAATAAAATTGCAGAACAAACGCTCGAAATCGTTCATTTTACACCGGTTTTTCGTCGTCATTCACAGATTTACACACTCGAAACGTTTCCGGTCAATCGTCCGGATACCATTGTTTGTAGATTGGTCGCATCACGTATCTGGAAGATCTTTTTCTCGGCCGTTATCCGTTTCACGCCTACTTTTGTCGTTTCTCGTCGAATCCGTCGAAGAATTTGGCGACGAGCGGATGCAGAACGGTCCCTTTCGTCGGCTCGAGGTTCTCCTGGGGAGCGTACGTCAATTGGGGCGTCAGACGGTCGCGCGTGTCGATCAGAATCGCGTAGTTCGGTTGTGTGGCGTAGTGCTGAAAAAGAACGGACAAATATCGAATTTTAGGCCATGATTTTTCGAATTTCCGCCGAACCTCATTGTCTCCGTGCGCCGTTCTCAGAAAGTTTTCGGGCGCGATCGCCGTCTCGTCCCATCCGACGACGACTCCGCGGAACTGCGATTTGTGGTGGTGGACGATGTCGCCGACGCGGAATTCCACCTGAGGGGCACGCTGTCGGGTGTACTGGCCCACTGAAAATCACAGTTTTTTTTGTGCATTTTCGATTGAAACAACAGAAAACCAAAAGAATAGCGTGAAAATTTTTTGAAAATCGATTATTGCGTTGAATTGCTAAAGATCAAATTATTGTCGCTTTTGATCGTTTTATTTCCAAAAAAAAACGCTCACATCCGTAAGCTCCGCCCCCATTCGGATCCATTTCCGTCTCGATCTTCAACGCGTGTTCCGCTTCCGCTTCCGCGTCGACGCCTGTGATCCACGTGGGCAAATGTTGTTTGACTGCGAAAATCATACTGAAATGCATCTCTACGCTTGTTTTTGTTCTAAAGCGTAATTTTGAGTGAAAAAACTATAAGTGAAAAAACTATAATTTTGAGTGAAAAAACTATAATTTTTGAGCCTAAAAACCAAACCTGTTCAAATTATATTTCAAATGGCCCGTTTCTGCGGGGGAAAGCCACAATTGGAGGGGCACAAGAATGAGAATTCCGATAAAAACGTATTCGGGTCGTATTTCCATCTGAAACGAGTTTGATATATTGAAAATTGCATTTAGTCAAAGATAGCCTTCAAAGAATTGGATGCTAGTACCATTTTATATGAAAAGTACGGAAAAAGGCAGAGGAAAACTGAAATTTTAAAAAGAGAAAACACAGAAAAATCGATAGGAAAGGGGATGGATGGATGGCGAGCAAAAAAATACATTTTAGAGGAAATAAAGACGAAGAATTTCCGTGTCGGCAATCTCGCGCTTCTGCACCGGATCGTAGATTTTGTTGTCCGGTCGGCGCAGTTTCTCGATGGTTTTTAGGCCGAAGACGTGTCCGGACGGAAACAAATACGGTATATTCTTGTCGTCGTCGCACAATTGGCCCGTCAGCGAGCACAGAATTCGCGAGTTTTCGACGTGCGCGTACGGAAGGTGCTCCGCGATTTCCCACATGTCCGGACGGCACACCAGGCATTTTATCTGCAAGAAAACATTTTATTTGGCAGATTCTGACAATTCCGATGTTTTTTTATAGTACAGGTGTACCAGCCTGCTCTTTTTCAAAGTGCTAATGGGTTTTTCACCCGATTGAGCCAATTGCTAACCTTATGCGCGGGTTTGTTGGTGTTCGGCTTGCACATTGGCGTCTTCATGGCGGCGAGTCCGATCTGAACGAGTGCCTCGAGTGCGGTGGTCCCGTCGATCTCGAACACTTGGTACACTTCGCCGAGGAAAAAGTTGGCGGCGTTCTGCCAACGCTCCTCCGAGTAGATCTCCGGGTCGTTGGTGCGCGCGTCGTCCAGCGTCAGGTAGAGGCCTTTCATCGCCTGCAAAACACACTGTTTTTCTTCGTGAACACCATAAATACTGTATGAGAAGGTACGTATTCCCTTCTACTTTCCAGTGCTAAAATCATTTGAAATATCAGGAAAAACAAATAAAACATTGTTTGACCGAAAAAGCCAGCTCACCCTGTTCAAATCGGCCTTGTGCGTCTTTCTGGTGAGCGGAGTGATGAACTTGCGGATGTAGTTGAGTGCCTCCGTGGGTCTCTCCGTCTCGACCAACTCGACGACATCCAACAGTCGGATGGCGATTTCCAGTCGCGAGTCCAACTTCCGCAGTTTGCTGCCGTACATGGCCACCCACTGGAGGGCGGGTTTCGTCTCTTTGCGGAGCAGTGCCTGCTCGGCCGCGTGGATTTTGTCGAACACGTCCAAATCGATCATTTTCTGCAGTTTCATGTCTTCGGTCAGCGAACGGGCCGCGTCGAGGAATCCGCAGCGGAGGAGGTGCCAGATGATGTAGCGCATCTGCTGCTGGTTCTGCAGACGCTCGATCTTGTTCGGACCAGAGTCGGGCGTCAGCTGAAAAGAGACTGTCCAGTGTCGATTTTTTCTTGAAAAATCCCCCGACTAACCGAATATTCCTCGTTGAGAAGCTCGCAGCGATCCATGATCTTGCGCGCCTGCTCCAATTCCGAATTACAGACCCGATCCATCGTGGCGCGCGCGTCTTTGACCTGCCGAATCAGAAACTCGAACTTCTTCCGCAGCAGCTCCTTGTCGACGGGCTCTTTTGCGTCGGCAGTCGCTGCCGCCAACATCGCCGACGCTTTTTGCACTTTACTCGCCGCCGCCTCGAGCTCCTGCAAATTATTACTGAAGATCAATTAAACATCTGTAAGCTAATAATCGTGATCTTTTGTGATATTCGTTAAAGCAATATCCATTTGAATATAACTTTTCTGCCTGTTTCTATATATATACTTGAGCTTTCACATCACAGCCCATAATCTCTAGTTCTAGACCACCTTGCAGTCTTAGTTCCCAATGCAACAAAACGACAATATTTATTCGACGATCATAGATTTCTCACCTTCTGACCCTGCTTGAATTTCATAGTGAGCTCTTCCATCGGCACGCGGAAAGTGACGTGTTCGAGCGAGAAAATGTCGGTGATGCGGGCGCTGTTGTTGCCGCCGATCGTCGTTCCGCCGCGCAAGAAGTGTGACATCGAGGACTCGGCGGCGGTGGAAGTCGAGGGACCCGCCATGGTCGGAAAATGGTAAGGAATTATACTAATAATACAATAGACGAGAATAAGAAGTGGAAGAAGAAGAAGAATAAGGGAGGGAGGGAATTTATGGGATTTTTATGGAGAAGAAGGGGGATATGGCAAAAATTATCCGAGGATGAGCTTGAACACGATCACCACAATGTTGATGGCGATCAGGGGCACTGAAAATAGAGAAAATTGAGTGGAGAGCAGAGTGGAGGGTTTTTTTCAAGTTTAAAAACTCAAGAACGGAAGCCACAAAATCCTAAAATGACCGAATGTCCACCTAATCTCCATGAACACCATCATCATAAGTGTGAACACGGCTTTGAAGGAAATCAATAATTCGCTTTCGCTTCTCAATGGAGCGCCCTTACTTCGCATCACCGTCTGAACGGCGAAAATGAGCGAGACGAGCTGGTCCTTGACCGAGTGGCTTCCGTCGAACGAATGGCTGGGCTGCCCGAGTCCGTACTGCAAACAGTTATCGATTCTTTTGGGGGCGCCGACATTTTTGCTCACTTTTTTCAAGAATCGCTCGCGATGGAGGATGGCGATGCCGTTGAGAACGAGAAGGGCGGCCTCGAGAAGTGCGTAGAACGACAAGGCCATGAAATGGCTGCAAAACAAGGCTCACCAAAGGAGAATATATAGAAAGCCAAAAATCGGTAAAAATTCACGAAAAAAAACGGTGAAATTTTTGAACAGCGTGGAAATTAGGCTAACTTCATATTAATTTCATCAATAAGCAACAGAATAAAACATTAGACTTTGAACAAATCATAATTAAAGGCAGAAAAACGACCCGAAAACGAGAGAGTAACATGTGGCGGTTGAATGTGCGCTCCATTGAGAACAGACATATTCCAGGGTGGAAAAGCGTACAATTTAGGCCGGAAAATCTCATAATTTAGGATTTCACATAATTCTGATGTCTGGGCGAGGCGATGGGCGATCCGATGGGTGACGGCGCCGCGGAAGACGTGGTGGAACGGGCGGCGGCGGCTCGGCGTGCCCGTACCCGACAGGCAAGGCATCCGATTGAGTGCCGGCCCGCCAGACACACTTTGTGGTACACGTGGCCGCAGCAGTACGACACGACGCCCCGGTCCTGGCCGCCCACGATCAGTTTGATTGAAAGAGTGCAGATGGGACATTTCCTGCAAAAAAAAAACGTTTTTCTCAAAAATTAGGTTGGGCGCAATTTTTACCCATTCGTGTCGACGATCCAATTGGAAATCGGTACCGAATTGGCGGATGACGTCGGAGAGATTCTTCGAGAAGATTTGGATGGAGTCGGCGGCGACTTTCGGGCCATCACCCATCCGGAAGCGCCGACGGACTCGAGCACCGACGAGATTGTCTAAAAATTTTAGATCGAAACCTCGCCTAAAGCGCGCATGTCAGAATTCCCACAAAAATCGTCATTTCGAAAGCTTTCACGTACCTTGCTTGCGAGCAGGTCCTTAAAATGCGTTTCCCGGGCGCCCATCACCACAATCGCACACCAATCGATCGGTTTCATTCGTCGCGCGATCCATCGGTCATCCGATCCGATAATTTGGAGCACACTTTTCTTGCCGACGCAGAAAACCGCGAGGGCGAGCATCGTGCGCAGATTCGCCGCTTTCGTCCAGTTCCAGAGACGGGCGGGCAGTTCGTCGGCCTTTCCGTCTGTTTCGGGCTCTTTTTCATTTCGAACGACTACAGCCGGTTTCGCCGCTTCTTTCCTGCCGTTTTCCGTCGATTCTGATGCTCTCGACACTATCGCCCTCAACTTTTCCGTCGAAGTGTTCAGACACCGCTCGAAGATGCGTTCCCGATTCGGACGACACTCCTCGTCGACAATTCCACCCACACTGCTTCTCCATCCGTCGTTGCACACTCGCTCCACCGAACTCAGCGACATTTCGCACCGCGGACACATCGCCGACACCTCCTTCTCGCGTTTTTCGGCCGCCACGTGGCGAAGGAGACGTTGCCAATCGTTCATCGTCGCCGGAATGGCTCCTCCGTCGGCGAACTCGTCGCGCAGAACATCAGCCGCCCCGCAGACGGCCGTCAAAATGGACGCGGCCGCCCACGATCTGTGCATTCCGCACACGGAGCAGCTAAACGAGTCGCCCGGGACCGTGCTGGCAGTCGATGGGTCCTCCGACGGCGGTTGTGTGGGCGTCAGCGACTCCTCGTCCAACGGATTCGTCCAAATCTCGTCGCGACTCGGCGTCGGCTCTCCGGATTCCGTCGTTAGCGTGTAGTCCGTGTCCGATTTGGGCACCGCCTCTTCGGAGTGCTCCGAGAGAGAAGCTTCTGAACGATAAAGTTGAACTATGTCTGCGAAGACTTGGTCAGGCGAAAATTTGTCAAATTCTACGTGTTTTCCAGAAAGGGACACTTTAGAACCGTGAAATTTCGCAACTGAAATCACCGTCACTTCCAGTTGCAAAACGTCCTTCCCCTGTATAAACTCACTATTCTTAATGTGGCTGAGCCTCAAATCGAGCCACATCTCGTCCTGTTTCCGTCGCATTTCCTCGGAAATCTGCTCGGGCGCCACGTTGTTCGCCTCCACGTCGTCCTCCATCGGGCACACTGTCGCCACGGGCTTCTCTTTCCGTTTCTGGCTGATCGGCCGAACGCCCGGCCGAATCACCTTCACAATCGTCGCCTTTTTCGTCGTCGTTTCCGGCCCATCGCGGGTGTTCGGATCGTTCCAGATGGCCGACAGATCGACTGGGACCGCCAGTGCCAACTCGGCCAACGCCTTCGCCGCATTTCCGATGGTGACGGTCGGTGTGAAGCGGATCTCGTCCCTTTTGACACCCTCCAACTGTAGCAACGTCCGCAACGACTCTTTCTCGATGATCTTGGCGGCGTCGGGGGAGGAGTCGAGGATCAGGCGGGCCCGATGGAGAATGTCCTCCTCGACGACGTCGGGCGTTCCGTTCTTCCGCCATTCCTGCCGGATCTCGAGGCTCGACGGTTCCGACGCCCTTTTCGTTATCGAATTGGGCGACAGCGGGGAGAGCGGGGATTCGGGACCGCAAGGACTGCTCCGGGAACGTTCCCGAAGTGCTTGAGGGGTGGCGAACGAGAAGTCGTCGTCGTATCCACTGCACTGGCCCGTTTGGAGCACCTGCAAGCAGACATTTATCAATTTCACTAGTTTTTCATGTCTTGGCATGCCGTACAGATCTTAACTCACAAATTTCACACACAAAAAAGTCATCTGATCAGAGAATAACGAAATTTTTTGCGTCCTCGTTGCGAAAATCGTCTAATCAATCGTTTTTCATGAGCAATAAGGTTTCCACCTACCCTGTGCACGCCGCTGGGCAACTGTCTGGACACGGGCTCCCTCTGCCGCTCCTCCTTCGTCTCCCTCGTCAGATTGTCGTACATCGACTGCTGCGCTTTCCGTTCGTCCAGAATCTTCTGCAGTTCCTGCTGCAATCTCTCCGTCTCCTTCTTCTTGCTCATCGTGGCGAGACCCTCGACTATTCGGGCGATCAGTTCGGAGGGGAACAGCGAGTTCGAGTGCGTGGGCGGGGATGAAGAAGTCGGCGTGGAAGTGCAGAAGAGTACGGTCTGGGCGCTCTGGAATAATTCAATGATTTCCTATTTTTGCACAAGTTAGGGTATTGGAAAACCGTGTGGGCCAAAAATTACTCCTAACCTGCATGAAAAAGTGTTTCAAGTTCAGTTTCTCGACCGTCTTGACGCGATCGAAAACGCTAAACTTGCGGAGTCCTTTCGAGTCGGCGAGCAGCACGAACACGTCGTTTCCGCACGTGGAGACGTCGAGGATGTCGTGCTCCAGCTCGGCCACGCACACCACCCTCGACTCGTCCGAATCGACGACACAAATGCGCGAGCCGAACGCCGAGACGATGAGGAGACGGGCGGCGTCGACGTGCAAAACGTGGATGCGGTTGAGTGTGACGTCCTGATTCTCCGGGTGAATTCCGTCGAATTGCGATGGGTCCGTCGGGAATTGCGAGCGAAACGAGACGGGCGGCGCACGCGGAACATGCGCGAACTGACGGTACTGGTGCGTTCTGCAAGATAACTGCCGTTTTTTTTAAAACATAAACTTCCCCCCACTCCCGCACTAACCTGTACACGACTCCGACGAGATTCGATTCCCAGAGGCGTCCGTTGGGTCTCGCCGCGACAATGAAGGCGCTTCCGCCGTCGAGCGGCGCCACGTAGGCGGCTCCGAGATGAGCGGTCGAGCTCCGCGCCTTCTTGCCCACCTGCTGCAGCGCCGCCGACTCGACGTGGAATACGTGGGCGGCGAGTGACGTGGCGACGAGCACGTTCTGTTGATGCGTGTCCAGTTGGACGATTTCGGCTGAGAATTTGTGGAGGCATTGGTGGGCGGCACGGAAAACCGAACGGTTCGTCAGACGGTGCACGTGCAGCGCGCCGGATGCGTGGCCCGAGAATACGGCTGTAAATGGGGCGAATTGAAGCTCGTTTGAAAATTTGAAAAAAACCCCCCCGTCTTCACTGCATTTCAGGCAGTCCTAGCTTTTCCGGGCTACAGTACCCCAGACAGTTTACACAATCCATTCAAAGTGCAACACTTCACTTCTCTCGTTTCTAAACCTTTGAAATCGGGTGCCCATGCGAGTGCGGTCACCCTGTCCGGAGCCCTCGCGTCGCCGGGAGTACTGTAGAGCAGCGTGGGCGGCTGTCCGTTGTTCATCTGCGCCACGGAAACTCGGCCGCTGTCCCCGCCGATCGCCATCAGTTCTTCCGACGCGCTCACCGATATCTGCAACACATTTCCTTCGTTTCTCCGCGTGGCCTAGCAAATTTTCGGCCGCGTACCGTACTGATCTGGCCGTCTCTCGTCGTGAAAACCTGCACCGGAACCGGCGAATTGGCGCGCGATCGCGATTTGGCGGCGTATCGCGAGAAAATGTAGACGGAGCCTGTGGAAGTGCCCAAACACAGCGATTTGGAGGTGCTCGCCACGCATGTGTACTGGAAAATGGGAACGGATGGCCGAGGACCATTTCAAATACTAGTCCCCCACAAACCTTGACCCGTTTCGTCGAGTTGGCCGGAAAAGCGAGCTCGTCGAGCGAGGTGAGCTCCACCAAAAAATGCGTTGGTATTCGATCATTTCTACAAAATTTAAGTAACATTTCTATTGCATCGGGCAATTACAAATGCTCGGGTTCTCTGGATGTCGACTGAACCTCATTGTGACCGTCCATTATTGTGCATCTGCAAGATTTCTGACCACAATTAGCATTTTTCTTTAAAAAAAAACACGAGAAAAAAATAGTTGAGCAACGGGCGAAACGGACCCAAAGGTAGGGAAAAAAGTAGGGCGGCAGAAAAAATTGTTTATCAAACAAAACAAATCAACTGATAACAACCGGGGAAATTATTGATTTTTGGGCCTAAACGGGCACGGCGCTCGGCCGATTTCGGGCCATTTGCAGGCTTCCGGCCACGTGACACCGCTCCAGATTGTGCTCGCCGATCTCGAAAACTTCCACGTCGTCCAGCGATTTTAGGCCGTTCCAACCGGCGGCCACCACGAGAAAACGGCCCGAAAGCAGAGCCGACACGTGGTTTTCGCGTTTTTCAAACAATTTTGTGGGGAGGATCTAGAAAGAATGCATTAAACATTACGTTTCATTGCAAAATTTTCTCAAAAAATCACCTCCGATTGTTTCGTTTCCAAATTATATTTCACAATTGTATCGATCACGGCACACCCGTCGAATCCGCCAATCAGATACACATCGGACCCGTTGCGCACACATGAATGACCTGAAAATAACGTTTTTCTCAAAAAACTTTGTCAAACTCAAACCTTCCACCGCATACGGCAAGAAACCGGCGAATTCGACTGTGCACTCGGTAAAATCCTCGTTGAAAACGACCCTAAAATCGCCAAATTCTCAAATTGCCGCTCGATTCTCGATTCTCATTGGAGCGCACTTGCTGACCTTCGGATCGCCCGCGTCGTTCGCTGTTCGTCTTCCCAGCCGCCGAACAGCAGAAATTCGCCGTTTTTCACCTCCAAAACTGTCGAATTCTTGATTTTTGGCAATTTGTTCGGCAATTTCCGACATTTCCACGTGGATTCTTCGATAACTTGGACATCATCGAGACACGAATGCGCGACGAAGCCGCCGAAAATTGGCTTGAATTTCTAGAAATTACTAGATTTTTTCGTAGTTTTTGGAAAAAACGTACCCCACTGGAAGATGGGTCGAAAGCCGAGCAACTGGCTCCGATTTCCAGTTTTTCCTCAACCAGCTTCGACTGAAAATTGGAAACATCATAAATTTCCGACGTGTCCGAGTGCTCGTTTGGTCCCTGACAACCTAAAAAATGTTATTTAAAAAATGAATAAAATCCGTAAAACACTGACCTCCGGCGACGAGAATCTGTCGAGAAGTGGTCAAAAAGCAGGCGGGAGCTCGGCGAGCCAACTCCAATTGGCCACAATTTTCGGAAATCACTTGCACTTTTTTCCTGCAAAATCACAGGGAAACTCTTTTTCTCCAATATTTCTCTCAAAACGGACTCACTTTTCGAGCGGCTCCACCCGAATTCGTTCGATTTCTCGAATGGGCTCTTTTTCGGCGGCCAGGGCGCTGCCGCCGACGATCAGAAGGTACTTGACGGTTCGGTGCATTCACATTCACCCAAAAAAAAAAAATCGTGAGAACATGGCGAAAAAGAGCGGATAAAATGAGATGAGCGAGAGAGAATTGTGTCAAGCAGATTTAGTACACTTTCGATGATCATTAGGCTGAGAACATTTCGGAAACGGATCAAATTGCCGTCCGAAATGTTACACTGATGTGAATTTCGGCGGCCGATCACACCGATATCTTCTCGTTTGGCCCATAAATTAGCCGAATTTCGCAATGAAATGCTCCAAAAAATCGGCTCGGCGCGGGGGCCGTGGCCGCCGCCCGACGCATTTCTAGGCCATTCATTGAACAATCGTCAGAAGCAAAGCGTAAAATATGCAATTTATGTGGAAAAATTTGAAATTTAGATAAAATTCAATGAATTAGTGTTTGCCTACGTGGCAATTGCGTAATCCTCGGGATTTTGAAGCTCCGCATGTGAAATTGACTCGATAATGAAAAGTGGAGTGCAAATTTGAGTTTCTGGCGCTAAATCTTCGGGAATTTCCCAATTTCCCGGCACAATTACCAATCCCGCTTTTCCGCGCTTTCGTGTTACCTGCAAAATATCGATTTTTCGCAGATTACGCCGATTTTCTCACTTTTCCGCCGCACTTCTCGATCATCCACTTCAAATCGGCGGGCACCGGCTGACACGTGGCATCTATCCACATTTTCGACGCGAAATTCGAGAATATTCGCGAACTTTGGCCTAAAATGCGGCGCCACTCGTGGAAAACGTAGTCGTCGGGCGGCAAAAGTTGCGAATCCTCGAACGATTCCTCCAGCTGCAAAACGTGTTTTCTTTTTCCATTTTTGAGGAAAGCAATCTCGAGAGCTCTATTTGTTTTGCCTCAGAGCCGAAAAAAAAAGGATGAAGAAAAGAGATTAGAGAAAAAAGGAGGAAATAAACAAAATAATGTGTTTTTGGTCAACCAAAACGTTTCGGCTTTTAGGATTCTTCTGCGGGCAGCCAAAATTCTTATTCTTATTTTAAAAACGTGGAATGTGTACCCATTGCGGTCTGACCACTGGCACATCGGAGCAGATGGCCTTAAGGACGACGAGAGTGCGTGCTCCGTGACGGGAAATGACACAAAGCGTCGAGGATTCGTCAATTTCCGTCGCCACTGCCAATTTGAACCTCCGCAAAATGCTCTTCAGCTTTTTTTCGATCGTCGAACTGTAATGATCAAATAGATGACCTAGAACCCAACAACGGAGAAAAATTAGGCCATAAACTGAAGCAAAGACGTTTTGCAACTAGAACCGGTGCTTGTGAGAATAAACTAAATTTTGGTTGCAAAAACTTTCCAAGGACACTTCGCAACCAAGAATCCGAAGATTATTCTTCCAAAACTTTCAACATTTTTAGTCTCACACTTTGCAACCGTGTCGCGAGAAATCTAGCTCAAAAGTTCAGAAATTCCAACAGTTCCATCCTTCTCCATGGCCTAACTTTCCCCCGTGTCGGATCCTAGGCCACGCACTTCCTTCCGAATCCCGTAAAGACGACGCCCGTTTTCTCGTGCTCCCGCGCCTTCCGCGCACGCATTTTCTGATGAAAGGCGGAGACGTCGGAAATGAAGTCGTCGTCAGCATTGGTCTCTTGCAGTTTGTTGATGAAGTTGGACTTGGTCACCACCAGCGGCGCCCTTTTCCTCGCACTTTCTTCTCGGAGGACCTCGACCGACGGGTTCTGCGAGTGCGGCGGCGTCGAGATGGTCAGCGAAGCGAGTGCCGATTGAATGTCCGAGTCGTCGGCCCGCACCGGAATCGGCTTTCCGCGCTTTTTCGCCGGATTTCTCGGTGGTTTCCTCGGCGTTTTTCCCTTTGCTCCTTTGCAATTCGGCCTAAAATCCTGTGTCATTGCCACCGTTCTCGTCGCTTTTTTGCGATTTCCGCCGCCACGTGGCAACTGCTCTTGCCACGTCTCGCGGGAATCTCGGTTCTCGGCGCGGATTCTGATGACGTCGTCTTCTGCGGGATTACGGTGTTCGAACGAGTAGCCGGTGAAGGAACGACGACGGCGGATGCGGCAATTCGAGGAGAGCGCTTCGAGCTGGGCACGGATTCTGACAGTGTCCAGGCTGGGATTTGTGCGTGGGCGGGGCCGTTGACGAGCTGAATAACAAAGTTTTTATAAAGAATATTGTTAAAAAGTAGCAATTTCAATAAAAAACTAAACTTACTCGGACAATCGGGTGAATGGTACTGGAATCGGATGACTGGCGCGTCTGAAAATTCAAAATAGATTTCAGATAGCGTTTCGATATAAAAAATTATCGATAAAGCGTGCTGTCTAGACTGAAACAATCAAACTAACAATTGGAAAGTGCGTCCAACTTCGCGGACAATACTCGAATTTCCTCTAGTAGTTTGACGGGGTCCTCCGGTCCCTCGTAGTCCATGTCGACCCATTCGGTGCTCATTTCGGGCTCTTCGGGAGTCGGCGCCCGGTAGTTGGACAGTCTTCGGCACGTTTGTTTCAGGTACCGACACCCACGCATCGAGTAGTCCCCCTCTTCGCATCGCTCTTTTCGGTCTAAAAATGGAATGACTAAAATTTTATTATTACAAAGTTGTTCGCCCATAGACCACAAAGTCTACGGGCGACTGGTTTTTGTGAAGCTGTAACTTGCCACAAGAACCTTACATTTACCTCTAATCTGATTCATTTTGAAGAAAAGCAGAGATCTCTATCAGAGTTGAGCGGAAATGGAATTTTGAAATCCGGAAGACGGCAGACGGCAGACGGAAGAAAGTTTTTTTTACGGAACACGGAAAACGGAAGACGGAAGAAAATTTTTTTCCCTGAAGACGGCAGACGGAAGACGGAACAAAAAATCGTCAATGCAGAACCTTTTTTTTCGGTTTTTTTTTTGAAAAAAATAACTAAAGCAACAAAAATTTTGGATCTGGGTCACTGCCCGTGGAAATTCGCGTTCTTCGGGTCTAGTAAATGGCTTCTGAAAAGCTATTACTCTTTTACGGTAAGAAGAAAAAATTCCGGAAGACGGAAGACGGAGGAAAACTTTTTTCCCGGAAGACGGAACAAAACAATCCACGGAAGACGGAAGACGGAATTCCGCTCAACTCTGATCTCTATGTTCTATTTCTGGAGATACATTGCAAAAACTGCTAATCGCATGTATGAAACTTCGCGCCGTGGGAGTGTTTCAAATTACTATATTCACGATCTTTTTTTTAAAGATTACTATGAGAAATGCAAAGTTAACCTAGATTTGTCTTGAACGACACTCTGTAACAGAGTGTCCGTGAGTGGTTGGCTGACGGAGGGGACAGAGGAAAATTAAAAAAAAGGACGGTGCGTTTGGAGAGACCATCGAGACAACAATGTTTCGCGGGGAGTGTACGCTCAAAACTTTCTTAGTGTAGGCCTACGCCACTCCGCTCATACCTGTATCTGTCAATCAAAACACACCTAAACACTTCATTTTTTATGTGACAGGTGTGAACGGTCATCCCTGCTGTCGAGAGTACCGCAACGCAACGCGTCTCGCTGGCCAGCAATCTTTCCGCAGAACCGATCCTCTTTTTTCTCCTTGTCCACTGCCTCCCCGAAAGGCCGCACCGCGTGCGCGCTCACATTAAAGGCGCGCCGATTTATGTGGTAAAATGTTGTCTTATCGCTGCGAGACCCGTTTTTTTTTCCAGTTTGATCTACCGCGGGCAGCGCGACACTTGCTATTTTCGGCCGGTTCTCCTCATGTTTTGCTCTGGTTTTTCTTCGGTTCCAAGCACGTTTCGGTAGACATTAAAAGAAACGTCCGATAATTTCAACAATTCTTTTTCGTGTAATGTCGCGCGGTTTTTGCACTTCGCTCGATGCAACGAAATATCATTTAGAAACGCAGAAAATCGATTGATTTTGTCAAAAACGGACGACAAAAGTGCGCGATCAACGACTTCAAGACGCCGGTTTTTTGAAAGTAGACAAACATTTTCTGAACTCCCAAAAGTACTAAAAAAGACGGAAACCATTATTATAGGGGCACCGAATAGAAAGGGCGCGCTGTTCGCAATCTGGCAGAATTTCTAGGCCGCGAAGTAATTTTCCACTGAAAACGTGGCCTAACTTTTCAAATTCGGCCCCGAGGTCGCTCAATTTGCACTGCAAAAAGAGTTTCTCAACAGAGCGCCATTTCTGTGCGGTGCCCCTATAATAAAAAAGCAAAAACAAATTAGATAATCGAAATCTGCCGAACCTAGGCACTCCTGAATCCATTTCACGTCCAAAATGAGCGGCGGAACGGGCCGTCTGGCCATGGCCACGCCCACAATCTCCTCTTCCGCATATCGATCGACAATCAGATGAGTGGTGCGCTCATCGACTGATTTCCGAAGCTCCGCGCCCATTTCCTGAAGACACTTGGACAAATAATGACGGACGGGAAGACAGCAGCCGGCGGAAACGACAATAACTGTGTGCGCGAGGAACGCCGTCGAGTCGGGCACGATTTCGTCGGATATCGGGGTGGCGGCACGCGATTCCGGCACCACTTCTTCGGAGAATTCTGGAAAAATGTCGAAAATTTACCAGTTTTCGTTAGGTATTGTAGATTTGTGTCATTGGTAATTTGTCTGACAATCTGACCCAAAAATTGAGTTTAAAATTCTTCGCTTATTTTTTTCGCATGGTTTCCAATTTCTCACCAATCGCAGCGCCTTTATCAGTGGAATCGAGTACAATTTCATCGGAATCTTCCTCATTATGCTTTTCGGGAGCGCACTCTCGATGAAATTCGTGAAATTGTTCCGAAGAATCCTCGTAAATGTGTGTTGTGCCCATTGTTCGATTTGACACCATTCCGCGCTGCAAAATCCGAAATGTTTTAGCATTCTTAGCGAAAAATTGAAAAACTACCGCTTTAGGGGTGTCTGCCGAGCTGAAATGCACTGAATGTAGTGTGTCTGGAGTTCTATCTTCATCGTCTTCATAAATTGGCGACACATTCGGGTCGAAACCAAACGCAATCGACATTTTTCAGCATAAAAACCGGCCGAATTTTGAATTCCGCGCCTGCTCTCCGATGTCTGCGTCACTTCGCCCTCGTCGCACGGTGATTCTTTGCGAGGGTGACGAGGAAAATTCTAGTCCATTTGGCCCGGGGTCGCAGGCCGTGGTACTAGGCCACGGTTTCCGCCGAGTCCCCCGGCTGAACAAGAAATTATTAGGCCACGCCAGAAGTTAGGCCAGGAGGCCGAACCGAAGAAACTCGGCCATGGGGAATTTTTCACGAATTTCGCGCTTGTTTCATATTTTAGCGCTTGTTCTCTGTCAATTAATGCTTGTTTTCGGCTGAGTTTTGTATTTTTTCATCTCAAACATGAAAGAACGCAGTTTATAGAAGCTTTATTATTTTTTAGTAATTGTTATCAACAGAGAAAAATTGCCAACAGCAAAAACCAATAACAGCGCTGTGTAATATTCCTGAAAAGCAGTAAGAACGTCTTCAAAATGCTGTCGGAAACAATTGCGGCTAAACAGAAAGCGCGCGCGCCAAACTTGCAAAATTGCGTGCGGCAATTGCGCAAGACCACGCCCCTTCTTTGAATGGTGGCCGAGTTCGCGGCGCGTTTCTCACTACACCCTCGCAAAGAATCACCGTGCGTCGGATTGCGCGTAGCCTTCGCCGCCGCGACGGTACCTTTGCGCAACAAACGACGCGCATTTGCACATCATTCACCCGCTTGCCATATTTGAATTGCATCGTGTAATTTCAGCGCATTTTCAGCGCTGTTCGCAATGGGATCCATTATTAAAATGTTCAAGCCGAGCAAAAAGAACAGTAATAAAGAAAATGTGCCGGTGAGTGTACGATTTTTACGCTCAATTTTCATTTTCCACTAAAATTTTCATTTTAGGCAGTAACCTTCGCTTCCACCTCTACAAAATCTAAAAAACCCTCACTAAACGAGTCGGTCTACGTGGGGGAACCTCAAAAAATCGATTTGCGACTCAAAAGTCCGTACTCAGTGATCACAGCGCCGAAAACCACCAGAGGTACGATTTTTCGCCGGGAAAAATGAAAAACGTGGATTTAAGGTCCAATGTCGTGTCCGGGAGCTCCGATGGACGATAAAACGTTTGCGGACCGGCAGAACTTGATGAGGAACAGTGCGAGAGACCGGCGGAAATCCAAAGATGATCTTGCTCTGTGAGTTTTTGTAAAATTATGATTTTTAGCGATTTACTGTAAGTAAAACGGAAAATGCGTGTTTCTAGTAAAGATTCGCGTGAATTGCATTGAAGAGCAAGAAAATAAATCAAATTGCACAAGAAATACAAATGTACCGTCAAAATTCAACAAATGCTCGCAGGTCTCGACATTCCGAGCAGTTCGACGAACAATCGTACCGAAATCTGGTTGCCCGACAACAGTATGACATGAGCATGAGCCAGCAGTACGATTCGGACGACGAAGACGAAAAATACAAGCAGAAATATCGGGCGACGAAGGCGGAAAACACGCATTTGAAGGCGAAAATGGAGAAAATGCGGGCGAAATGGCGAGAGGAGAAGGGCGTCATGACCGAGACGATCGACGATCTCAGCAACGAGAATTATCAGCTCAGGTACCACTAAGACAAAGATTTTTAGTAAAAAAAACAGAATTTTCAACCGATTTTATGAAAGTTATGTCTTTCCATCATAAATTCCAAAATTTCACCTTGTTTTCCCTGAAATTCAAGTCATTTACCCAAAATTCCATAACTGGACTGTGTTTCCTCTCAAAATGTTGCGTTTTTCTAAAAATTCCTGTTTTTTGCCCAAAATCCCCATTCTTTCATTTTCTCCATTCTAAACCCCTTCTTCAGAAAGAACCACGACCGTCTGCGACACAAGTACAACGAGACGAAGACGAATCTGGAGATGGAGAAGCGGATGAAATGCGACGTGCTGCGAATGCTCCAAGAAGCGAACGCACGCATCGAAAAGTACGAGAAGGCGGGAATTCACGACGATTCGCTCAACAACTCCTCCCTGCTAATGCCCGCATTCGCGGCGAACCGATCTTCCGAAGGAGCCGGCGAGGCCCTTTGTTTTCCGGAAATGAACAATCAGAATGCGAACGGCGGCGGCCTCAGCTCCATGTTCTCCATTTTCCCCTCTTCCGGACCCAATTTCCAGCTGAATCCGCTTCCGAAATCACTGGAAGACGATCTGGAGGCGCAGGACGAAGTGCGGATATTCAGGGATTCGGTGGAAAGTGTGAACGAGGAAGAGGAGGAAGATGAGGAGATGAGCGAGGAAGAGACAGAGCAACTGGAACTGGGCTCGCCGCTCGAACTCGAGACCGTTCGGTGCTCGAAGAAACGGCCGCCCATCGCCAGATCCCAATCCGACCCGAATCTCAGCAATTTGGCAGCCGATACTGTCAGTTTGGCGCCTTCGGAACGGCTCGAACGACCCGAACGGGCGGAACTGCAGCAGCACCAACGGCAGAAGTACACGAGGACCTCTTCGTGGCTCAAAGTGAGTAATTTTGAGAAAATTAATCCTTGAAAGCTTTTGCCCCTCATTTTCAGCCAACTTTCTCGTTTTTCAGCGCAACTCGGTGAATCCGGACGACGACGGCTCGTCGGATAGCTCGGAAGAGGAACGGCTGAGTCTAATTGAGCGTCAGCTCAAAAAAAAGGGCGGTCTCGTCAAGTACAATCCGCCACGCACGAAAATCCACGATAAACACTACAAACGGTGCGTTTTTCCTTTAAGGTTGATAAGAACGCGGATTCTTTGCTTAAAAGCGCTGAACGATCTAGGCTCCGCCTCTTTCGCCCGCAAATGATAGTGGGGCGCGGAACCCGCGAGACGTCGGCTAATAGACACTCGTAGAGGCAAAAGGGAGACGCAGACGAGCAAACACTCGCTCCATAAAACGGTCCCTTTCGGTTGAGGCCACGCCCCCTTATGAGGATCCTGAGTGGATCCTGTGCGCGCATCTTCGCATCTTCACTTCCAAGCACATCTTCACTTCCGAGCACCTCCGTTGACCCGAGATCATTGCAGATTCGGCAAGAACGAGCGTTCCGCGTTGGCAGAGTTCGAATACCTACAGGACATGTCGACGGACGTTTCGGGCCTTCAGTCCAGTCCCGAATTGGGCCAATTGATGGGCCAACTGCAGCAGTCGCAGTTCAGAATGTGATTTCCGACCGTTTTAGGTTCGAAAGGCGCTTTCTTCATCATTTTCTCACCTTTTCTTCGTGTAGTCCATTGAAATTCATGTAAAATTTTCATTCTGTTCTCAATTTTCATCTACTGATTATGTAATAATCTTGACTTTGTGCATCTCTCCATCTGATTGCCTCTTACCTTTTTTTCCTAGAAAAATCTCGAAATGCTCATAATTTTTGCCTTTTCCTGGGTATCATCCTCATCATTCTCATCACATTTCATTTCTTCTTTTTTCTGGAGATTTTTCGAGTATCGTACGGATTTTCTCATTTTTCTCATTCACTTTCTAATAAAAATGACAATACACTCAATTTTTGGGCACATTTTGGTCGGTTGAAACGTGTCATGTAACGCGATAATATCTGGAATTTCTCGCCCGATTTTTGTTATTGGAAACTTTGATTTTTTGGGGCTCACCTGTTTTCAATGTATAAGGATCCATTTTACATTTAAAAAATCAAAGAAATTGCTCAATTTCCCGGAATTATGCCCCTAATTTCTCTGTGCTTTTTGCAGTGATGTACAATGGCATAGGCCGACTCGTAGCTCCCTCTTCGAACAACAACAGTCAGCAGTCGAATGGATACGATCCGAAAGTGGGCGGAGCCTGTTCGTCGGCCGAAGACGTCGAAATGGAGGAGGATCCGTACGAGAACCTCTCCGAGTACTTTCTCAATCACCCGGCCGCACAGAACAAACGTAGGCGTTATTGAGTCAGAAGAAAACGAACATTTTTGCGATTTTCAGCGTACGTTGCACGGGAAGTGAAAAAGGAAGAAGAAGAAGAAGGACCGGAGGAGTACATCGGAGACCCGATCAGACTGTCCGACATGGAACCGTTCGTTCCGCCGTCGATGAGGGAAGACGCTCCGTTGGCGAGCATACTCAATCCGCAGTTGGACGGCATCGATCCCAGGTACGGTTTTCGGCAAACTCCATAAAGAAAGCAATTCCAATTTTGCAGAATATTCTTCAAAGATTTCATGCCGAACAAAGTGCTTCGATTCTCGCGCCTCTTCGCCCAAAACATCAAAAACTCGTCGCGCGCCGAGATCTGGTGGGCCTCGAAAACGTTTGCGAAACAGCAGCGAAAGAGCACGAAATCGGAGGAGAAAGAGGAGGAGGAGGGTCCCGGCGCGAAGAAAAAACTGAAGTTGAACATAATCGAGAAGGTGCCGAAACTGATGCTCGCGCCCGACGAGGAGACGGAAATGCGGCGGCCGATGCTGACGGAAGCACAGAAGCAGGCACGGAAGAACGAGGAGGGACGGACGGTGCAGCCGTGGAGAACCGGTCCCGCACAGATCTGGTACGACATGATGGGACTGCCCTCCACCAGCCAGTCCGTTAACTACGGGTTCAAGCTCAAGGTGAGTTGAGGGACAATATTTGGAGCTCATGTAAAAATGTAGTTTTTTAGATGTTGGGGATAAGAGAATTGGAAAAAAGCAAGCTTTCTAGCTTTTACACATTTTGTTCAGTTTTTAAAATTTCCAATTCAGAAGCCCTCAGCGAAAGTGGTGAGTCGGAGCGAGACGAAAGAATCCACGTCGGCCCCTTTCCACGGTCCCACGGACCCATCGACGGAAGCGTCGACAAGCTTGGCCCCGTCGAAAGTGGAGGTGATCGATAAGAGCTGCGGACCGTCCGTGTCGGAAGACGTCCTGCTGCCGTACCAGGTGATCGAATGGGAAAAGGACGTGATTCTGGATAGCGACGAAGTGAAGGAGCAGATGTTGGAAGAGTTCTCGACGGGCAGAGGGTGCGGCTGGATCGCCACGCAGTACACGCGCACCTACGAGCACTTTGTCTACGCAGGTCAGCTTTGAGACTTGAAAATTTGAAATCTCCAGCATTTTCTTGTTTTCCCGGAATTTCCCTTTTTTAAAGTACAATTTTCAAAAACAAAATTAGTTTCCCCAAAATCATCTTCAATTTTGCAGCGAACAACAACGCGTTCGAGCAAATGTTCGACGGAAAATCGGCGCCGATCAATCTGAACGGTCCCGACGCGCTCATCATGCCGACGCCCACGCACTCGATCTTTCCGTCGACGCCCAGCGATTTGGACATGATTCCCTGGGAGAACAACATCGTCTGGGACCCGGACGCGATGGACACCAACTTGGGTACGCAATTTCTTTAAAATTTTCTCGAATTCTACAAAGGATTGAATTTTCTTTCTATTTTTTTCCGAAATTACAAAGCAATATGATCGAATTTCTGCAGAACCCATCGATTTCCTCGTCGATTTCGCCGACGACCCGCTCATTTACGGAATGCCCGAAGATCGGCGGCACGACGACGATCGGCCCGACCGGAAAGAGTCGCAGTATACGAAAAAGTCGAAAATGATATTGGGGCAGGTGGCGCAGCGGCAGAAACAGGAAGAGGACGAGCAGATGGAGAACACGATGGCCCAGTTCACGGACAACGACCCGTTCAACCTGAGCAACGACGACTACTACGTGCCGAAAGCGACCTCGAAGACCCTGTCGAGCAACTCGCTGCTCATCCAGCACGCGACGCCCGCCCAGAACATTGCCACGCAATTCTTCCCCACCCATCCGTCGAGCTTCCGGCTCCGCTACTGGCACCGCACTCCGTTTACCCGACGAATCATCCGACACTGGCAGCCCACTCGTTACGCCCCGATCCAGACGCCGGCCAAACATCAGGCGCGAGTCAACGCGATGAGGGAAGCGATGCGGTGCGCGCAAGGAGGCGGAGAAGTGTTCTACATGAAACACGTGGAGGATCTGAGCGGGAAGGACGAGACACTCGTGATGATCGAGTACAGCGAGGAACATCCCGTCGTGCTCTCGCAGCCAGGAATGGCCAGCAAGATGAAGAACTACTTCAAGCGGAGGCAAGCGAACGACACGGAGCCGACGTTCGACTTTGGCGAAATGGCGTTCTCGCACCAGATACCGTTCCTCGGACAGCTCCAACCCGGACAATCGCTGCAATCCATTGAGAACAACCTCTACAGAGCGCCCATTTATCCGCACAAACAGCCCAGCACGGATTTCCTCTTGATTCGCAGTCAGCATCAGTGAGTTTGGAGCGAAATACTCAAATTTAGCAATTTCACTCTATTCCTTGCAGATGGTACATACGTCCGCTGCCCGCGCTTTTCGTCGCCGGCCAGCAGTGTCCGCTGTACGAAGTGCCGTCGCCCAACTCGAAAAGGGCGACTCTGTTTGTCCGCGACTTCCTGTTCGCCTTCATCTACCGTCTTTTCTGGCAATCCGATCACACGCCGCGTCGTTTGAAAATGGAAGACGTGCGCAACGCATTCCCGCATTACGCCGAGTCGAACATCCGAAAACGGCTCAAAATGTGTTCGACGTTCACGAGAAACGGAACCGAAACGTTTTGGGCGCTCAAAACAGAGTTCCGACTGCCGTCGAAAGAAGAAGTACTTTCTATGGTCACCCCCGAAATGTGCTGTGTCCAGTACAGTATGATGGCGGCCGAGCAGCGCCTTAAAGACGCCGGATACGGAGAAAAGTACTTTTTCACGCCCGAAAACGAAGAGGGATCGGACGATGAGGTGACGATCGAGGACGAGATCAAGTGTGCGCCGTGGAACACAACACGCGCGTTCCTGGCGTCACAACGGGAGAAGTGCCTGCTGGACCAGACGGGCATCGCGGACCCGACCGGCTGCGGACAGGGCTTCTCGTACGTGCGCGTCTCGCAAAAGCCGCATAAGGACGAGAACGCGACGCCGGTGCCGAAGAAGCTGGTGACGGGCACGAATGCGGACCTGCGGAAGCTGCCGTTGAAGGAGGCCAAGCAGATCTGCAGGGGATACGGAGTCAAGGAGGAGGAGATCAACGCACTCACCCGGTGGGAGATCATCGACGTCATCCGCACACTGTCTACGCAGGCGGCAAAGGCCACCAAGGAGGGAGAGAGTGAGTTCGGGGCACTTTAAAACACGGGAACAATGTTTTGCCTGTTTTTGTCAATTTTATGGGGAAAATCCGGAAAATCCATGACACGTGAAATCTCGAATAATTGGGTCAGAACGATTTGCAGCAATCTCTGGAATGGCTCGTTTCGCCCGTGGCAACACGCGTTTCAGTTCGGCCGACATGCAGGAGAAATACCGAAAGCACTGTCAACGCATCTTCGACCTGCAGAACCAGTCGCTGGCCAACACGGAACCCATTTCGACGGACGACGACTCGACGGACGCGGACTCGGACAACGAGGAGCTCGCGTCGCGGCTGGAGAGCATGCTCGAGGCGAACAAGGGCAAAAAGAACATTTCAATGTCGGAGAAGGCGAAGATGGATTTCGAGACGGAGGAGAAGGAACGGGAGGATCTGAAGCGGATGATCCACGGGAACACGATCCAGAAGCAGGAGAAGAAGGAGAACGCGGCGGAGATGACGGCCGAGGAGAAGAAGTCGGCCACCCAATTCGGAGAGGACCTCGCCATGTCCGCCTCGAAAATCAGTGGGATCACGGCCAACCAGCAGCTGAAAATATTCCGAACTTCGAAGGGACCGGACGGCAAAGACGTCACGCGGATAGAGATTGTCACGCGGCCGCAGCTCATCGAAGCGTACACGCGCATTCGAATGACCCGCGACGACACGTTTATTCAGGTTGGAAATGGTTTTTGTAAAAAAAAAATTGGGATATTTTTTAAAAAAAAAGTTCGGACTTTCTTTAAACCCTTTCTTTTCTTGCAGGTGTACGCACAAATGGACGAGCAGTACAAAGAAGAGAAGCGGAAAAAGAAGCGTCGTCTGCAGGATCAGATGCGGAGGGCGAAGAAAAACGAGGAGAAGGCGGCGGCGAAGTCGACGAAAACGGCGGTGAAGAAGGAGAAGCCGCCGAATCCGAACCTGCAGAAGATGCGGTGCAGTGCCTGCCACGCCTACGGACACATGAAGACCAACCGGAATTGTCCGTTGTACGGAAAGGATCCGATTCTGATGCCGCTGAAGGAGGAGGACGAGATGTCGATGAGTTCGATCGCCTCGACGTCCGTCTCCACGACGACGACCTCTCTGATCCAGACGGACACGGTGCAGGTGGACGGCACGAAGGTCAAATTCAACCTGAACTTCCAAAAGATCCACGAAGAGAGGCTGCGCGAGGAGAAGGCCCGGCGGAAACAGGCGAAACTCGCGGAGGCGGCCGTCCGCGAGCGACAGATGGCCAGCATGATGGAGTTTGGCGGCATTCCGCCCGGCGCCGGCACCGAGGATGAGGACGACCGCTTCTCGCAGATCTCCGCCGCCTCCTCGTTCCAGAACACTCCCGGAGCGGTCAGTTTTACGTCCTTTTTGAGACTAAAAGTTAAAATTTTGAGGGGATTTGCACTTGTCAGCCTTTTTCAAACAGAAATTGGTCGCAAGTGAAAATTTGAACAAAGTTAGCAAGTTTTGTGCGAAATTGAAGTTGTAGAGTTAGTGACTAGAAGAAATTTGCGTAATTTTCAGGTACGTGGCATGCGCGGCTCCGGAAAGCGTCGTTCGTCGATAATGCCGGAAGAGGACTACCTGCAGGGACCGGCAAAAAGCACGCACCGCATCCGCGCGGACCCCAAAGTGACCATGTCGACCATGTTGACGGAGATTGTGAACGAACTCAAGCTCATCCCGGGAACCGACGCATTCCTCCACCCGGTGAATCCGAAAAAGGTGCCCGACTACCTGAAGTACGTGAAGAATCCGATCTCGCTGCAAGAGATCAAGGCGAAAATCACGAAGCAGACGTACGAGTTGCGCAAGGACTTCCTCAACGACATAAAATTGATGTTCGACAACTCGCGCACCTACAACGGCGATAACAACATGATCACCGTCGCCGCCCAACAGGTAGGACACCACTTTTTTAATTTAGACGCTTTTTTTGCTGGTTTTAGCAAAATTCTCACTTTCTTTCAACAAAACCCAATAAGAACTTGACTTCAGATGCTGCAACTGGCGGGCAAACGAATGATCGAGCGGGAGGACAAGTTCATCGCGCTGGAGAAGCAGATCAACCCGCTGCTCGACACGAACGACCTCATCGGATTCTCGTACCTGCTCGGCGAGATCGTCCAAAAGTGCAAGAACATTCCGAAGTCGGCGCCGTTCCATGTGCGCGTCGACCCGAAGAAAGTGCTCAACTACTACTCGCGCATCGCCGAGCCCATGGATCTGAGCATCATCGAGGCGCGCGCCAAGAACCACGAGTACACGCGAATCGCCGATTTTCTGCGCGACATGCGCCAGATCATGCTCAACTCGCTCAGCTTCAACGGCGACGGATCCATCTACACGGCGAAGGCGCGCGAGATTTTCCAAATGGCCGAGGCGTTGTGCGAGGAGCAGAAAGCGACGCTGTTCGAGCTGGAACGGAACATCAACCACGATCCGATCGGACGGGAATCAGAGACGGTCGAGGAGACGGAGCCGGAAGAGACGATGCACCACGAGCCGATGGACTTTGAGCAGAATCCGACGGAAGACGAGGACGACGAAGAAATGCTCGACGACGAGGACGACGAGATGCACGGCGGAGACGTCGAGGACGAGGAGATCGATGAGAATGGGGGTATGCGCGTTTTTGTTACCACAAATTGTACAATCGGGAATTTGCAGTGTACGACGAGAACATGTGGGCGGTAGATAACGTGGGCGCCGGGCAGCTGATGAACGACTTGGCGATGTCCGATTCGGACGAAGACGAACGACTCGAAGAGGTGCTGCGGCCGAACAATGACGACGACAACCGATTGGACTCTTTTTGAGGCCCACAATTTTTTTATAGCCCCCTCTTTAATTATACTTCCAAAAGATCCCCATCTTTAAAGCGACACCAACTATTCATTTGTATTACGGTTTTAGACACTCAAAAACACATCAAGTCTCTTTTTTCCCCCTGCTGATAAATCCCCTTTCCACACAAACATCTTTATTTTATCATTATCATAATCTCTCAAAGAATTTGGTCTCCAACTTTTTCCCTCGTTTTTTTTCTCTGTCAGAAAATATTATTATTATCACTAAACGAAATTGCTGGGTAAAACAATTGCATAGAATTGTAAAGTACCCTTTTATACCTCAATTTTTGTGGCGAAACATTGTGCGCGCCGCAAAAAGAGACATTTCCGTCGTCGGCGCTCGTCGAGCACCCTTTTCTGCGTGTTTTTTCTATTATTTAGTACTATGTGACCAGGAAGGAAGGTGTACTCTAAAAGTGACAGCGGCAGATCAAAGTAGACATTTCTGCGATCTTTTCATTTTTTGTGTTCATCATTGATCCACCTGAACTTTGACTTTATACTTCAAATTTTCCAATTTCCACACAAACCACCAATCAAACCGTCGCCGCCCAATTCGCCTTTTTTGTGTTGTATGGCAGAAAATGGCAGAAAATTTAATGTACTCTAGTTTTGGCATCGAACGACCAAGCCCCACATTTTAGTTGTTTTCCAGACATGAAAAAGTGGCGTCTACCGTATTCTTGCCGCCTCGCGCCTCGTTTTTAATGGCCAGTTTCCCGCCCGGAGCGCCTCGAATGTCACTCGACAAATGTGTGTCCGCACTTTGCATTTTTCATATTATCCAACTTCGAATTACCGCTTTCCCGCCGTTCTTCTTCCAGATGTTTTCTTTCTTTTTCCCCCACCATCAGACGACTCCGCCCCTTTTTTGTGCCTAAGTCTCCGTCGCCTTCAGATGCTCGATCAGCTCCAAAGAGGTGCCCTCGACGCTCTCCTCCGTCTTCTTGCTGACCGGAAATGGTCATTTTGGTGTGGTGGGGCGAGTTGTGTGCACCTGCTTTCGCCCCCTCTCGCCTCCCAACTAAAAGGGACCCCGAAGCGGTCGCCTATTACTTTTGAGCAAGCCGTCCGACGAGCCGCCCGCCCGACGCGTTTTCACACGCAATTTTTGTTTTTGAAACATTTTTTTGGTTCGAAAAGCAAACTGGGTCCAAGTCCTGAACTCATCATGACACATTGTATTATTTTGAATCGTTTTGAAAAGTAGATGGAGAGGCGGAAAAATTGAAGGATTTTGGACCCACTACCAAAAAATGCTTCAAAAAGCTCAACCCATTTTTTGAAACACTAGATTTTGAGTGTCGAATAGTGTTTCCATTATAGGTCTGAGGTTTTTTGAATTTCATCGTTTCACGCTTCACCGAATCGGTCAGTTGTTTGTCTGTGCATCTACTTGCTCGTTGCTACTTTAACATTTTCACTATTTGGCGCTCAGTGTAGTCCGGAATAGTAACTGACACACTTCTGAACACGTTTTTCCGAGATTCTTCTTTTGGTTTCCGCGAGAGTGTTCAGCATTTTCATTTAACATTTTGTATGCTGTTTCCGGAATCATAATGCTGATAAGTTTAGCGTACTATTAGCTGTTTTGTGGTAAAATTACCACGTAAGGACCTCACGATTACATAAAATCCTATAAGCTGAACTTTAAACGTTCGATTTTGTTCGATTTTGTTTCTTTCATGTGCTTCTCCTCTCCACTTTGCACCTTTTCCTCACTTTTCCGCAATTCTCTCCTTATTTCAGCCAAAATTAGTGCCAATCAGAGCCAGGCTACTCTTGTTATTGTTAGTCTCATTGTTATCTCCGTGAATCATGTCCGCCGATTCGCCACGTGGCGGCATTCTGGGCCGCGCGTTGCGAGACACCGCCGAAGACATTGACACGGCGCCGTTACGCAGTTCCCGAAGGGTCCCAATACAGGTAAATGCGAGGCAAAAGACGAAAAATGGGTCGGCGGATTTGAACCAATGACGTTAGATTTTCAAAAATGGCAGTCGTTAGCCACTAGGCCACGCGCAGCATCTTGAGAAATGGATGTGAAGTTCGGAGAGTATTTTGCGCGCGGCGCCCATTTTTGGCATTCGACTTTCAGACCGAACTCATTTTTCATGTTGCTTTTTCCAGAAAAGTAACGTTAGACGGGCCGCGTGTGTGTGTGTGTACGCATTCGCGGCAACAATTATTTAGTGTACCTGGCGTATCCGTTTTTCGTCAAAATTGAGACCCCACGTCTCTTTAGTAAAAAGACAGACGAAGAAGAAGAAGAAGCATGTCGAAATATGGGCATAGGAACTCGAGAGATTTCCGGCCGTAACAGAGAGAAGAAAACTTCTTCTTCGTCTTCTTCTTCTTCTCTCTTCCACACAAACAGATATACGAAAGGGGGAGAAGGAGGAAGCGATGTTTGATGCTCCGATTGTATATAGGTGCAAGTACGCACCGGGGAGGTCTTCTGAACTCTCGAGGACTCCCCAGGTAGCCTAGAGGGACCAGCGAGGTTAGGTCGTGCAGTTGCGAAGTGTCCAATAGCTGAGTTGCGAACATTCCCACATTGCAACCGCTTCCTAGATTTCGAGTTTGAAGAACTTTGGGCTACAGATACTTGTACCACCACGGTCTCCAGAGCTGACAATATGGGCGTGGCCTCGGCGGCCAAATGGCGTTTTCATAAATTGAGCACGTTTTTTCTGATTTTTGTGGTCAAAGACGATGAAAAATGATTGTTCGGCATGAAAACACACTAATTCTCGGAATTAGTGACGTTTTGGCGCATTTTTCGCGGACTTTTCGACAGAATTGGTTTTGAGAATGATAAATCACGTAAATACAAGTATTTTGAGCGCTCGAACCGCGAAAACTACCGAAAAGCAACTGAAATTCACGCAGTTTTAGCCAAAAACCTTCAAACGGATAAATTTGATTTGCGAATTGACCAAATTTGACGCTCTTTCGCTTAAAAAATTCGTAATAGCCTATACAATCGGTCTATCGAGAGAAAAATGAGAAATTATCGGTTTTTCGTGGCTAATCTGGCAAAAAACACAAATTTCGCGCCAATGTATCGCTCTATTGGGCGGGGCGCACTTGCGCGCCCATTGTCAGCTCTGGAGACCGTGTACCGTTCAAAAACGAGTTGATTGCGAAGTGTCATTCCAGATGATTTCCACTTCGCAACCGGGTCCATCCCACGTGACCGTCGTCTCCGTCCCCGGACCTCTTCCGCCCACATCCCATCACACAGAAACGCATCGGACCGAGCACACGACATCGGCCAGCCGGTTCATAAGGTACGTGCATTCACATCGAAGTAACCTTAATCATGTTTGTTCTAGAAGACGTCGTCCATCGCGAGAAGCCAGCACAACAACCACGACAGTCGGACCGTCGGATTCGCGAGTCAGTTCGGGCAGCACAGTGGGCGATCACCGCCCGAAATCGGCCGAAGACGCGCGGAGAGAGCGACGACGGAGCGGCGGTGGGAATCAGGGAATGTTGGCCCGAGGACTGCGGGAGATGAACCAGGTGGTCAGGGAACTGGAGAAGGCGAGCGAGGAGCCGACGACGCGGCACGGCATTCTGGGCACGGCGCTCGAGGACATGAAACACGTCACTTATCACACGATCTATCGGAGGGACGAAGCGCCAAAGGTGGGAAAAGAGTTTCACTTGTTTAGAAGTACTCCCTGACCGACATTGCACAGTTTAGGGACCAACCATAATACAGTTGTACAACCGTTCTAGTTGACAACTTTTTCATATTATCACTCTGAAAGTCTGACTTTCCTAATGCTATTATAGGGGCACCGGACAGAAATGGCGCTCTGTTGAGAAACTCTTTTTCAGTGCAAATTGAGCGACCTCGGGGCCGAGTTTGAAAAGTTAGGCCACATTTTGAGTGGAAAGTTGCGTCGCGCGGCCTAGAAATTCGGCCAGATTGCGAACAGAGCGCCCTTTCTGTCCGATGCCCCTATAATATCCTTTATTCATTTCAGAGATCGCGTTCGTTCGACGACAAGGACGACGCGAGTCGAGTGGGAATGATCGAGCGACTGCTCCGTCACCACGACCCGCTCGAAATGAAACGATTGGGTCTTACGGTAGGCGCACAACTTTTTTATTCGATTGGAAAGTCGTAAAACTCTCGTTTTATAGCCTACCCTCGTAAACTGGAATTGAAATTGAAATTGACGCCTTTGGTGCATAAATTGGATGAAATGAATGAGGGTTTTTAGCGCACCAGGGGTCTAATTCGTGTCAAGCGGGGTGGGCATTTGGCCGGCCCTTGTACCTGGACTTTTGAACCGCTTGCAATGTTCCGATCGGACCCAAACTTTGCACGCTTCTTGGACATGGGCTGAAGCATATTGGGACCAAGTTTCAGCCCGATCGGATCATCTGGTCCCGAGAAATGTGGATCATTGGCCGAAATTGGCCGAAAGCCCGGGCATTTTGGAAAAAATCGGCTAATGATCCACATATCTCGGGAGCCGACGATCCAATCGGGCTGAAACTTGGACCCAATGGCCCTCAATCCAAGTCCAACAATCCTGCAAAGTTTGGGTCTGATCGAAATATTGCAAGTGCTTTGGGGTCCTCTTCAAATGCCCTTTCTTTCAGGAGTTGCTGAGCTCGGACGACCCTCGAGCCGACTCCACAACGCCCGTTCCCACTGCGCAACCGGCGCTCCGCAGAAGTTCCACTCATTTGACGATCGGAAAGAACTCGCGAGTCATATTTGTTCCGAAGCAGAAGAGTCGCGAAAGTGTGACTCCGCCGGAGAGAATGCTCGGAAAGCCGCCGTTCCGGGAGAGCATCACGTCGCACACGTCTTCGCACGAGGAGATGGCCGCCGAGGACCTCGCGATGGCCGATCCGCAGACCAAGATATTGTACTTTGCGAAGAGGGACGAGTGGCCAAATGTGGAAGTCGAGATGGAGACGATCAAGCGGAGCGACTTCAGCATGGCCGACAGTGTGAGTTGTGAACGAGTATTGTTGAGTTAGGAAATGTCCGATGCTTCTGAAACTTATTGAGTACTCTTGTACGACAGTTGCTGCGATTACTGTAGCTCTTCAAAGTTAGATATGTCTAGGGGCACATTCATCGCAATCGAAACTTTCAAGAGCTACAGTACTCCAGGGAGTGATGCTACAAAATAGTTGTGTAAAAACTCCTGACTGTATAGCACTCATTTTCAGCACGGATTCACCTCGTTCCTGCTCGCTGTCAAGGCTGGAAAAGATCAGATAGTCGACAAGATGATCCGGAAAGGCGCGCGCGTCGACTACATCACGAAAGACGGCCGCAACGCCGCGCACATCGCCGCCATGTACTCTTCCGTCGAAACTCTTGAGCTGATCCTCAAGCGATACTCGGAGCTGCTCCGCAAGCCGGCGGGACCGAAGAAGCAGCTGCCGATTCACGTGGCGTGCGAGCGCAAATCCAAGAAAGCGTTCCCGATCGTCAAGCGGATTCTGGAGGACACGGATCAGCGACTGTCCGAGGACGGCGATGGATCGCTGCCGATCCACTTGGCGTTCAAGTTCGGAAATGTGAATGTGGTCGAACTGCTGCTGTCGGCGCCGTCGGACGAGCAGACGAAACGGCCCGACGGGAACGGAGACAGCCTCCTGCATCTGGCCGCCCGTTCCGGAAGCATCGATGCGGTGAGGACGGCGATCGCGGCCGGCTGCGACAATGCGAACATGCAGAACACGATGGGCAGGACGCCCCTTCACGAGGTACCGTAACCTTAGGAGTGATGGTACAAAAAAGTTGTCAATTGCAAAGATGCTGTGCTAGACAAGAACGCCAACTTTCTAGTTGACAACTTTTTTGTACAACTAATGCCCGGGATACTGTAGGGCAGTGTTGAGCGGAATTCCGTCTGCCGTCTTCCGTCTTCCGTCTTCCGTGGTTTTTTTGTTCCGTCTTCCGTCTGCCGTCTTCCGTATAAGAATGTTTCTTCCGTCTGCCGTCTGCCGTCTTCCGGGATTTTTTTTTCTTACCGTAAAAGAGTAATAGCTTTTCAAAAGCCATTTACTAGTCCCGAAGAACGCGAATTTCCACGGGCAGTACCCAGATCCAAAAGTTTTGTTGCTTTAGTTATTTTTTTCAAAAAAAAAACCGGAAAAAAAGGCTCTGAATTGACGATTTTTTGTTCCGTATTCCGTCTGCCGTCTTCCGGGAAAAAAGTTTTCTTCCGTCTTCCGTCTGCCGTCTTCCGTGAGAAAAATTTTCTTCCGTCTTCCGTTTTCCGTGTTCAGTAAGAAAAATTTTCTTCCGTCTGCCGTCTGCCGTCTTCCGTATTTCAAAATTCCATTTCCGCTCAACTCTGCTGTAGGGCTTGGAATGGTTGACTAACGTACTGAAAATTCTTGTTGCAGGTGGCCGAAGTGGGGGATCAGAACATGCTGAAGATCATGTTCAAACTGCGCGCCGACGCGAACATCCACGACAAAGAGGACAAGACGCCGGTGCACGTGGCGGCCGAACGCGGAGACACTCAGATGGTCGAGTCGCTCATCGACAAGTTCGGAGGCTCGATCCGAGCACGCACGCGGGACGGATCCACCCTTTTGCACATCGCCTCGTGCTCCGGCTTCGCCAATACCGCGTTGGCGTTCTTGAAACGAGGTGAGCGCAGAATTCTGAGATTGTTGGTGGTGTTTTTCCTGAAATTTAAAAGACCAGGGAACCTAAAAATTTTTTGATTTGTTTGTGAAATTTTTTGTGACTGTTTGAATTGTCTCTTATTGCCTCATACACTGGTGAAACGCTGCCTCTCAAAAATGCCAATGAACGAAACGGCGGGCAGTTGAAGTTGTGGCCGTGGCCTAGCGCCAATGGCCGAAAAATATATAAAAATATATGCGCTTCTCGGCCATTTTATTTTTTCCGCTTTTTTACCGGTTTTTTCCAAAAATTCACGGTTTCTCCCATTTTTCAGTTGATTGACATTAGTTCGGCACTTACTTATTTTTTCACTGCTAAAAAATTGTTTTCATTCAGTCGATACGAAGTGCCAGATGAGTGGTTTCCGTGGAACAAGGGCGATTTTATCGCAAAAAAACCGAAAAAAAGCGAAAAAAATAAAATGGCCGAGAAGCGCATATTTCTAGGCCATTGGCGCTAGGCCACGGCCACAACTTCAACTGCATGCCGTTTCGTTCATTGGCATTTTTGAGAGGCAGCATTTCACCAGTGTATAAGGCAATAAGAGACAATTCAAACAGTCACAAAAAATTTCACAAAAAAATCAAAAAATTTTTGGGTTCCCTGGTCCTTTAAAAGTACCGTTCCAGGCGTTCCCCTATTCATGCCGAACAAGAAAGGCGCGCTGGCGCTTCACTCGGCCGCCGCCGCCGGATTCAACGACGTCGTCAAGATGCTGATCGCGCGCGGCACGAATGTGGACGTGCGCACTCGCGACAACTACACGGCCCTCCACGTGGCAGTCCAATCGGGAAAAGCGTCGGTCGTCGAGACGTTGCTCGGAAGCGGAGCGGACATTCACGTGAAGGGCGGAGAACTCGGACAGACGGCGCTGCACATTGCCGCCTCGCTGAACGGACCCGAGAGTCGAGACTGTGCGATGATGCTGCTCAAGTCGGGCGGACAACCCGACGTGGCACAAATGAACGGCGAGACGTGCCTTCATATTGCCGCACGGAACGGAAATAAGGAGATTATGAGGTAGTCTATTCGAAACGTTATATCTCAGCTGTGGGTAGATGTGCCAAAAAATGATCAATTGCACAAAAGTACACCATGTTTTGCTGAACACTTTATCAGTTGAAAACTTTTTGATATCTCCACCCACAACCGAGATATGGCCTTTTGAAACTGACGATTCTACACTAACTTCAGACTTCTGCTCAACGAAGACGCCGACGCGCAAATCTGCTCGAATATTGGAGAAACACCGATTCAGGTGGCCGCAAAATCTTGCAATTTTGAAGCCGCTTCCATGGTACTGAAGCATTTGTCGGAGATTTTGACGCCAGAGCAGCTCAAAGAGCATGTGAATCATCGGACAAATGTGAGCGTTTTGTGATAGCTTCAATGAGTATTGTAGGGCTGTAGAATGCTCTACGGCTTTGAAACTTTTAAAGTGGAAACTTTGTGTCTAGTACTTGCATTTTCTAGTTGACATCTTTTTTCCAGGACCACTTTCTGGAGTACTGTAGCTCGGGGAAGTTGGCCTTGCCATGCACTTGCATCAACTGACCCTAACTTCCAAGAGCTACAGTACGCCAGGAAGTGGTGGTACGAAAAAGTTGTCAACAACAAAATTAAAGTACTAGATGTGAAGTTTTCACTCAACAATTTTCACAGCTGTTGCACGTTTCCTGAACCTACAATACTCGTTTAAAGTGGCAAAAACGTGACAATTCAAACAAAACGTTGCCTGATTGCAGGACGGTTTCACAGCGCTCCACTACGCCGCTGAAATCGAGCTGAAACAGTTGCATTTTCCGGGCGAAGACGCGAAATTGGTGAATCTGCTCATCGACTACGGCGGAATGGTCGAAATGCCGTCGGTGAACGCGAACGAGACGGCGATGCACATGGCCGCCCGGAGCGGAAATCAGGCGGTCCTGCTGGCCATGGTGAACAAGATCGGTGCGGGCGCCGTGCAGATTGTGCAGAACAAGCAGAGCAAGAACGGATGGTCGCCGCTGTTGGAGGCGTGCGCCCGCGGACACACCGGAGTCGCCAATATCCTTTTGAAGGTGAGTTGAATTGAGTTTTATATGAAACATGTACTTTATTAGGTCATTATTAGGAAAAGGGTACAAAAAGTGAGTACAGGAAGTGAGTACAGTAAAATCAAAAGGCATTGTGAAGGTTCTGATATTGGGGAGCCAAGATCTCGGGATGGTTGAGTCCGTGAATGGCCAGTCGCATCGAGGCGACCGCGTCTTCGGCCGAGCAGTGACCGTCTCCCTGCTGGATGTGATAGCCGAGCACATTTTTGGTCAAATTGCGGAGACCAGGACGACGTCCCCGATGCGTGTAGATGACGGAAGTGTCGATGACTCTCTCGTGGACGACACCGAGCACGCGAAGGTCATTGGCGAGCCCGTGTCCGACCAGAATGGTCCGTTCGTTGAGCTCGTTGAGGAAAGCCATGCGGGCGGCTTCGAGTGTCCACTTTGCAGTCTTGAAGGATTCGATCGTCAAGCCAGAGTACTTGGTCATGGGGTCCAGGATCCGATCGATTTGCTTCACGACGATATCCAAAAGGACCGCCTCAGTGCAGCTGACCAAAGTGATCCTTCCGACTGTCTGACCACTGACCGTTTGGATCATTTCGAGGTCCAGAGCGAGCATCTGAAAAAGAGAAAAAAGTTAGAAACAAAGACCATTTTGAAATTGCTTACCTCGCTGGACAAGTGACAGTTCGATTTGTTCACCTTCGGCGTGCTCGGAAAGCGTTGAAGAGCACTCGCGGAGACCTGGTCATGGACGTGGAAGTTCCGGTGCTGTTCGCCGTCGAAACAGACCATAGTCGTGGCGGGCACCTGCTTCCCATTCGGCATCACGAAGAAGCGGCTGTGACAGCGGGTGCAAGTCCGCTCGAAGTCGTAGGCCTGATGCACGGCGGGCCGATTGTGCTGGTACTCGTTCGCCTGCAGCTCCACACCATTCCGGCCCCTCGTCGGATATCCGTTGAGGACTCGCTGCTCCGCGCTGAGCAGGAGTCCATCAACGATTCGGCCGCAGTGCCGGGTCGTCACGAAGGCCTTGCGAGCAACTGAAAAGTTGGAAAATAAGAATGGAAAGTGGGGGAAGATAGAGGAAAACTTACACAAAAATTTGATTTGCTCGGCCTCGCTCAGTTTCAGCTGGCCGGCAAGCATGGCCTGGGCGAGAAGGAGCTGCTCGCGGTTCTGCATGTGCATTATCGATTGGATATTGTACAGACCGGACAGACGAGCGAGCTACTCGAATGAACGAATGGGGATGGGATTCTGAGTGGACGGATTCCTTATTTATAGTTTTAAGGAGGGAGGAGGTGGAGTTAGGGGAACCTGAAGACGTAAAGATGAGCGAGTGCCGTATACTGTGCCGGAGGTGGAGATGTTCCACCGGTATACGGCCTCGGTGGGACAATGGATTCTGGGAAAACTCTGGGTAACCGATGATGTTACCAATCAACTGAATGTGAACATTTCACACAACAGTTTCGAAATCAATTGCTCATTGCCGTAGACTCTACAATATCCCTTTTCAAAGTTGACAATTTCTGTGTTGAACTGCTCTACGTCAAAAGTATACGCCACACCCCAATTTTTGAAGATATCAGAAAAACTAGAAGTTTTATCAAAAAGCGGCTAATGCCATTCCGCGGGTGCCAAGTTTCATGGGAATCGCACAAAAATTACGGGCACCAGGACAAAAAACGGAAATTTTGGCCGCGTCAAAAGTGTCCGGCCACCCCCAGGATTGTTTCAAATGCCCCACTGATTGTAGAATACTACACAGATGAAATGCGATGAAGCAATTATACAATTGCGCTAATTCTAGACAAATCCCAAACAAATATTTGGGAATTTTTGTTTAGATTTGCGCAATTGTATAATTGCTACACGGCATTTCACCTGTGTACTTCCCCCTGGAGTAGTAAGTGGTTGGAGATCAGTGTCTGACAATCAGTGGGTCATTTGAAACAATTCGGAAGCGGAAATCCATAAAACCTTCCATGAACCTTGAAAAAACAATCAGTTTTGCTATGATTTGCATATTTTGCCATAATTGACCCAATTAGTGAATAAATAGTTGAATCAGAGTTGAAGAACACGGAAGAATTTTTATCTTTTTTAGAAAATTTTTTCATGAAATGTGATCAACTGACGAAATGTATAGCAAAGTGAACTCTGCTCATAGAAAAATAATTGTAAATTTAGCTTTTCATACAAAAAAGTTATTCGAGTTGTTCCGTGAAAAAAGGAGGGCTAACGGAAGACGGAAGGACATTTTCGCGCAACAACTGGAATAACTTTTTTGTATGAAATGTTTAATTTACAATTATTTTTCTATGAGCACAGTTCACTTTGCTGTACATTTCGTCAGTTGATCACATTCCATGAAAAATTTTTCTAAAAAAGCCAAAAATTCATCCGTGTTCTTCCGTTGAGTTCTTCCGCTCAACTCTGAGTTGAATAGTGTCGAAAAAACTGTATGCTTGCAAAAAAGAGGTAAAACAGTGATGCGGCCATAAATTTTCGCCAATTCTTGCGAGTTTTCATAAAGAGTCAGAATTTTGCTTGAAAATGACCTAATGGTTTATCTACGGTTCTCCAAAATGATCATTATTGCTTCGAAAAAGTGTGAAAGACACGTTGAAGCAGTTTTCCAAATAGTTGGACTCGTAGAAGTATCATAATTTATCGAAAACTTTAGAAATCCTGGGGGTGGCCGGATACTTTTGTCGCGGCCAAAATTTCGATTTTCTGGCCTGATGCCCGTAATTTTTGTGCGATTCCCATGAAACTTGCGTTATTTTACATATCGAATGGCATTAGCCGTTTTTTTTTTAAAACGTCTAGTTCTTCTGATATCATCAAAAAAATTGGGGGGTACCGTATACTTACGACGCGCACTGTATTATATGACCGAATTTTGCAGCATCACGCGCGTATCGACGTGTTCGACGAGATGGGCCGGACGGCTCTTCATCTGGCGGCGTTCAACGGTCACCTGCCGATCGTGCACCTCCTGCTCCAGCACAAGGCGTTCGTGAACAGCAAGTCGAAGACCGGCGAGGCGCCGTTGCATTTGGCCGCCCAAAATGGACACGTCAAAGTGGTGAATGTGCTCGTGCAGGATCACGGAGCGTCTCTCGAGGCGATCACACTCGACAATCAGGTCGGTTGGCTGCTAGAATCAATCAGTTTGTAACGGTGGCCTAGCTTTTTCATGTGGAGACAGTTAGGCCATAGATATTGCGTTCTTCAGGCCTGGAGAAGTCGGTGGCCGAACTTTCTCAACCTAGGCCATAAACTCACAAAAAACCGCTTCCAGACCGCCCTTCATTTCGCCGCCAAATTCGGTCAACTCGGCGTCAGTCAGACCCTTCTGGCTCTCGGAGCCAACCCGAACGCCCGCGACGACAAAGGCCAGACGCCTCTCCATTTGGCCGCCGAAAACGATTTTCCGGACGTTGTGAAACTGTTCCTGAAGATGAAGCACAACAATAACCGCGGCGTTCTCACCGCCATCGATCACAACGGATTCACGTGTGCGCACATTGCCGCAATGAAGGTAACGGAGGGGGGGGGGGGACTAGAAGAGCTCGCGCCGTGGCCTAACTTTTTCGGTTTGTAGGGAAGTTTGGCGGTCGTTCGCGAGTTGATGATGATCGACAAGGCGATGGTGATTCAAGCGAAGACGAAGACGTTGGAGGCGACGACGTTGCACATGGCCGCCGCCGGAGGACACGCGAATATTGTGAAGATCCTGCTGGAGAACGGCGCCAATGCGGAGGATGAGAACTCGGTAATCGATTGCCAATGAGCTTGAGAATAGCCATCACCTTTTCGGTTTTCAGCACGGAATGACCGCTCTCCATCTGGGCGCCAAAAACGGTTTCGTCTCGATTCTCGAGGCGTTCGACAAAGTGCTCTGGAAACGATGCTCCAGAAAAGTGAGCCGACAATATCAGTGTCTTCTTCGACTCTTCCAACATTCAGACCGGTCTAAACGCTCTGCACATTGCCGCCTTCTACGGAAACTCGGATTTTGTGAACGAGATGTTGAAGCACGTGCAGGCGACGGTCCGATCCGAACCGCCCATCTACAACCACCACGTGAACAAGGAGTTTGCCACTGAGGTACGTACATGGTCTCGCACTACTGTAGCCATCACTTTTTCATTTCAGTACGGATTCACACCGCTCCATTTGGCGGCTCAAAGCGGTCACGACAGCCTCGTTCGGATGTTGCTCAATCAGGGAGTTCAAGTGGACGCCACCAGTACCACTATGGTAGAATTGGACAATATCTAGAGTTTAACTAATATTTTTTTTGTCAAGAACGTGATTCCGCTTCATTTGGCCGCCCAACAGGGCCACATTGCCGTCGTCGGAATGCTCTTGTCCCGGTCGACGCAACAGCAACACGCAAAGGATTGGCGCGGGAGGACTCCGTTGCACTTGGCCGCACAAAACGGACACTATGAGATGGTCTCGCTGCTCATCGCCCAGGGATCCAATATTAATGTTATGGATCAGGTTGGTGAACGTTCGGATCGAATAGTTGGGCTGAAACTTTCAAAGTTTGAGTTGAAAATCGTAGAGTTCTGAAACTTCCTATGGCTCTGAATATGTTTTCGTGAATGCTTGACATCTTGTGCTGTATCTTGATAGTTGACAATTTTTTCATGCGACCACTCCTTGGAGTACTGTAGCTCTTGGAAGTTAGCGCTTGGCAGAGGCAACTTACAAGAGGCACAGTAATTTCTCGATTTCACCACGAAACTGATACGATTTCAATTCTGAAAAAAACATGGTTGCAGAACGGCTGGACAGGCCTGCACTTTGCCACTCGCGCGGGCCATCTGAACGTGGTGAAGCTGTTCATCGACAGTTCGGCGGATCCGCTGGCCGAGACGAAAGAGGGAAAAGTGCCGTTGTGCTTCGCGGCGGCCCACAATCACATCGAGTGCCTCCGTTTCCTGCTCAAACAGAAGCACGACACGCACCAACTGATGGAGGACCGCAAGTTCATATTCGACCTGATGGTGTGCGGAAAAACGAACGATAACGAGCCGCTGCAAGAGTTCATCCTCCAGTCGCCGGCTCCGATCGAGACGGCTGTCAAGCTGTCGGCCCTCTATCGCGATATGTCCGAGAAGGAGAAGGAACGCGCGAGGGACCTGCTCAACGTGGCCGTGTTCAGCGAGAATATGGCTGTCGAGTTGTTGGGTACGGACGAAATCATTGAAATTTATGAGAAGACAAGGTGTTCAGGTATCACTGCCACCGAGTACAACGCCGCGTTACTTTTGAAGGCGAAGGATAACCGCGGAAGACCTCTGTTGGATGTGCTCATCGAGAATGAACAGGTAGGAATGAGCTACAGTAGCCCTTCTGAGTGATCATAGTGGTCAACCACTCCCTCGACTACTGTAGGTCTTAGAAGCCTCGTGCTGCATTTGCCCGAAAACTTCAAAGATGCCACGGCGACGAAAAGTGTAGAAAGGGGCGTGGCCTAATCTGAGACGCGTTTTCTGAAAATTGCCGCAATTCCAGCACACTTTTCCGATATTTTTGTGTGTTGATATCGACGAAAAAAGAGAAATTGAAGAGAGAAAACATTGAAATTTTCGTGAAAACGCCGCGTTTGAGACGTTTTTGGCATCATTCGCAATACGCCCTCAGCGGCCAATCGCCGCCGAAATTTCGGAATTTTCATACCGGCCGATGTGGATAGTTTTGAGACGAAGTGAGTGTCGGAAGTGATTAAGCACACGTTAATACAAGTATTTTAAGCGTTCAAACGGCAAAAAGTATCGGCGAATGACTGAAATTCGCGCATTTTCAGCACAAAACTTGAAAATCGCATCAATTGATTCATTCTCTGAATGAAACCTGCTCGTTTTAAGCTCAAAAAGTGCGCGATGATTAGTTTAACAAACTTTTGCAATTACATCGTCAAAATCGTACAAAATTTGGGTAATTTTTGACGAAAAACATGAAAAATAGGGTGTTAAATTTCGAATTTCGTACCAAATTGGTGCCACGCCCCCCTTTCTACGTGGATGCCTCTTTTTTGCAACCTTAGTACTCTCATCTACAGTATCGCTTGCATCCAACCGTTTTTGCAGAAAGAAGTGGTGTCGTACGCGTCGGTGCAACGGTACCTGACAGAAGTGTGGACGGCGCGTGTCGACTGGTCCTTCGGCAAGTTCGTCGCCTTCTCGCTGTTTGTGCTCATGTGCCCGCCCGCCTGGTTCTACTTTTCGCTGCCGCTCGACAGCCGCATCGGACGCGCGCCGATCATCAAATTCGTGTGTCACATCGTTTCGCACGTCTACTTCACAATACTCTTGACTATTGTCGTCCTCAACATCACTCACAAAATGTGCGGTTTCAGGGGCAACGAAAAAGCATCAAAAAGCATCAAATTCAGGTACGAAGTGACGTCGGTGGCCCCGAATCCTGTCGAATGGTTGCTCCTACTGTGGCTCTCCGGAAATTTGGTCTCCGAATTGTCGACGGTCGGAGGCGGTTCCGGATTGGGAATTGTCAAGGTGAGTTTCGGCTTTTGTTCACACCGGGCGCACTCTGTCCTTGCAGGTGCTCATCCTCGTGCTCTCCGCAATGGCCATCGCAGTGCATGTGTTGGCATTCCTCCTGCCGGCCGTCTTTCTCACCCATTTGGACAACGACGAGAAGCTGCACTTTGCCCGCACGATGCTCTACCTCAAAAACCAGCTGTTCGCGTTCGCTCTGCTCTTCGCCTTCGTCGAATACCTCGATTTTCTGACTGTCCATCACTTGTTCGGTCCGTGGGCCATCATTATTCGGTAAGCAACCCATAGGCAATGGCGTCGTCCCAATCGGTTCATGATTTCAGAGATTTGATGTACGATTTGGCGCGTTTCCTCGTCATTCTGTTGCTGTTCGTCGCCGGTTTCACTCTACACGTCACCAGCATTTTCCAGGTATACGGTCTCGAGAGCTGACAATGCCCCTCCCAATAGAGCGATACATTGGCGCGAAATTCAAATTTTAACAGCAAAATTTGTGTTTTTTGCCAGATTACCCACGAAAAATCGATAATTTCTCATTTGTCTCTCGATAGACCGATTGTATAGGCGATTACGAATTTTTAAGCGCAAGAGCGTTAAATTTGGTCAAGTCGCAAATCACATTTATCCGTTTAAAGGTTTTTGGCTAAAACTGCGTGAATTCCGGTTGCTTTTCGGTAATTTTCGCGGTTCGAGCGCTCAAAATGCTTGTATTTACGTGATTTATCATTCTCAAAACCAATTCTGTCTGAAAACGGTCAAAAAAACGCAAAATGAGAAGTGCGCTTTTTAGGCGGCGAAGGCGAAAAAGCAAGTCCGCGAAAAATGAGCCAAAACGTCATTAATTCTGAGAATTAGTGTGTTTTCATGCCGAACAATCATTTTTCATCGCCGTTGACCACAAAAATCAGAGAAAACGTGCTCAATTCATGAAAACGTCATTTGGCCGCCGAGGCCACGCCCATATAGTCAGGGTACCCACTACAGTAATCCTTGACTTCCTCTAACCTACCTTTACCGTACTGTGTCATCTCACATCCTACAGTGGTCAAGTGTACTCGGCCCGTACGTCGTTCTTTCAGCCCGCCTACCAACCGGTCGACGAGGACAGTGCCGAACTGATGCGTCTCGCCTCGCCGGAGCAGACGCTCGAGATGCTCTTCTTCTCACTGTTCGGCCTCGTCGAACCCGACTCGATGCCGCCGCTCCATCTCGTGCCCGACTTTGCCAAGATCATCCTCAAAGTGTTGTTCGGCATCTACATGATGGTCACTCTCATCGTGCTCATCAATCTGCTCATCGCCATGATGTCCGACACGTACCAACGCATTCAGGCGCAGTCGGACAAGGAGTGGAAGTTCGGACGCGCCATTCTCATCCGACAGATGAACAAGAGGAGTGCGACGCCTTCGCCCATCAACATGCTCACCAAGTTCCTGATTGTTGTGCGTGTCGCGTGGCGGAATCGATGTGAGTTGCCAAAGAGCGGTTCGGTTGCAAAACGTCCGTGCCCCCTTTTTCAGTACGATGCATGACTCGAAAGGCGCAAGACGATCTGCGATTCGAGGAGAACATTGACGCGTTTTCGATGGGCGGCGGACAGCAGGGACGTGCCAGTCCGACAATGAGACCCGACGAGGGAGGAGGTACTGTTGTCCATTCAAAACCGCGTATCTCGGCTGCCCGAAGAGATATCAAAAAGTGGTCAACTGATAAAATGTGCAAAATGTGTTTTTGAGCATTTGATCAGTTGACAACTTTTTGCTATCTGTACTGGCAGCTGAGATACATCGTCATTCAAATTTGAATGGAAAATTGAGAGGAAGAACTTTTGCACGGTTCCTGAAACGTTTCTGTGCTGCTATTTTAACTGTAGAAGTTCTGAAAGTTAAAACTCGAAGCTCCTTGGCCTTTTAATGGTGGCCGAACTTTGTAGCTAGCGAAAACTAGGCCACCAACTTATTTCCTTACAGAAATGGGCGGTCAACGTGCGGAACTCGGTCGCAGTGCCGACTGGAACATTGAAACGGTGATCGACTGGCGAAAAATAGTTTCAATGTACTATCAGGCGAACGGAAAAATGGAAGACGGACGAAGTCGGGAGGACTACGACCACGCCCATCCGTCGATCCCGGCTGCTCTCGCTTAACTGTCTATATCTCAGCGGCCGGTGGAGATATCAAAAAGCGGTCAACTGATAAATTGTTTATCAGAAAATTATGCACATTTTCGCAGTTGACCACTTGTTGATAGCTCCACCCGCAACCGAGATATTCCTACTTTTCTAACTTCTCCCCTCCCCGGTGTGCTCTTTCCCGCTCTTGGCAATTCTTTCAGTTTTTCCCCCACACACACCGGTGATTTTCTATCCTTTCCTATGGGTTTTTCGCATGGCTTTCCGTTTTTTTCCTCCTTTCTCTCTTTCTCTCGCTTCTTTCCACCAATTTTTCACTGTCTTTCTCTGTTTTCTCCTGTTTTTCATTGTTTTTCCAATAAATATTGTCGTTTCCACGTGTCCCGGCCCCCTTGAGTTGTTGGCAAGGCGTTTCTGTGACGACGTCATTAAAATACTGTATTTTTTTCACAATGGAGCCCGATTTGGAGCAATTTTACTATGAAAGCGCACAACTTGAACACCACGAAAATTTGCGAGGGAGCCACACATTTTTGAGGGAATTTTGTGAGTTTCACCCCTTTTTTTGTCGATATTGTAGAATTTTTCAGTCATCCACCCGCGAATTGACGTCGCCGCCCGTCTTATCGGGATCGTCCTTCTTTTTGCGTATTCGATAATCTTGATGACCACCTTGGTAGGCATACAATACTTTAAATTAATATTGTCGATCCCAATGACTGTTTTGCGTTCTGGAAATTGTTTTATGAAATGTTGACGTAAAGAGGAACCTTTTTCTAGTTGACAACTTTTTTGTACGACCACTGCCTGGAGTACTGTAGCTCGGGGAAGTTGGCACTCAAATTCGTGTGCTTTCAACTAGTCCCAACTTCAAAGAGCTACAGTACCCCAGAGAGTAGTTTTACAAAAAAGTTGTCAACTACAAAAATATAGTACTAATTCTCAGCAATATTTTTGTAGTTGATCACTTTGCGGTAAAACCATTCCCTGGAGTAGTGTGGCGCTTGGAAGTGGACAAGTTTACAGAGGAAAAACCGATATTGTCCATTACCAAAAGTGGTCGTATTTCAGCTCGGCGAACTCTACGAATTCGACTACTGGGGTGATATGTTCTATGAAAAGGGAAAAATGGGTTCGTCCGGAATGGATGACACGGAAACGGCGATTGAAATGGATGATGACGATGAGAACGAGGAGGAGATGAATCAGAATGGACAGGTTGGAAATTCGGCCACCGATTCCGACAATATTGGGTTTCTAGGCCACTAAGTGAAAAACTAGTCCCCAGTGGTTTTTTAGAAGATTTTAGTGTTCCTAGGCCCATCAAAACGTCATACTTCAACAGAAAACATGCCTCTTGAAGTCATTCCAACGAAATTTGGGTTCTTAGGCCACCAAGTTGAAAACTAGTCCATGCAACGTTTCAGTTCGAATGTGACACAATCTACATACAATCGGAAATGGGCGAAATTGTAATGAGAAATCTGAAAAAGTGGCAAATGGAACAGTTGGAGAAAAACGGACTGGAGGAGGAGAAAAACAAGCGGAAAATGTTGGCGAGGAGGAAAAAGGAGAAGAGAGAGGAGGAGGAGCGAAGAAGGAAGTTGAAGACGGAAGAAGAAGCGAGAAAGAAGAAGATGAAGAAGAAGATGAAGAAGACGAGGATGATGAAGACGGACGAGGAACAAGAAGAGGAAACGCCGAAACAGAAGACGGAGGAAGAGGAGAAGAAGACGGAGAAGAAGGCGGAGAAGAAGACGGAGAAGAAGGTGACGTTCCTGCCGGTGGAGCCCACCCAAGAGGATCCTCCAGACGACCGTGTCGAAGAGCCCGACGAGCCGAGAGAGCAGCCGACGCAGAAGCCGCAGTCAAAGTCCCGAAAAGAAGTGCCGACGCGCAAAAAGTCGGATCGCAATGAGAATCCGATGATGACGGAGCAGCCGACGATGGCGATGGAGCCGGCGGCGACTGCGACGAAGAAAATAATGAAGGAATGCGCCGAGGCGGCCAAGAAGGAGAGGGAGAATGTGAGTCAAAGTAGCATCTTGTGGTCCTAGCTTTTCTAAACAGACAGTATTTGCTGGTTTTTGTGAGACACATGCTTGGCCTTGCACTTACTTTTCCCTGAGAATACTAGGCCACAATAACGCGAACTTCCAGGCACCGGACCCGAATAAGACGTTCCGTCAGCCGGATAAAGACTTCCATGACAAGGCGCTCGCCGAATTGGAGCGGGAACTCGCAGAGTCGGTGGAAAACGAGGCGACGACGATGAGCAGGAAGAAGAAGAGAAAGAAGAGCGAGCGGCAGACGAAGGAGAAGCGGGAGAAGGACAGTCTTTGAGATGCGACCGGAATAAAGTTGTGTTCAGTGTGAAACCTACAATACTGTTTATTGAAACGCGTGTATCTCGGCTCAGAGCTGACAATATGGGCGTGGCCTCGGCGGCCAAATGGCGTTTTCATGAATTGAGCACGTTTTCTCTGATTTTTGTGGTCAACGGCGATGAAAAATGATTGTTCGACATGAAAACACACTAATTCTCAGAATTAATGACGTTTTGGCGCATTTTTCGCCGACTTTGCTTTTTCGCCTTCGCCGCCTAAAAACCGCACTTCTCATTTTGCGCTTTCTTGACCGTTTTCCGACAGAATTGGTTTTGCGAATGATAAATCACGTAAATACAAGCATTTTGAGCGCTCGAACCGCGAAAACTACCAAAAAGCAACTGAAATTCACGCAGTTTTAGCCAATAACCTTCAAACGGATAAATGTGATTTGCGACTTGACCAAATTTAACGCTCTTGCGCTTAAAAAATTCGTAATAGCCTATACAATCGGTCTATCGAAAGACAAATGAGAAATTATCGGTTTTTCGTGGGTAATCTGGCAGAAAACACAAATTTTGCTGTTAAAATTTGAATTTCGCGCCAATGTTTCGCGCCAATCTATTGGACGGGGCGCACTTGCGCGCCCATTGTAATGCCGCGTCCAAAGTCTCGGAAAAACCGGAAAAACCGCAGGTTTTCCTGTCCAAAGTCGATCGAAATTTGCGTGAAAAACGGGGGGGTGCACAGCTTAACGAGTTTTTTTTTTGAAATTTTGCGCAAGAAATTTGAATATTTTCAAATATTCTCAGGAAATTAACAAATTTTCAAAAAATACCCTAGTTTTAGGGGTACGGTTACATTCGTTGAGCTGTGCGCACCCCCGTTTTTCACGCAAATTTCGGCCGACTTTGGACAGAAAAACCAGCGGTTTTTCCGGTTTTTCCGAGACTTTGGACGCGGCATAAGCTCTGGGGACCGTGGCGGCTGTCTGTAGAGATATCGAAAATTGATAAAATGTGCACAATTTCTTAATAAACAATTTTCTAGCAGTCAACTTTTTGACACCTCCACCCGGTTCGAAGGGACCGTTTTGGAATTCGCAACTGTTCGCGAGTCTACCACATTTTTCTGCGATTTCCACTCGAATTTTGTACAGAATTAAGTGAAAAGTGTGCAAAATGTCGTGTGGGTGTGTGGGAACACCGAACATTCGAATATATGCGTGCGTGGACACACAACAATCGCCCGATTTTTGCTGCTTGGCTTCCCAAACGTTAGACACTTTGTAACTGTAAGGTTTTCGGTTGCAAAACGTCCTGGTTGCGAAACGTCTCTCTCTCTCTCCGAAAAAGATACACTTTTCCATGTACAGTCCGCTTTCCCACACTTTGTTGTTTCACAGAATGCCCCCCGACTCCCATTTTACGCGACTTTTCAAATAATCGAATTAGCCGGTGCTTCGGGACCGACTACAATGTGTACAGTAATCCGTAGACAGGCAATAACAATAATTGCACTATAGCGGAAGATGTCGGAGAGTAGAAATGGCCATTTCGCAACCAACTCGACCACTTTGCAAAGCCATTCGTTCAAGCCAATGCGAAGTTTCACAATGAAGGGATTTAGTTGCAAAACGTCCTGACCAAAGTGCAACCACGAAATCCATTAGCATTTCCTCATCGTTTTTCTCTCTCTCTCTCTCTCTCCCATACAGTCGAAATACACATTCTACAGAAACATCATCACTTTCGTTCGTTTTCCATCAATAAAAACACTCACACACTCTCACACACATCTTTCGGTCCCGCCGGTCGGTCGGCTCTCCTCCCTCTCTCTCTCTCTCTCTATCTCTCTTTTTTGTGTTTTTATACAATATCGCTCCTTCTTCCTCTTCTTCTTTTTCTTCTTCTTCTTCTTCTTCTTCTTTCCGCCGCCATTCTTCTCCGCTTTTCCCATACAGAACTTGCGAATTTGGAGGTAAGGAATCGGATTTCGCGACACTTTGCAACCAGGCGGACGTTTCGCAACCGAAGATTTCGTCAGCTAGATCGTTTGGTCAACTTTTCTGTGTGTCCTGTCGATTTCTGGTTGCGAAACAGCAGCATCTGGTTGCAAAGTGTCCGGCCACGTTATCACTAAAACGTTTTGAGAGAAACTTCGAGGAGATTAGTGTAGTTGAGCGATTTAGTTAACATACAAAGACGGACACTTTGCAACCAAGTCGTTTCGCAACTGATAGCGCTCAAAAACCTGGTTGCAAAGTGTCCAATGCCAAAACCTGGCCATTCGGCGTTATCGTTTCGAAAAAAGAGACATTTCGCAACCGGACGGCCTAAAAGTGTCGGAGAAAACCCAATTTTTGTACAAAATTGCAAAGTCACGTGAGAAAAGCGCGGGAAAAGAGATTGGCGACCTGCGATATAGCCTCCAGAGCTGACAATGGGCGCGCAAGTGCGCCCCTCTCAATAGAGCGATACATTGGCGCGAAATTCAAATCTTAACAGCAAAATTTGTGTTTTTTGCCAGATTAGCCACGAAAAATCGATAATTTCTCATTTGTCTCTCGATAGACCGATTGTATAGGCTATTACGAATTTCTTAAGCGCAAGAGCGTTAAATTTGGTCAAGTCGCAAATCACATTTTTGAAGGTTTTTGGCTAAAACTGCGTGAATTTCAGTTGCTTTTCGGTAATTTTCGCGGTTCGAGCGCTCAAAATGCTTGTATTTACGTAATTTCTCATTCTCAAAACCAATTCTGTCGGAAAACGGTCAAGAAAGCGCAAAATGAGAAGTGCGGTTTTTAGGCGGCGAAGGCGAAAAAGCAAAGTCCGCGAAAAATGCGCCAAAACGTCATTACTACTGAGAATTAGTGTGTTTTCATGCCGAACATTCATTTTTCATCGCCTTTGACCACAAAAATCAGAGAAAACGTGCTCAATTCATGAAAACGCCATTTGGCCGCCGAGGCCACGCCCATCTGGAGACCGTGTATAAAGTCAAAAAGTCTGAAAACGAGAAACGTTCGCAACCGGATCTCCGCGTCTCCTTCCGCTTTTGCTCTCTCTCTCTCACTCTCTCTCTCTCTCTCTCTCTCTCTCTCTCTCTCTCTCTCTCTCTCTCTCTCTCTCTCTCTCGCTCCGACCGTAACAGATGTACGCCAGGTTTGCTCGTCGGCCCCGCCCCCTTTTTGTGTTCTTCGCCGAGTGAGAATGAACGAGAACGGCGAAAAGACGGCGAAAGAGTTTCCGTTCGATCCGCTCGCTTTTCTGTTCGCTCTCTACCCGCCGGCGCTCACTGAAACGGCCAGGGTAATTGATGATTCGGCGCATGAGCACCCAGTGACGACCTTTTCGCAACCGGTAGGACACTTGGCAACCGTTTCAAAGTTTGAGAAAGTCTGCAAGTATGAGCTTCTTTGAATTAGATTCAAAGACGACTGGTTGCGAAGTGTCCCGTTCCGTTGATATTATAGTAGCAGTAGTTGTTGTTGTTGTTATAGTAGACGTTTTGCAACTCGAGACACTTTGCAACCATCACTTTTCTTTTGAAGTTTAGGTTGCGAAGTGTCCCATTCTGATATTGTCGTTGAAAATGCTGTTCTGTTCGTCTTGTACGTCTTGCAACCGTTTCACAACCGGAACTCTGCACGCTTCCAGAGTCTAGACAAACTTTCAATCTCTTTGTCAGTTGCAAAACGTCTCGGGCCATTTCGCAACCGTTTCCAATACCTGAATGCTAGTACGGTAGTACGGTAGACGGTGTGAAAATTTCGGGCTAGAAGCCTACTTTTTTTGGTAAAAAACTTGAGGGAAAGTGATTTCCACATGGTGCATCGGCCATATAGCACAATAATAAAAAGAAGGAAGAACCAAAGACATTGTGATGCAAAAAAGGCGAAACATGAGTTCCCACGATCTAGCGACCCTCTCCCCCGCCTGTCCGTTCGCCACACATGGTGCATCGACCGTTCGGAATGCATCCGATGTCGCACCGAAACTCACTAACAATCCGCATGGTAGAAGCTGATTTTGCACGAAAAATTGGCCACTTTTCAGCGAATTCACAACGGAGAGATGAGTTTGGCCGACGGAATGGAGTGTTTCCCACGAGCCGCGGATTCTTCCGAAATCGGAATGCCACGTCACAACGAACTGAGAGGAAGTGTGGAGGGTCCGACGAAAAGAGAGGTAAAACCGCATCTTTCGGGGCATTTTTCATGTTGTGTCTGAACTTTCAGCGCATCAAACGAATGGATGACATACTCGCGAAACGGATTGCCAGTTTCTCGAAACATTCCAAGAAAGCTTCGGACCCGAAAACGGTTGGAAGCATGCGAGAGGAGGAAATCGTCAAAGTTCCGACATATTCGGATTTGAGACCTCATTCGTCTGCTGAAATTGATGTGAGCTGTGGTCGATTTGCAACTGGAAATCTCCTTTTTTTTCAGTGTAACACACGTACCTCGTCCGCCCAATCGCTTCCATCGCCGCCAACTCAAAGGACCGGCTCAATCTTCCCCGCCACGGTCCCTCTGGCCGCCCAACTGCAGCCGATCAACACGGGAATCTCGCTCGACGAGAATCGGCGTCTCTGCCAAGGAATCATGAATCAGATCATCGAAATGAGAAAGATGCCCGAGGGAGCCGGCCATCTCGAGACCCTTCACTGTCTCGTCGCCTCGCTCATTCCGATGATGATCGGAGAGGATCCAAGTGCGCCGGAACGAGAAAAATTCGTGACGAACCTTCTCACCAATTTGGGCTATCCGGCAGGAACCGCCAGTTCACTGGGCAAACGACAGAATCCGAAGACCGCGCGAAGAGGCAGAAGACCGGCGAACAAGAGCTCGGACGACATTTCTCCGGAAGTTCTCAAAATGCTCGGCGCCATTAAACAAGCGACACCGCCACGGGCTCCGGTCCCGATGATCCGCGCACCGATCTCGATGGTCCAGACGTCTCAAGTGTGGATTCCACCGCCCGAATCGAGTGTTCGCAATCCTAAGGCTCCGGCTGCGCAAAAACCGACGGCGCCGAGTCCAGCAGCTCAGAACTTCATGATCTCGGCGATTGTCGCTAACCCGACTGTTTCCTCTTCGTTCTCGCCCTCAAAACGACCCTTTCCGACCCCGGAACCAGTTATTCAGGCAGTTCGGGACCTGGTCCAAGCGGCCAAAGCCGCTCGAAATGCCGATATTGCCCCGCTGCCAAATTTTTCCTATGTGGTAGGCTGTTTCACAATATTACTAGAGTAGCTTTGTGGTATTTGTGTTTCTAGAATGTTTTAGCGATAATGGTCGATTTGGACATGAGAAATCATGGTTTTGTGAGAGAGACCCAGTTTTGGAAATATACAATAGAGACAAGTGACAAACTTTGAAAGGGTACTGTAGTGTCCGATGTCGTCCTTTAGCTCTAAAAATTTTTTTGTGAAATCTTTACATCTGATATTACATTTTTGTAGTTGAACACTTTTTTGTACGACCACTCCCTGGAGTACTGTAGCCCTGCGAAGTTGGCACCGAAATCAGCGGTTCTGAAACGGTAATAACCATAGTTGCCACGGGCCGGGCCGGGCCGGGCCGGGCCGGGCCGAAAATTCCAAAACTCCGGCCCGGCCCGGCCCGTCGGCCCGGCCCGGCCTGTCGGCCCGGCCCGGCCCGGCCCGGCCCGACCCGGCCCGGCCCGGTCGGCCCGGTTCAAAAAGCGGGAATTCAAAATTTGAATTATTGATCGCATGAATCCATTTTTTTGTAGAATTAGGGGTTTTTTTGCAAGCATCGAACATTGAAAAAAACAAATGTATTTCTCATAAAAAAAATTCATAATAGCAAGAAAAACAAAGAAGAAACACTAAAACTTTAGTTCGAAAAATTTTTTTGTAATGACGAAAAAAATTTCCGCGAAAATTTGAATTCCCGCCTTTTTGAACCGGGCCGACCGGGCCGGGCCGGGCCGGCACTTCACCGACCCTGCCCGGCCCGGGCCGGCACTTTACCGGCCCGGCCCGGCCCGGGCCGACCCGGGCCGGCCCGCATGGCCGGCCCGAAATCTGGCAAGTCTGGTAATAACTTCAAAGAGCTACAGTAGCCCAGAGAGTGGTTGTACAAAAAAGGTGACAACGAGAAAAGTGAAGTGCTAGACGTCATGAATTGAAAATCAAGTGTTCTAGTAGCATCAAACGTCTATTTCCAGTTCTCTGGCTTAACTTCCACGTCGCCTTCTTGTCCGTCGTCCCAATCGAACTCGGATCCGCCGGATCAGCCGCCCGTCAAAAAAGCAAAGATTCTCGACGAAATTCGCGAATCCGCGTCCCGCAGTCTTGCCGAAATCCGCGAATCGGTGCTCGGTCAGACGGGACCGGAGACGTCGCGGCTCCGTCCGATCGGCCAGTGTCCACTGCGTCCGGCCGGCAAATCGCTGCCCGACATGGAGCCCTTCTACGATTACGTCATCCGGTCCCTCTGGTTCGCCGAGCACTACCAGGGACACGGCGACTGCTCGGAACTGTTCGGTTTCGAGTGGAGACAGCTGCAGGAAACGTATTGCTGCCCGCCCACTTTCACAGAGAACCGCGCGTTCGTGCCGATGCTCGTCGCCGCACTCAAATGGGCCATTTGGGAACGGAACATGGAAGAGGACTTGGTCAGTTTTCACAAAATAATGAAAATGTGAGAATTGTCGAAAAATTAGAAACATCATCGCCATATTTAGCGTTAATTTGAATTGCAGCTCAAAATTCTGAACACGTACCCATCGATCCGTCAGAATCACAATTTGAAGACCTTCATCGAAGCGCATGAAAAAACTGGAATTGAAAAAGTTAGTTTTTCGCTTTCAATCTTTCAATATCATCCCTTTTTTCCAGGTCATCCCGATCGATAAGGAGCTACAAATCGAACACGAACGCAATCTCATCATCAAAACATTGAACTATCTCTCGGAAAAATATTGTAAGTTAAAAAGACAAAATGGCAAAAAGTTTCGCTCCCGGGTGGGCTCGAACCACCAACCTTTCGGTTAACAGCCGAACGCGCTGCCTATTGCGCCACGGAAGCGGCGATTGCCCTCTGCCGATTTTGCCGATATGAAACCGGCGGGCGCCCGTCGAAAATTGAGGAAAAAAAGCCAAAACTTTTGTTTTCGCAGCAACGGTGAAATTCGACGTCGTCCAGCTCTTCTCGTTCCTTTTTTTCAATCTTCTCCAAGGATTTCCGTTCTACAAACTGCAGGGATGGCCGCTCATCGTTCAGATAATCACCGATCAATTGGACGCCTCCGGAGCATACTAATCTCCTTTTTTCCATTCATTTTACAAAATGTCTACCTCGTTTTTCGGTGATTTCACAATATTCCGCCCCTCATTTTATGCATTTCTGTGCCTTTTACCGTCTGAATCTCTCTCTCTTTGTTCGTCCATTTTGGAATCTTTTTGCCAACCGACACCGTTATCTTTCGAATTCTGTTGTAATTGCCTGATAAGGACGAAAAGAGAAAAGAGCAAAGCTTTTCGACTCTTTTCTCCCTTTTTTGTTCAGCTAATATCGTATTTTTGCATTTTCTCTCACGATAATTAAGCGTTGACAGCTTTTGCCTATTTTCCTTCCGAATCGTGTGAAATGTGCCGTATAATTGGAGTTTTACGTGTTTCTTAATCGAATTTGGTCGAAAAGGCAGAAAATTCAGGAAAAATCGGTCCGAAATTCGAGTTCCGCAAAAATACAGACTAACACCGTACTTTAAAGGCGCATAACGTTTTCTGGCAAGTAATTTTTCGTTTTTCTTTTTTTGGAACCTATTTTCGACGGTTTTTCCTCGTTTTTCTATGTTTTCAATAGAAAAAACACTAAAATTACGATTCTTACAAAACAATTTTTAAAAAAACTTGAGCAGTTGAGCGTTATGCGCCTTTAAAGTACTGTACCCCGTTTCTTAGTGTGTTTTTTAGCGTTTTTGCATCGAAATGTGTTCAAAAACACGAAAAAAGAAAGTGCGAAGACTTTCCGAAAAACAATAAATCATGTGGCACCATCTGCTGCTGCCCTTTCGGTTATTCGTTTGTTTTCGGTGTCGAGTTTCACACTTGCCCTAATAAATAACGTTTCCGTCCTCTAAACTTCTTTTGCACCGGCTCCCCACTCATAAAACCGTCGCCGACATTTGTCAGCTCAACGCAGAACGGTGCGTCGGGCGGGGGATGATGGAAATTATTGGTGTTATTGGAAACGGATCCTCTAATTGGTGCCGAAGATTTGAAAGGGACAGGTGCGGTACACCTCGGATGGGGGTTTAGTGGATTTGTGAGCTTGACGCTTAATTAGAAGGTTGACGAATGGAAAATATATTAGCAAGACATTTCGCAACCAGTGTCCGGTTGCGGATTCGAAATGCTGAAAGACGTTTTGCAACTAGAAGGCATCGAAATTGAAATTGGGCATAATTGTTTGCGAGTTGTCCGGTGGCAGGAACATTGTCATAATTGGATTACTGGCGAATACATTTTGCAAACAAATGACATTTCGCAACCGTTCTTTCCATCAAAACATTGAATAATTTTGGTTGCAAAGCGACTCGTTGTCAAAAGTAGGATTATCTCGCAACCAAACGACGTTTCGCAACGGTTGAATGATTGGCTGGTTGCAAAACGTCCCATCCACCCATTCAAGTGTACATTCCCTTCCACAATATCTTATCAAAATGTCATTGTCCACCACTGACACACACTCTTTTTTGCGCTCTAACAATAGCCATCCTTTGCTCTCTTTTCTTCTTCTTCTTCTTCTTCTTCTTCTTCCTTTTTCTAACCTTTTGCACTGTTTGCTCCCTTCTCCCTCTCTCTCTTTCTCTCTCTCTCTTCCTGTCGGAGTATCAAAAAGAGAGAAAAAGCAAAGCAAAGTGGCGGATCAATAGATGGGGCGACGTCGTAAATGGTGGGCGGTCAGCCAGGCCGGCGACACAATCACTATTATCACCTTACGCGCACACACACACTCACACTTTCACATCACTTTTGAATCCTTTTTGCTCTTCTTCGGAATGTACAATAGCGGTTGAAACAGTTTTTCGACGGAAATCGAATCGACAATATTTGAAGTTGGCGTTCAAGTTAGCCGTTATAAATCAGCCACAACTTCAAAGGGAATGATTTTATGGAAAAGTTGTCAACAACAAAAGTGAAGATCATACTTTTTACTATATTTTTGCTGTTGACATCTTTCTTGTACAACAACTCCCTGAGGTACTGTAGCTCTTTGAAGTTGGGACTAGTTCAAGGCGATTGAATTGCAATGCTAACTTTGCACGGCTACCGTACTCCAGGGAGTGGTCGTACAAAAAAGTGTTCAACTACAAAAATGTAGTATCAGATGTGAAGATTTCATAAGACAATTTCTAGAACTAAAGGACAACATCGGACTCTACAGTACCCTTTCAAAGTTGGTCACTTGTCTCTATTGTATATTTCCAAAACTGGGTCCCCCAAAACCATGATTTCTCATGTCCAAATCGACCATTATCGCTAAGACATTCTAGAAATTGCGGCAAAACTCGGAAGAAAAACCAATTTCTCGCCTCCGCATTCCCTGCCGCCTTTTGTGTGCCTGAAAAAGTAATCGAAAAAAATTTTGTACATTTTTGTGCCGTACATGTATTATGAGAAAATGGGTGGACAACACAAGAGTGAGGGAAAATGGGAGTGTGTGCGATCAACAAAAATTTGTCACTTTCCCTCTGGTCAACTGACTTTTTACCCGTTTTTAACTCGTTTTTTGATGCTCTTCCCATTTCTCATCAAAAAATCCAAAATTGCACTCGATTTCAGTCTTTTTCAGCCAAATTTCGGTAATTTCCAAAGTGCGCTTGCCCTTTTTCTCTTTTTCTTGCCACCACCAAAAAGCGGAAGCTGTGAGCTCGTATAATAATCACCTGACACACACACACACACACACAAATCCGACGGAAACGGGGTGCAGCAGCAGAGATTATAGATTTGTACTTTTTCACGTGACACCTCTCGTCGCTTTCCGAGAATCGGCCATTCTGAGAAATAGAGTGTAGTCGATGGAAAACAAATAATTTGATTTGCAAAAGAAATTCCTCTCGTGGGTGAAACCGAACGCCCCACCCGCGATGGATTTTCAGTCGAACGCGCACCCCGCTGCGCCATCCGTGCCACCTGGCGAGTGGACCATTTTGGGTAGAGGTGCGCGCGCTTTTCGCTACTTTTCAGCGGGCGAGTCATCAGGAAATTGTAGATTTGCCTTCAGAATGTTCAGTTTCCCAGCTCAAAAACGCAATTTTCCGTAAATTTCCACGTCATATCCCGAAAAGGACACATTTCATGTGCAAATGCGCGTCCGTTAGACTCATCAGGCGCCAGCTCTTCGGCTCGGCTCCTCCAAAGACGATTGCTCGCAGAGAGTGAGAGTGCAGCCGTCGGTCCCTCTCGCTCTCCCCCTAATCCCCCACTCTCTCTCTCTCTCTCTTTCTCTTCCTCCCTTCTCTCTCTCTCTCTCTCTCTTCCTTCCCAAGCCCCGCCCACTTTCCGATCGTCACCTCACGTTTCCTTTCAGAAATGATTCATTATTCGGGCGGCCGTCTGTTCATCCGCGAGCCCCAAACGAGAATGTGGCGTCCGCCGCCGCAGAAGCCCTTGAGGAACACGGACGACGAAGTGGACTGCTCGCCGATGCACCATATCATGTACCGGCCGATTTGCCAGACGGTCCGGCTCGATCGCAGAAGGCCGCGACGAGAGAAGCGCCGACGGCTTCCCACTATTGTCGAGAATCTGTGCATGTTCGAATGGTTGCACAGGACCGAAGGTACGTCTTTTTTTTTTTGGGTCAGAATCCATTGCTTGAGTCTAAAAGATGTCTGCGCAGACATTTTGTGGTAAACAGTTGCGTTGACATGTTTTGACCGAACAAAAACCCTCTAAAATCGACCTGATCACCTTTTCCACATGGTGCATCTATCGCAACAGGATTTTGAAAAGTCACAAATGTCTAGACTACGAGCTGAATGTGCTGGTAATCAGAAAAAGTGCTCAATGCTTTGAACTCTGATCTCTACGAACTTTTTTGTCTAAAACATGAAGATCTCGCTTTTTAAATGTCTGCTTGAGATGAAATTTGGTCAGAAACGTTTAAGTCATGTGCTGCGGCTTTCCAAATTGCGCCGAGCTCTAAAAAGTGCTCCGAACCGTAAGCTGCTATGAATTGTCCATGTTTCTATGCAAAATTCGGTTCCTGCCCACTTTTTTTTAACTTTCCAAAGCTAGGACCCTTTTCAAACCCGGTTTCCTCGAACTTTCATCGTTTTTGCATTTGTAACTAGTGGTTTTTCGGTGCCTAATTATGCAAGTACACAAAAACCTTGGGACCACCTGGTTTCGAATATTGCGCAACCTACTCGTTTTTCCGTCCGAATGTCTGTGCGTCAACTGCTCTTTCTCTCTCTCTCTCTCTCTCTCTCTTCTCTTCCCGTTTTCCAAAGAGATATAGGTCAGGTGGCGGGCCGGCGGAACAGTGTAATAAAAGAAAGAGCCGGGGCGGCGAGCAGGTCAGTGTGCCCCCACCAGATGGACCGAATAAATGTGCGGGGAGAACCGAAACGAGCGGGGCACAGAGAGAGAGAGAGAGAGAGGGCGTCTAATCCAGTGCTCCTAATGCATAACCGATTAGGCGCCGAGAGCAGAAAAGAGAGCTTACCTTGAAATTGATTTGCCGTCTTTCTTCAACTCTCGCACACGGTCTCCAGAGCTGAAGTCAATGGGCGCGCAAGTGCGCCCCGCCCAATAGACCGATACATTGGCGCGAAATTCAAATTTTAACAGCAAATTTTGTGTTTTTTACCAGATTAGCCACGAAAAACCGATAATTTCTCATTTGTCTCTCGATAGACCGATTGTATAGGCTATTACGAATTTTTTAAGCGCAAGAGCGTTAAATTTTGTCAAGTCGCAAATCACATTTTTCCGTTTGAAGGTTTTTGGCTAAAACTGCGTGCATTTCAGTTGCTTTTCGGTAGTTTTCGCGGTTCGAGCGCTCAAAATGCTTGTATTTACGGGATTTATCATTCTCAAAACCAATTCTGTCGGAAAACGGTCAAGAAAGTGCAAAATGAGAAGTGCGGTTTTTAGGCGGCGAAGACGAAAAAGCAAAGACGGCGAAAAATGCGCCAAAACGTCATTAATTCTGAGAATTAGTGTGTTTTCATGCCGAACAATCATTTTTCATCGCCGTTGACGACAAAAATCAGAGAAAACGTGCTCAATTCATGAAAACGCCATTTGGCCGCCGAGGCCACGCCCATATTGTCAGCTCTGGAGACTGTGCGATATGTGAGATTTCTGGCGTACAAAAAATAGGTGTATTGTACAGAAAACATGGAAAGAACGCGCGGCCTCCCCTTCAAAAATTAATTAATCGGCCGCCGCCGCGTAAATCGACACAGCCCGCCTGTTGCAAGTGCGCCCCATTGAAATCATTCGCGCCGTGGGAGACCGTGGCGCTCTCGGCTTCTTCTAGAACCTTCAAAAACGCATAAAATCATCGAGCCGTTTCCCCTCATTTCTCGCGCACAAACATTTCTTCATTTCTTCATTTATTTCTCACAGCACCCCCCCCGGAAAATATATTGGCCTAATGACGATCGTATATGTGTGTGTGTGTACGCGCACAAACACGCATATTTTGATTGGAAAACGCAAACGGAGACAGGTGCTCCGGGCGCCGAAATCCGGAATCGCGAATCGAATCAAGTGAGAAAATGGGGTTGAGCATTTGAGAAAAGAAAAACGTCCTTTCGCACTAATATTCCTACTTGCAGCGTACAAAGAAATGACAAACGAGGAGCTACAATTCGTGCTCCTCAACGGACTCTTCCATCAGAACAAGAACAACGTGGCGATTGTGATCAACCGCGATCAGAAGACGGGCAAAACGGCGACGAGTCAGATGGACGCCACGTTCGGCAAAGCGGAAAGCCGCGCGGAAGCGCTCAAAGTGCTCAAGGCGGCGTACAATAGCGCGAGAGTGCCGCTCGAGGTGCCGGCGTCGCTGAAAGCGATCCCCGTGGCGCACGTGGATCCGACGAGCGAGTGCGAGCTGCCGGCACCGTCTGAACCGTCGACTTCGTGCTCGCCGACGCCCTGCTGTTCGTCGTCGTCGGGCATCTATCCGAAAATGTCGCGTGCGCACAACACGCCCGTCGAACCCGAAATTATCACGTTGAACTAAATTGTTTTCCCCCCTCAGCCAACCACAAATCTCGTTTCTTTCTGCCGGGCAAAAACCGCTCAGTTTTCTATATCATTTCTATTGCGATTCCCCTCCCTCTTTTGCTTTTGTGATTCGAGCACACATTTGCTCCATTAATAAAAAAATTGATAATTTACGCCCTTCGAGTGCCCCGACGAGCGAGTGAGTAAACCTAAAAAGTGAGAAAAACCCCATTGAATGCCCGAAACTGATGTATAAAGTTAGCACAAACGTGCAAAATGTGAAACTATTCATTCAGTATTGTATTTAAGAGATCAAGACGCTATAAACAATTCTGTTATCAAACATAATAACCAGAGTTGAGCGGAAGAACTCTACGGAAGAACACGGATGAATTTTTTTATCTTTTTTTAGAAATAGAAAAAAATTTTTAAAAAAAGTTATTCGAGTTGTTCCGTGAAAATGTCCTTCCGTCTTCCGTTATGTCGGGTGGAAACACCCGTGGTGCAATTTCAGCCACGCATCACAGCTCTCTTCACAACTCAAGTCGCAAGACACGCCGTTATGCCCTAATGTTCGTATCGTCAAGTGCGCCAACGGCGGCTGCTGACGCGCGGAGAAGCGTGAAACGCGCAAGGAAAATTCCACTCTCTGGTTTTGGCCTAAAATTAATCAGTCTTGTGTTTTGCCGGAACTCCGGTGTGTTGCTCTCTTAACTGTGTTCCTTAATAGTTAATATTGATTGTTAAGCCAATTGGCGTGACAATAAAGCAGGTGTGTCAGTTGGTTGTGAGCAGAGAGGAGAGGCTCTTCTGAAGACTAGGGTCTTCGGAAAGCGTCATACACGTGGGAAGACCGCGACTGTTAGCCCTTTTTCACGCAACAACTCGAATAACTTTTTTGTATGAAAAGCTAAATTTACAATTATTTTTCGATGAGCAGAGTTCACTTTGCTATACATTTCGTCAGTTGATTGCATTTCATGAAAAAATTTTCTAAAAAAGATAAAAATTCATCCGTGTTCTTCCGTTGAGTTCTTCCGCTCAACTCTGATAATAACCTGTTTTCAGATCGTGTACGATGCGGTGAAAAAAAAAAGTGAAAAAAGCAGACCGCAAGAGTGCTGGTGACGACGGTCGCTCGGCGCTTCGCAGTCCAAGGACTCGTCAAGACCACGGAGGCCATGCTCCAAATAGGATTCAATTGGAATGCGTAGGAATTTGCAATGAAGGCATGAAATCAAATAGCACTTTTAGGTTGCTGGCCATCCGTATCCTCGAGACGCTCATCATCTCCTCGGTCAACGCCAGTTCCCAGTGACCGATTCAGTCTGACGCAGGTACTCACTTCAATCGATTTTTCTGAAAATAAATGAGTTTTTGAGGCTATCCAGCTGGAGCGCGGAAACAATGAAGATGCTAGGCATTTCTATCGCAAAAGTGGGAGACATGGCAAACGTCGGCGAGAGATGGAACCGAACTGGAACTGTTCGTAAGGCAATAGTCCGTTTCCGTCTTCAGTTTTTTTACTTTTGACGTAGAGCAGTTCAACACAGAAATTATCAACTTTGACAGGGGATATTGTAGAGTCTCCGGCAATCAGCAATTGATTTCGAAACTGTTGTGTGAAATGTTCACATTCAGTCGATTCGCAACATCATCGCTTACCCAGAGTTTTCCCAGAATCCATTGTCCCACCGAGGCCGTATACCGGTGGAACATCTCCACCTCCGGCACAGTATACGGCACTCGCTCATCTTTACGTCTTCAGGTTCCCCGTAACTCCACCTCCTCCCTCCTTAAAACTATAAATAAGGAATCCGTCCACTCAGAATCCCATCCCCATTCGTTCATTCGAGTAGCTCGCTCGTCTGTCCGTTCTGTACAATATCCAATCGATAATGCACATGCAGAACCGCGAGCAGCTCCTTCTCGCCCAGGCCATGCTTGCCGGCCAGCTGAAACTGAGCGAGGCCGAGCAAATCAAATTTTTGTGTAAGTTTTCCTCTATCTTCCCCCACTTTCCATTCTTATTTTCCCACTTTTCAGTTGCTCGCAAGGCCTTCGTAACGGCCCGGCACTGCGGCCGAATTGTTGATGGTCTCCTGCTCAGCGCGGAGCAGCGAGTCCTCAACGGATACCCGACGTGGGGCCGGAATGGTGTGGAGCTGCAGGCGAACGAGTACCAGCACAATCGGGCCGCCGTGCATCAGGCCTACGACTTCGAGCGGACTTGCACCCGCTGTCACAGCCGCTTCTTCGTGATGCCGAATGGGAAGCAGGTGCCCGCCACGACTATGGTCTGTTTCGACGGCGAACAGCACCGGAACTTCCACGTCCATGACCAGGTCTCCGCGAGTGCTCTTCAACGCTTTCCGAGCACGCCGAAGGTGAACAAATCGAACTGTCACTTGTCCAGCGAGGTAAGCAATTACAAAATGGTCTTTGTTTCTAACTTTTTTCTCTTTTTCAGATGCTCGCTCTGGACCTCGAAATGATCCAAACGGTCAGTGGTCAGACAGTCGGAAGGATCACTTTGGTCAGCTGCACTGAGGCGGTCCTTTTGGATATCGTCGTGAAGCAAACCGATCGGATCCTGGACCCCATGACCAAGTACTCTGGCTTGACGATGGAATCCTTCAAGACTGCAAAGTGGACACTCGAAGCCGCCCGCATGGCTTTCCTCAACGAGCTCAACGAACGGACCATTCTGGTCGGACACGGGCTCGCCAATGACCTTCGCGTGCTCGGTGTCGTCCACGAGAGAGTCATCGACACTTCCGTCATCTACACGCATCGGGGACGTCGTCCGGCTCTCCGCAACTTGACCAAAAATGTGCTCGGCTATCACATCCAGCAGGGAGACGGTCACTGCTCGGCCGAAGACGCGGTCGCCTCGATGAGACTGGCCATTCACGGACTCAATCATCCCGAGATCTTGGCTCCACAATATCACAACCTTCACAATGTCGTTTGATTTTACTGTACTCACTTCCTGTACTCACTTTTTGTACCCTTTTCCTAATAATGACCTAATAAACCACATGTTTCATATAAAACTCAATTCGACTCACCTTCAAAAGGATATTGGCGACTCCGGTGTGTCCGCGGGCGCACGCCTCCAACAGCGGCGACCATCCGTTCTTGCTCTGCTTGTTCTGCACAATCTGCACGGCGCCCGCACCGATCTTGTTCACCATGGCCAGCAGGACCGCCTGATTTCCGCTCCGGGCGGCCATGTGCATCGCCGTCTCGTTCGCGTTCATCGACGGCTTTTCGATCAGCGAACATTTTTATCGTTCGTTGGGCTCATGAAATGCAAAATGAGCTGAAATATAAAGGTGTGAAGATTGGACGAAATGTGAAAAAGACGCTAAAAACATGAAAAACTCTAAATTCTGTAAAGAACGGTTTCCAATCAGTAAAATATTGTTTTCTAGACGTTTTTCAAGTCAAAAAGAAAGAAATAAAGGTCGTAAACTCGAATTGAACTCCATTTTTAGACCTGCAAATTTTCAAAAGTTACAACGACACTCCGCAATTTACGAGCGCACTGTGTTAAGCATTAGCGCCCTGACTCATGTAAAGATACCTCCATTATTATCAGTCTAACACAAAATAACTCGAAACTATTTCCCAGGTACCGTCATTCTCCAACTCTTTGTACTTTGGGAATGTCCTTAAAGCCGGACTCAATTTTGAATTGAAAAATCGTTGAATGCTTTGAAATATGTGGACGATTAAAATTCCCTCTACTGAAAATTCTAATTTTTGCTGTTGGATGAGAAGCAAGCACTTCGAAATGGATTATGACACAAATGGCCATGGCCTAAGTAGAAACCTAGGCCATCCGAGTTTTTTCATTTTTTCCAACAACACATTTTTTATCAATTTTTATGCGCTTTTCACTCGCTTTCAGGTCGTTCTCTCTTCTTTTATTGACTATCATCTCTTCGTTCGCCAGTCGACGAATGCGACGAAGATGTGGTGCTCTCGCTCACCAAAGCGCGTTTCGCTCGCTACTCGCTCTTTGCACAAAAGCGCCGGGAATACCAAGACGCGTGCTCGTTTGGACAGAATTTCAACGATTTCTCCGCCCTCAATTTTTTGTGTCAGTTGGCGCCTAAACGAGTGGGCGTGTGTGTGTGTGTGTGATCTTCGGAGCCAAGAGGAACAGAGAGCTCCTTCTCATTCCGACTTCTAGGCCTTCACCCGTAGGCCCCCTCAATCTAGAGCGCTCCGGCTCGCCCCTATTTTCTTTCTATTCCGACTGTATATACGACATTTCCTAAAAGGTTAGTTTTAATTTAGGAATGTACTAGTTAGTTAGACATGTTGTGAAACTTTTCAGAAAATTCAAATATGGACCACAGTGCCGTTTCTCTGAACAGGTGTTTCAAGAGTTGAACGCAGTGAGCATCAACTTGAAACATGTTCAAAATTCAAGACCGCACAGAAACAGTTAAGCACACGTGTCATCACTCTTTTTTGAATAGTTAACGTACGTATCCTTTTAGCAATTGTTTTCAAATGCATTTTCTCAAATTTAGGCTCTCCATAAGACACAATTGATTTCAACGTTTGCCGGCTGGCCTGGACAATGTTCTTATCAAAATGTGGTAAATTTCCCAAAAAAATAGTTTCAAACATACAAAATATTTGTTCAGGTTTTATGGCAACGCCACCTCGTTGGAGCAATTCGAGCGACTTTGAAGATAACTTTGTAGAATTCTAATAAAATACTGATAGTTTCACTTTTGTTCACTTTTGTTCTGGTGTCTCGAGAAGTGTGCTCAGTGAGCCGAACACACACACAGCTATCCATCATTCTGTTTCTTCGGCATTTCAACCGAGCTCAACATTCCATTCGGTCTCTTTTTCCTCGGCTCCTGAATTGTTTGTCTAAAAAAGATGGGGGCAGAAGTGAAGAATGACGAGACGATCTAAAATAAGAACAAAGAGTCATATTTAGAGACGTTTTGCTTGTTTGCAGGCAAACTTTTCAAATAGCCACGGCAAGACTGCACAAAAAATGAAATATTCTGAATGCGGATGTGTATAGCTGAACTTTGCACATGAATGGTCATGGCGCGAAGTAGAAAAAGTGTTTTGATGTCAAAAATGACATGGATTTGCCATTTTCTATCTAATTACACTAAAAATTGTTGTCAGGCAGAATCCGCGCCGAAAGTACAAGTATGACGGGCATCGTTACCAGAGTTGAGCGGAAGAACTCAACGGAAGAACACGGAAGAATTTTTATCTTTTTTAGAAAATTTTTTCATGAAATGTGATCAACTGACGAAATGTATAGCAAAGTGAACTCTGCTCATCGAAAAATAATTGTAAATTTAGCTTTTCATACAAAAAAGTTAAGGGCTAACCGAAGACGGAAGGACATTTTCACGCAACAACTCGAATAACTTTTTTGTATGAAAAGCTAAATTTACAATTATTTTTCTATGAGCAGAGTTTACTTTTCTACACATTTTGTCAGTTGATCACATTCCATGAAAAAATGTTCTAAAAAAGATAAAAATTCTTCCGTGTTCTTCCGCTCAACTCTGATCGTTACGTTACGATGTTTGACAATATCTCTGAAGAATAGCAAACAACTTAATAATGCGAACATTTTGAGTTCTTTGACAGAAATTCCACCATTTTCAGTCAATAAACCATAAATTATAGCGAGCTCGAGCGTGGCTCTGATTCAGCAAGTTCAGCACTGTGGCCAACACCAAGATCATCACGATTTCCGTTCTTTTCATCATCGTAACTCCGCCCAACCTTCTCTCTTATCACCCCCCTGGCCGCTTGTCACATCGCACTGATAGCCGACCCTCGTCGCCCTTCATCGAATTGATTCGATTCTCGAAACAACGCGGTTTCCATTCTATTTCCATCCTTTTATCCCCGCCAAACGTCTAGTCGGACCACGTGGTCCCGTTTCTCTGCGCTCTCCTCGCCTCTCACGCTCTCTCTCTCTCTATCCCGTCGACAGTTGTCTTTTGTCGATTTACGAGAAACAGTGTGCGAGAGGAGGAGACGCAGAGAAGGAAGGATTGCAACGTGTCGAGCGTGCATCGGACACGGTGTAAACCTTCGCTGACCTCTCGGCTGAGCCAAGAGACGCCTCTTTCGATTTCCAGTTCGATTTCGATTTCCTCTTTACGTGCAACTTTTTTCGCTTCAGGAATGCAACGTGTGCACGCGTGTCGGCCACTTCTCGCCAAAGGACATGTCACCTACTACAAAGACCAGCTGCTGATTGTGAGAGGAGAGAAACAGTTTCTGTTCGACAAGTCCGGCAAGAAATATTTGGATTTTTTTGGCGGAATTGTGACTGTTTCCGTCGGACATTGCCATCCGTGAGTTCTAGGCGCGCCACGGTCTCCCCTTCGGCGAGAAAAAAATCTTCGCGCGCTTTTTTGCGTGCGGCTCTCAGTGTCGATTTACGGGAGACGGGTTTTCAACTGAAAACTATGTTTTCCCGAGTTTTTCGAATTATGCACAGTTTTCCTTCAAAACTTTTGCCTCACGTTTGTTCATATGACCGATAGCTACAAAATAATCACAGAGTGCTCGTGTAAAAGTGAAAATTCGAAGAGTAATTTCGTTTTTTTAAAATTTGGCTTGAAAAAACGAAACTTTTGGAAGTTTTGAGAAAAACAGTTGCCTCACGATTGTTCAGCAGACAAAGGCGGTCATTTTGAGCACAGAGACGGCCCATAAAATGCAAAAATTACTGAGAAATTTCAGTTTTTGAGGCGCCGCAGACTGAAATTCACAGAAAAGTTTTTTGTGGGCAAAACGCTAATTTAAGGTCACAGCTGTCATCAACAATTCGGAAATTCTCTGTTTTACTTCATTTTACTCATTTTCGGATTAAAATTTCGGGTTTTCGGAAAAAAATCCACAAATTTCAGACCTGCTTTTGTTTTCAACGACACTCCGTTTTAACGCGGCGCTCAATTTAGCATTAGCTTTTGGGGAGACAGTGAATGGGCGCGCAAGTGCGCCGCGCCCAATAGAACGATACATTGGCGCGAAATTCAAGTTTTAACGGCAAAATTTGTGTTTTTTTGCCAGATTAGCCACGAAAAACCGATAGCTTCTCATTTGTCTCTCGATAGACCGATTGTATAGGCGATTACGAATTTATTAAGCGCAAGAGCGTTAAATTTGGTCAAGTCGCAAATCACATTTATCCGTTTGAAGGTTTTTGGCTAAAACTGCGTGAATTTCAGCTGCTTTTCGGTAGTTTTCGCGGTTCGAGCGCTCAAAATGCTTGTATTTACGTGATTTATCATTCACAAAACCAATTCTGTCCGAAAACGGTCAAGAAAGCGCAAAATGAGAAGTGCGGCGATCGGCGGCGAAGGCGAAAAAGCAAAGTCGGCGAAAAATGCGCCAAAACGTCTTTACTACTGAGAATTAGTGTGTTTTCAAGCCGAACAATTATTTTTCATCGCCCTTGACCACAAAAATCAGAGAAAACGTGCTCAATTCATGAAAACGCCATTTGGCCGCCGAGGCCACGCCCATATTGTCAGCTCTGGACACCGTGAGGCACCATACTTTTGATCAGGGAAAACAGAAAAGTGCTCCAACTCTATAAGTTTCTTCCTGATCCATCCGAAGGTGTTGTGGTCGTTTCCCATCAAAACTAGCGCATTTTCAGCAAGATCAACGCGGCGCTAAGCGAGCAGGCGTCGAAATTGTGGCACACGACGTCCATCTATCACACAGAGCCCATCTACGAGTACGCGGAGAAGCTGATCGGAAAGTTTCCGAAAAAGTTGAATGTCGGCCCTAATGCTATTGTTCCGACGAGCCATTTTCAATTTTCAGACGGTGTTCTTTGTGAATTCGGGCTCGGAGGCGAACGATTTGGCGCTCGCGTTGGCCAGAAACTATACGGGACGGTTCGATGTGATCTCGATGCGCAACGGCTATCACGGAATGACGCAGACCGTTCTCGGCGCCACCAATCTCGGCAACTGGAAGCCAGTGTTCCCGCACGGATTCAACATCTTCAAATCGCTCAACGCGGATCCGTACCGCGGCATTTTCGGCGGCAGCAACTGCCGCGACTCGCCGATTCAGGTCAAGAATCGGAAGTGCGAGTGTGCGCCGGGAGGATCGTGTCAGGCATCCGACAAGTACGTCTCAATTGCTGGCCGCTGGAAAAACGGTGGCAAAACTATATCATTCAGGTACTTGGAGCAATTCGACGAGATGCTCTTGCACGACTTCTCGCACTCGTCCGGTCCGGCCGCGTTCCTCATCGAATCGATTCAGGGAGTCGGAGGAACTGTACAATATCCGCATGGGTACGGTCTCGAGCCGACAAACGTTTGCTCTTTTGTGCTCTCACAACGACAGGTTTAAAGGCGCAGCAGCAAATTTGTCGACAACACCCCCGACACTCGACCGTAATCCTTTGTTCAGATACCTGAAAAAGTCGTTCGAGGCGGTTCAAAAACGCGGAGGACTCGCGATCGCCGACGAAGTTCAGACTGGTTTCGGACGTCTCGGATCTCATTTCTGGGGCTTTGAATGTACGCTTTTCACAGTGTTCTTTCTCTGATATTCGGGTGCATCGGGCAAGCCGAGAACTTTACTTTTTGTGCCGACACGCTTTGCAGGCAACCATTTTCAAAAAAGTTACGCTCGATCAAAGACAGTGCACTTCTATGAGCCATTACTTTTTTGAAAGAGGTTGTACGAAAAAGGGGTCAAGGCAGAAAATGAAGGGTTTGATTGTACAATAGCACGATTTGACTGAATGTTAATGTAAAAACTGGGCACCATTTATTCGAGACGACATATCTCAGCTACCAGTAAAGATATCAAAAAGTTGTCAACAGATGAAATATCTGTAACGTTTCAATGCATATTTTATTAGTTGACAACTTTTTGATAAGTCCACTGGCTGCTGAGATAGAATGTTTTGAATGAATTGGGGGTAGCCTTGCTATTGGGGGTAGCCTTGCTATACAGTTGGTACAGTCAATTACCCATTTTTACAGCACAAGACGCCTCTCCGGACATTGTGACAATGGCGAAGGGCATCGGAAACGGCTTCCCGCTGGGAGCCGTCGTGACTACGAAAGAAATTGGCGACGCGTTCAACCGATCCCTCTATTTCAACACGTACGGAGGCAATCCGCTCGCGTCGGTCGTCGGAAAGGCCGTTTTGGAGGTTATCGAGGAGGAGAAGCTGCAGGAGAACTCGGCTATTGTCGGAGATTATTTCCTCAGACAGCTGGCCGCGATCGACGAATCGGCCATCGGGGATGTTAGAGGAAAGGTGCGTTGCGGGTCGAACAACTATTGTCCATTCATTCAAAGCGGTATACCTCAGCTGCCGGTGGATATTTCAAAAAGTTGTCAACTAATAATATGTTCACTAAACGATTTTGAACATTTTATCACTTGACCACTTTTTGATATCTTTACAAAGAGCTGAGATGTACACCCTAGAATAAATGGTATTTCTACTGTACATTTCCAGGGTCTCATGATCGGTGTCGAGTTGATTGACGAGCAAGGAAAACCGTTGGCCGCCGCCAAAACTGCCGCCATCTTCGAGGACACTAAGGTAGGACCCCGGGATTACTGTACTTTCCGCCTACTCTCTTTTCTCTCTTCCAGAACCGCGGACTTTTGATCGGAAAGGGCGGAATCCACGGAAATGTGTTGCGCATCAAACCGCCCATGTGCATCACGAAGGAAGACGTCGATTTTGCGGTGGAGGTGATCGCGAAATCGATCAAACAATTCAAATAAAACCATTTTTCGCATAGGGACTCTTTTTTTTTTGGAATTTTCACCTCCTCACAGTAACCTTGTTTTGATGTTCTCTTTCTTTTGTTTTCAATGTTTGCTATTTGTCTCGGGTTCTTTTATTACAAAATTGTTATGTTTTTTCCTTGTTTATTCACATTCTACTACTGTACTTTTGTAGTAGATCCCATTTTTATATGGCCACTCTCTGAGCTACTGTAGCTCTTGGAAGTTGAGACTCAAATTCATGAGCTTTTGCGGGTCCGAACTTCCAAGCGCTACAGTACTCTAGAAAATGGTTGTACAAAAAAGTTGTCAACTACAAAAGTATAGTACCTTTTATGAACTTCAATTTTGTAGTTGATCACTTTTTTGTACAACCAATGCCTGGGGTACTGTAGCGCTTGGAAGTTAGCTTGGAAGTTTGAACAGCTGAATTTCAGTCCCAAGTTTCGAGTGGTACAGTACCTCAGGGAGTGCTCGTATGAGAAAGTTGTCAACTATAAAAATAATGTACTAGATGTCAAGTACCCACAAAAAAATTTTCAAAGCCATAGACCGTCTAGCGACTCTACAATATCCATTCAAAGTTCTCTTCCCAAAATTCCCACAGTCTACGCTATTGTATGATCAGAAAACGTGTAAAAACTCACCTTTTTCTCGATTTTCACCAAAACAAATGAAATCTCAAGATCAGGCCGGGGCGAGTGCAATATTGGCAAACTTTTGATGGCTAATATAGCATCCGGCCATGACCTGATCCGAATTTTTCACGATTTTTCGGTTTTGCTCGTCGAAGGCGACAATAGTAGTTGTAGGAGAAGTAGTAAGCGAATAATAGTCGAATAGTAGACACACCTGACGAATGGCCACCGCTAAAAAAGAACAAAAAACGAGTTTGGAAGAGACTCCGCCCACTTTCTCTCTCTCTCTCTCTCTCTCTCTCTCTCTCGCTCTCCGTCTTGTCATTTTCGATTTCGTTTTTCGTTTTTCTCAAAACGTGTCTGGTTTACAAGGACACCATTTGAATTGGAGGCGCGCACAACCAAAAACCAGTGCGTTTCTGCGTGGAACAGGTGTTCCGGACATGTAGAACGTTGGCGAAATGCGGAAAAAATGCGGAAAATCAATTTGACCACTACCGGGAATCAAACGCGGGTGTCTAAATTGATAGCGGCGAGCGGTGCCAGAAAAAAAAGTCGCCTGAGGACATTTTGATGAGAAAAACGGTTTACGAGATGCGGAGAACCGAACGAAGAGATAGATGGTGGTGATCCGATGAAGCCGCGCCAATAAGTACCCTCTCGTAGGCCCCGCCCACACCGATGACATAACGAAGCGGCGCCAAAAGTTTCGCTTTCTTTCGCTTTCCTACTCCTCCCCCCCTCCCCCTCCATCCACCTCCAAATGTCGA